TCGATTCCATCGACGGCATATACGTCTGCCAATCTCTAAAGAAGCTAGGGAATATCGAGAAATGTGGACGGAAAATATGGACCAAAGATCAGAGTAAATAGAAAAGAATTGAACCTCACGTCCTAAAATAGATAAGAATGATTCCCAGATAAAAAGTGGCAAGACTTTGACGGATTTTTGCCAACGATAGGGGAGGATTCGTAAAATTATCTAGAAATCAAGACGTTATGGTAACCGTACCAACCCGAGACATACATCTAAGAGCGGGATTTGTAATATTAGAGAAGCTCGAACGCACCTGAAAAACATGAAAGGGCGGACTGGTACTATAATAGTACCATATTTTAGTCGAGAAATAAAACCAAATGAATCTAAAATTGATCAAATAGACAACACCATAACAACCCAAAACCACCAAAGCGGACCAAACGAACAACACCATAACAGCCCAAAACCGACCAAATAAACAACACCATGACAACCCAAAATCACCCAAGCAGACAACATCGTGACAACGAACATCCGACCAAACAGATAACACCGTGACAACCCAAAACAAACAGACAACACCATGACGACCCAAAACCGACCAAGCAAACAATACCATAGCAACCCAAAATCGTCCATACAGACTAAGCGGACAACACCATCACAACCCAAAATCGCCCAAACCGACAACACCGTGACAACCCAAGCGGACCAAGCAGACAACACTATGACAGCCCAAAACCGACCAAACAGACAACACCATGACAACCCAAAACCACCCAAACGGACCAAACGGACAACACTATGACAGCCCAAAACCGACCAAACAGACAACACCATGACAACCCAAAACCACCCAAGCGGACAACACCGTGACAACGAACATCCGACCAAACAGACAACACCGTGACAACCCAAAACCACCCAAGCGGACCAAGCGGACAACACTATGACAACCCAAAACCGACCAAGCAGACAACACCATGACAACCCAAAATCGCCCAAGCGGACCAAGCGAACAACACCGTGACAACCCAAAACCGACCAAGCAGACAACACCATGAGAGCCCAAAACCGCCCAAGCGGACAACACCATGACAGCCCAAAACCGACCAAGTAGACAATTTCGTGACAACCCAAAACCACCCAAGCGGACAACACCATGACACCCCAAACGACGAAGCGGACAACACTGTGACAACCCAAAACCGCCCAAGCGGACAACATCGTGACAACCCAAAACCGACCAAGCGGACAAGACCGTGACAACCCAAAACCACCCAAGCGGACCAAGCGGACAACACTATGACAGCCCAAAACCAACCAAGCGGACAACACCGTGACAGCCCAAAACCACCCAAGCGGATCAGGCGAACAAATTGTGATAGCCCAAAACCGACCAAGCAGACAATACCGTGACAGCCCGAAACCGCCAAAGCGGACCAAGCGGACAACACCGTGACAACCCAAAACCGACCAAGCGGACAGCACCGTGACAGCCCAAAACCGCCCAAGCAGACAACACCGTGACAGCCCAAAACCGACCAAGCGGACAACATCATGACAACCCAAAACCACCCAAGCGGACCAAACGGACAATACCACAACAACCAAAAACCGACCAAACAGACAACACCATGACAACCCAAAACCACCAAAGCAGACCAAGCGGACAACACCATAACAACCCAAAACCGACCAAGCAGACAACACCGTGACAGCCCAAAACCGCCCAAGCGGACAACACCGTGACAACGAACATCCGACCAAACAGACAACACCGTGACAACCCAAAACAAACGGACAACACCATGACGGCCCAAAACCGACCAAGCGGACAACACCGTGACAACCAAAAACCGCCCAAGCGGACAACACCGCGACAGCCCAAAGCCGCCCAAGCGGACAACACCGTGACAGCCCAAAACCGACCAAGCGGACAACACCGTGACAGCCCAAAACCGCCCAAGCGGACAACACCGTGACAGCCGAAAACCGACCAAGCGGACAGCACCGTGACAGCCCAAAACCGCCAAAGCGGACCAAGCGGACAACACCGTGACAGCCCAAAACCGACCAAGCGGACAGCACCGTGACAGCCCAAAACCGCCCAAGCGGACAACACCGTGACAGCCCAAAACCGACCAAGCGGACAGCACCGTGACAGCCCAAAACCGCCCAAACGGACCAAGCGGACAACGCCGTGACAGCCCAAAACCGACCAAGCGGACAACACCGTGACAGCCAAAAACCACCCAAGCGGACCAAGCGGACAACGCCGTGACAGCCCAAGGAAAGCCCAAACCTCAATCCGGACAATTCCTAAAATTCCGGGAATTTTCAGCTCCGGGGAATTCCCAAAATTCCCGGGATTTTTAGACAATAAGCGTTAAAATTCCCGGAATTTTCAGGATCCCCCTGCAAGGCCCTCACAAGCAGCCAAATGGACCGGAAGAGGAGGCGGGGCATCCGACGGGGCGGCCGCAGAGCGAAAATAGGGGTCGAGCCCGTAGCCTTTTATAGGGATATTTTTCAGATTTTTCGAGAAGTTGGGGGGGAAAAGTCAGTCAAGCAACTCCTCGCACATATTTTCATCTGACCCAACATGATGCGAGGCTAGTCAACTTCGCGTCAATCCATTCAGACCCTGGCGGCTGTAAGAAGTGTTGCCATGACATGATGCCTTGCCATGTGACCCCTCATCGTCAGAACATCTTCAATGCGAGTTTGTTCTCACCCGCAGGGACAGCAATATTTATTCATAATTAGCAAGAATGATGCGGGGATGGAATGGGAAAACATGTAACTAGCACTAGCCCTGCCACTGCTCTCACCGTATGCCTGTGCGTATACACTTCTTGATTTAGCATCCTTAAATCAGGCTCTGCCACAGACCCTGAACAGCCCTAAACAGCCAAGCAGAAAGACAGGCGCCTCGAGGAGGTGTTGGGCACTGGTGCGACCGTCCGGGGGAAAGACGAAGCAAAGCTCAGCAAGTCTCTGAACACCCGAGCCTTGGTTAGTTTTTTTGACTTCTTAAGGTTTCGACGCTCGCGCTCGTCTAGCTTATGTTGTTGCCACCCAGGGTTTAGGGTTTTAGGGTTTTCGTCTTTTGCCTCCAAAGCACCACTCCACAGTTGAAGCTTTGGGCTGTGACTCCGATGCTATCGGCTTCTGCAAGCAAGCACCGCTGAACTTGGTGCGGGACTCACACCACGCCTTAGCAGCATGTATCCACAACTCTCCTTAATGCATACTCGTTAGCTTTTGCCCTGTCCGTTTGCTGAAACCCCATGCGCTTTGACATCCAAAAGGCAACACAGCCTGGGAAATCTCTCAGCTTTCTCTCTGCAACTTGCACGATGTGTGTCGCACCCTGTTGCCCAACCCTGTCCAACTTGACCTTGATAGACTATGTCCCCTGCCAGTCCGTGAACGGAAGCTGCTTCTCAACCAATGTCTTCCTCAGGAGGCCACCAATCGAGATCATAGGCAAGAAGATCATAGACGGGAGCTGAGGTCGGAAACCACTGAGTTGCTTGTCTCTTGCGGGACTGGTGCTGACAAGGCGCGTCATCACTTGTTGGATAGACGTGCACTCCTGTGCAGTCTGCGAATTGCGGCTAACCCTGTCCTAATCAACCTAATCATCGTGCTCGGCGAAATTGGCACTGCAGCTCCAGTGTGCCCGTCCTCGTGCGGCAGCCTGCTTGAGATCACCTCCACGATCAAGCAACCAAGCGCCCAAACATCCACCTGCGGCTCTTCGTATTGCGCGCCGATGATGCCCCTTCACCCGAAATCCGTTGCCTTCTCTGTGATTTTGCCCCGGGAGTCGAAGAGCTCCGGCGCCATGTATCTTAGTCCAAGCTGGACAGACTAGTTTTACAAGGTGGCTTGTAAGCAGCCGCCAGAGCTTATGGGCATTGAGGCATTGAGGGCCTACACTCAACCACTGAGAGCTTGGCCGTGGGGATCCACCTTCGTTGTCCCTCCGACCTCAAGCTTTGAGAGAGCAGGCAAACTGTTACACAGCTGCGGGCTTTTGTAGGCTTTCTCGAATCCCTTACACACAGCCGTGCTTGCGGGTTGTTATTGGTCTCCTGGCTGACTGTATCGTGGCAGCCGGCATCAAGGACAAACAAATAGGGCGTCTTCGAATTTTGCTTCGCTGCTGCCGAGGAATGAGGTACCCTGAACCCAACAAGCAAGCTCCACAAGCCACAAACACTTTAAGACTGCAGCGCTGTGTTGCTTCCTCCTCTTGTAGTTAGTCAATCATGGCGTCATATAGCTGAGCTGCATCACTGCATCCAGCCGCAAAAAGTAATTCACGAAAGGCCGCATTTTCTCCGAACAACAATCACCGGAAACTACAAACGGGTAGCCCCCGTTAAAGGGACCGAGTTTAGAACTACCCAGAACCTGGGCGCCATCCGCCTACAAAACAATCATGCGTGTTTCATTCAAATCGTTGAAGCATAAGATTGGTCGACGCCTGGCTCCACAGCCCTAATCCCTCGTGGTCGCTTGTAAAGGTATTTTGCTTCGGGTTTAGGGCTGCCAACCCGAGGATTTGGGGTTTACGGCTCAAGTTGCTGGGGTCACTGGGAGCAGGAACTCAATCTTATCATTGTTCGGGCATGAAATGCTCTGGCCAGTGGTTGCACCCATGGACATGCTGTCGCACGGATTTCGTGCTGCAGTCGTAACAGAGGTCGTATCATTTGTGATACACTTCGGGTTGAATGGCTTAGCACGTTCAACTCTCACTCTCGCACGAGGCGGTTTCGGCGGCTCAGCTGTCAGCCTCTTCCAACAAAGTACATGACGCCCGCTTAGCGGTTTTGTTATCCAGCTGCACACAATACTAAAAAGCGCTTCAGCATGGAGACCAGGCAGTGAACTAAAGAATTGAATCAAGCGAATTTGAGATGCTCCGACATCAGCCAATTGAACAAAGCACGAACCTAATCTTGATAGAAGATCTGTTGGTAGCTACGTCCGGTTATCGCAAATTTGCTTATTTCAAGTCTTAACAATTCATATCTTGACTGTGTTTTGAAATGCTTGTCCTGGTACTGGAACTTTTGGAAAATTCTCATGTGCTGTAGCTTCGAGCTTGCGGGAAAAGCAAAGCACTTTGAGGCCGCAGCTTATGTGGGTCTTCTCCATGGACTGACGCGTAAGCCACCAGCTTTAACACATATTTACATGCAACTTGCGCAAAACATCCAAAACAGGGGAACAACTACACACCACCCGCAAGAATCAAATGCAAACAAATGCCGGGCTTGGTCTTGCCAACTTTCACAGCTTGCCCTGGAACTGTCTAGCCGCACAGCGACACTGCCAGATCCGAAGCACAAATGTCACCGGCATCCCAGGAGACGGTGCTCCGTGAACTCCCTCACTGTTGTTCTAATTGAAGCAGTGCAAGGCAGCATTATCAAACTAAACACCCATGCTGCCTGAGTCAAGCCAAAATCACAGAGCTTGGCGTTGAGCTCAAAATCCATGACAACCTCGGTGGCAAACTTCGGCTCTACTCACAGACGAGATGCAGCCACAGACGAGATGCAGCCACTCTCGCAGCTAATGTGTCGAACAAGCTTAAGGGGCCGGCATTCATGCTCTTCAAGTCACGGTGCACGAAGGGCGGCGACTTACTGTGAAGAAAGCTCACCTCATGCAGCGCTATCACTTGGTGGTCCCAGCCACCCCCCTGCTCGTGACCTTCCTGCCCACAAACCCTGCAACCTTTCGTATCATGTCGTACCCACAAGCAAATGTCATGCGTGCAAGCCAACATTGCTCCCTACGGATCAGCGGTGGGTCGCATGCTTTGCAACCAAGCTGCTCCTTCGGACACCTTGCAAGTCTTTTGGCATGTTTTGGCTGCTGCTTCCGGCTAAGTTTACTACAAGCTGATTTCATTCTCCCACGCTTGCCGCACGTGTTCTGTAGCAAGACATGTCGAATTCTGTCTGCTCATCAGCCCACTCTCGTCAGACATGGCTTTGCCTGTAATTCGATGTTACACTTGTCCGCCTGCGTTGCGATCTTGAACCGCTTGACGAGCTCCAGTGCCAACCTGGGACGCGATGCAAAATGATGCAACTGCCTCCACATCTGACACAGCTGCCTTGACCTGGTGACGAACTGCACACCGCTGGCGAAAGCTTCTGTCCGTTCTTTTCAAGAGAGCAAACGATGGTGCAGATCGTGGCAGAAGTCGTGGGGCCGAAGCTTTCGCTGATGCAGTGCCTCGTACAGAGACCTGTGTCCCGGGGCGCACGCGAATCACCGACTCTCACACTCAAACAGGCGAGGTCGATCGGCAGTCTCGAAATCAGCAGAAAACAATGACACCTTGACAGTGTGAATACTAAAGGCCAGTTGCAGCTGGGGTCCGAGCCCGTTGGGCATAAACTCAGTGACCTAAAAGCATGCCGGCAACCGCTTCGGCACGAGGCAGACTTAGCCATTCCAAGCATGCAGTGATCACGTCGGTCAGGTGTGCCCAGAAATTGTCATGCTTTAGGGCCTGTAGGCTTCAATTCGCCATCACTGCCTACTGCTGCCAGGCGGCAATCATTAGCGATGGTGCTGCAAGGGCAGCACCTCATGGTCGGGTACAACCCTGCCGCGTGCACTGGTGATGCAGAATATCTCGGCATGACGAACACGAGGCCCCCCACGGCAAAGTCCCAAGTGCTGTCAGCGAAACAGATTGGGGCATGGACCGATGAAGCTCACGAGGCGTGGATGTCTCAATCTGGCAAGGTTCATGACCTTCGAAGGGTTTCGTGGCAAACCCTGCTCGATGTCAAGCTGTTATGGGTGGCTAAGAGTCCCTAAACTTTTAGCCTATAAGTATGCCTCACCTTGAGGGTTCGTGAACAGGACCAGCCTTGAAAGAGCCATCGCTGACACGCGCGCAGCACTGTGGGTCCAACACAGGGGACTGTTTAGGGCCGTTTAGGGTTTAAGGAGACCCGAGCCTCCTTTTGGAACTCATGCTTCTGCTCAGGAGTCACCTCGGCCGAAAGCACTCCGATGAACATGACAAAACTTCAAGGACTAAGCCCGTCTTCAGCCTTGAGCTGCTGCAACTTTTTCGTTTGTTACCGCATTAGGCATTGCCTCCCATGGGTTCGAGAACGCTTCGAGCAGGACTGCGTGGACCCCCGATTGTCGCAGCTCGCACAACCTGTTTGATACAGACCTCCACAATGTCCACAGCGTTACAGACCTCCGTAACGTGTGAGACAAGAGATAGACCCTAACAACGACCCCGCCTGTGAATAAATCCGGGGCAATGGAACATACCCTCTGGAGCGTGGCATGTGCGGACGTGTTACAAGCCTATCTTTTGTGTTGGGGGGGGGGGGGGGCATATTTCTTTCTGGATGGCGGCACTCTTCCACATCCCTACCAAGCCCGAAAACCTTCGAGAACACTCAAAGAGAGTAGGATAGGAAGATCTTCAAGTGCCTTCGCAGATTTCCGGCATCTGCAGCATAAACTCCACACCGAAATTTTAAACCAGCAGTGGCTGTTCGGTGCCCCAGTGCGTGAGGCAGCCATGCGACCTGACCGTCAATCACGTGGAGCTTCTTGATGGCTACCTGCATGTGCGGCTTGAGGCTCTACACGAAGAAAACGAAGCAATCATTGCTTCGATGTTTCGTTGGGATGTGAAGTCGGCCCCAGGTTGAACCCATCAAGGGCAAACACATATAGACGAAACCTGCTCACGCCAAGCCTTCCCCCCTTAACCCCGATCTCAACACATTGGCCGTCCCCCAACAGTGTCTTCTGGTCCCAGTATATACATATATACATATGTACATATATACAAATGTACATATATACATATGTACATATATACATACATATATATATAGATTGTGTTTTATCATTTATTGAATTTTAAATTTCTAGTTATATTTATCTGTATATTTCTATATTCATTTACATATTTTATTTCATTACATACTAATCTATATCCATTACATATATAAAAATAACAGATGGCTACTCCAAAACAAAGATCCAAAACATACGATATAGGCCGATAGGCCCTCAGCATCCAAAGAACCTCCAAAACCTCCTTGCTCCCTGGCCTCTTGGCCGCAGTAGGTGCCCCGGTAAACGGCCCCGAAGCCGCCCGAGCCGAGGACCTGCCCATGTAGAAGGGAGCATAGGGGAGGGAGTGGCTTGTTGAGGGGTTTAGGGTTTCTTTTTGCCGCCCGCCTAGGGGGTTTAGGGTTGAGGGAGGTCTATGCCACTTATACTAGTGAGTGTGTTGCAGGGCAAAGGTATAAAATGTTCCCTCCCCGGTAACCTTGACATGTTGGTGTTGTTGACGCCGGCCCTCTTAAGAACGAGGACCATACCCGATCATCATACTCGTTCTGTTCGTTCCACTCCAAACCAGGCCCAGCTGACACACACAAAATGCCGAGGGGTCGCCTTTCGGGCGCGGTACCTAAGGGGTAAATGGTAGGTAGTTAGAAAATTACGAGGGGGGTTAGGAGATGTTAGGAGGTCACAAGGGGTGCCTGCCCCTTGTGGCCATGATGCGACTGCTTCGTACTACTGTTGTTTGAATGTTGTTGATCTAGTACGACAGTCGTAACATGACAGACGAATCACACTTCGGGCGCAGGGGTCTCGGGGCCAGTGGCTCGGAAGAGCAGAGCCAAGCTGAAGACAGTACTGGTAGCAACCCTTTTTGCAACTGGACTGCGTACAGCTGCCAGGAAAGGATACGACCCCACTCAGCCTCGACTGGTAGCAACCCTAAACCCTTTGAGCAACGGACTTTGGAGGCTGCCGGCAAACATGCAACTTCTTAGAAGTCACACCACGCAAAACATCACGCAAACTGTTCTATGCACCCATATCACCATGAGGAAGCACGCGTGAATTCAGGAAAGAAATCTGCAAGGCCGTGAGTATATCGAATAGTAGAATGCGCTGAAACTGTTGCCACATACGACTAGCCAAGTGATGCAAGAACAAGAGCAAACTATCCGCCAGCTCTTCGCCCAAATGTAGCTGTATGACCAGGGGAGCAGAAAGCATGCAGATGTGCTGAAGTGTAGTCGCCCAGGAGTTACAGGCATCTGAACCCTCAACCACAGCGAGACTCATCCAGCCCTCTTCGACAGACAACCAGTGGAGACAAAATCCCTCAGGGAGAGGCTGCGCATACACCAACTGTAACCATGAAGGACAAAGACTGTAGAGCTTGCGAAGACAGGGCCAAGAATTGCTGGTACCGATCTTGGGACAGTAAGCATACCACTCAAGGACCTGGGGAGCCTTTGCAGCCCACCAGTCTCTGTCAGCAGCTCTCACAGCAAGAGCCTCATCAGTAGGAAGACTCGATCCACCAACCAACCGTTGAACCATGACCTTAACACACCTAAGACTAGAGGACCACGGAGCTCCTTGCTGCTGTTCGCCCTGACAGCGAAAGAAGGACAAACGCGCAGGGTGCGAAGCATGCATTCGAAGAACATGCCCAAAATAGTTCCACTTGCGCATGAGCCAGGAGTCAGCCCACCGCCATCTGCGGTCAGTCAAGACGACTGACTGCACTGCGCGACGGCGCAATCGGAGCAAAGCGAATGCCAGTGATTGTGGAGCAGCATCTGGGATGTAGAGGTTGAGTGCATTGAGTGTATAAGTGCATTGCCAGATGTCAACCTGTCGTACGTACTGCACTAGGGGGTAGAGCAAAGGGGCCAACCACAACCAAGTAGAAGCAATATACCGTTGCATGACCTGCAAAACCAGAACAATGTTGCACCACCCAATTCTGCACACAATCGACTGAAGGGACTGCCACGCGCCATGAAATGACCTCTGGCACTGTCGAAGCAAAAGATTGGTGGTATCTGCTGCACTGTTGGGATGACTGAGCCTGCGTTTGAGATACACGATGGAGGTGTCCCAAGTAAACCTGGCTAGCATGGAACCCGAAGGAAGGCTGCTAACGACAGCATCGAAAACCGACGGGGAGGTCATCGCTTGCGACTTGCCCTCATGCAGCTTGAGACCAAGCTCGGCTAGTGCTTGCGCTACTTCCGGAAGTAGACGATGAGCATCAGAAGCATTGAAGAAGTTAAGGAGGATGTCGTCAATATAGACTAAACCGTAGGTATCATGCAAGCACTGCTCACCTCGGGCTCGCCAAACGTCAAAAAGCTGCTGCATGCGACGTGCAAGCACGGCTGCAAACAACTGGGCACTGAAACTGGAGCCCTGCTGTATCCCCTGCTGCTGATGCATAGACCACTGATGACCGAAGAGCTCGAAACAAAGTTGAGGATTGCGGAGAGCCTGAAAAAGACGTAAGGACTCCCAAGCCACCTCATCAGAGCAAACCTCAAGCAAAAAACTGCCCACCGACCAATGCGACATGGAATCGAAAGCAGCTTCAACGTCCAAAGAAACCCACACCGACGATGTGCCCCATTTCGCTTCCCTTTCAAGTCTATGGCAACAGCAGCTGACCGCATCCAGGGTCTGCGTCCCCTTGCATCCAGCCATTTGACACTGAGGCACTGGAAGCTGATCACCGATACGCCGAATCAACAGGGCAGTATATAGTTTGGCCATAGCTTCGATTAGATTGATGGGCCGGAAGTCCTTGGCAGTCCGGATTTGAGTGCACTTCGGGATCAAAATGACCCATGCCTTGTAGTATCCCTCTGGCAGCTCCCCGTGACTCAGCATGTGGTTCATGTGGGTAAGTAGGAGCGCGGCCCCCTCAGGCAGCGCATGCACACCTTTGAGAAACTCCGCCGACACCCCTGACGCACCACAACTCTTGCCCAACTTGAGTTTGCACACCGATGCAGCCAACTCATCAGCTGTGAAAGGCTTGAAGTCGTGACACTTTGCTTGCAGGGAGGCTTCTAGCTCATGGAGTGCTGCATCTGAGGGTGGAGGGTCAGGCGCATAAAGGCAGCGCATACGGGCTTCAACCGCCTCGGCGGCCTCATGCCGGCCAGAGTGCGCCGACCACAAGGTTGCAAAGTCAGTTGGGGGCCGACCACGATTGCGCAAGTATGCTATGGCTGCTGCATCCCCTGCCTGCGCCTTGTGCAGGAGGGCCTGAAGCCACTGTTTCCGGGCTTCTCTACGAGCTGAGAGCACTCGTCTCGAGTACTCAGCTCTGTCAGCAGGCTGTGCACACAGATGGCGTTTACGGCACAACTCCTTAACTTCGGGAGGATCTCTGTACGAGGGCCTTCTGGTCGACGACTTCTGTGCCCAGTCCGCGAAAATCTGGCTCTGCACTTGCACCGATTGTTGCGCAAACCAGTCTGGGTCCACAAGCCCATTCTCCAGCTGTTGAGGAAGGGTAATCCACTTACCGCATCGAGTCCCTTGTTTGCGCGGCCTCCTACGCTTCTTAGGGTGGGGGTTAGGGACGGGAAACATGAAAGCAAGCAGCACCAAATCGTGATCAGAACCAAGTTCTAGTCTCGCCTGAGAGGCCCTCTTGATGGAGGTCTGATGCATCCGGCTCGTAAAGTCTCGTGACAGGAAGGCATAGTCAAGCTCTTTGTGACCACCCCTATGTCCATGCCAAGTTGACTCTCCAGTAAGGTGACAACGAAACCCGAACAGAGAAAGAGCACCAAAAAGCATGTTATAACGATTGTTGGCATCTTGAGGGTCAGCATTCCAATCACCAAGGAGGACTGCGCAACCATCTCTCGCAAATCTGTACATCCCCTGCTGTAAATCGCAAAGGGCTTCGGAATACTGTGCGTCGGAATTGTCCCCATGAGGAAAGTGAGTCCCAACGATGGTGAGAACTTGATTACCCGTGGTGAGGATTTGTGCCCCGATGTATCTTGCGCCCTTGAAAGTGCGTAAGACTTGCTTACACACCAACTTGTCGAAGACAATCACTTGACCGAGGTACGAATCCAAGTCACTGGTGCCAAGGACAAAGAAATCATGCAAATCACTTTCCTCAGGAAGAAGATATTCATTTAATTCACCCATGGGCCTTGAAGGCACAGACCCCAAACCCCCAACTTCCTGCAGGGCAACGGCGTCCCAACCTTCACCAATGAGTCCACTCCAGTCCCCGAAGTTGAAGATATCGCAGCCATGGATATTCCACGACCCTACCTCAAACAGGGTTCCAGCGTCATAGGCCACTTGTGAGGATCAGTCTGTGTGTAGGGCCACTTCCACGTCGCCCAAGTCCTTTCCAGTGTACTCAGAGATGGCGGTGACATTAGCGTAAAAGCGAACGGTGACACCATCCTCACCCCTAAAGTTCACCGAGACTGCGCGGTCAGAGGCAGGAGCAAAAAGTGCATCCATGGAGGGCCCAATTGCCCGCTTGTCTCCTGCCCACAGGAGCTGCCACTGCCAGTCCACTTCGATGCCTTTCTTACTGTCTTCGTCTGGGCACAGGGCCTCAAGCTTTCCAAGGAAGTGCCCCGTGACTTTGTTGCGCTGTCGTCTTTCCAAGGTACGATTTGGGCTAATCCAGATAAGCTGGCCAGCCGTCGTGGAGAACTTCTTGGAGCAGGCCGAGTGGATCTCATAGAACCTCTCTTTGGCAGCTTGGAAAGGAAGAACATCCAGATACACATGCGCGTTCCGTGTTCGTGGTCCTCTAACTTGCACCGACTTCACCGGGATCTGAGGGAAATTGCGCAGAAGAGCCCAAGCATCATCAAGCACGATCTGGCGTCGACTATCTGTCCCCCAGCCGCCCAAGACCAGGTGGTTGAAATCAGTATCCATTGTCTCCCCACCTGGCTGGTTTCGATGGCGGTCCGGAAGCTGGTCCCTAGCAGGAAGCCTCGCCGAAGGTTGACGATCTGGAGCTGAGCTGGATTGCCCCCTCTGCAGGTTCGAAAGGTTCGAAGGGGGAGGCGTCGCCTTCATCTTCATGACTTCATTCTGCAAGGCGTCCATCTGTTGTTGCATTGTGTCCATGCGATTCGAGTGTGCTGCATCCGAGGTTTCGATCTTGGTGCGGAGTTCTTGGAAGCCGCCTCCGAGCCTTGCAATCTGCTCAGAAAAAACCTCCTTCATGCTGGTGGCCCACGCGGGTTCTTGCTGTTGAGCCCTGAGCAAAATCTGAAGTTGAGCCTCTGCCGACATGGTTGAAAGGCCTGGGAGTGCAGTTGATTGAGCCCCCTCCAGCAAAGCAAGTGGCTCTGATTCCCGTCCACTTGCAAAACTAGGCCCAAGCTTCGCCCTTTTGGGAGATTCTCCTCCGCTGGCCAAAGCTGGAGCACCATCATTGGCGGGATCAAGTTCATCATCGCTGTCATCGGGTATCGGTATTGTACTCTGATGTGCCCCTTCAAGATCAGTCCCAATGCCCGCCATGAGCCCTCTACTTGGAACCCCACTCACAACTCAAACCAATCCTCGAGCCTAAACCTTGAGCCAAAATGGCTAACCCTAAACCCTAAACCCTAAACCCTTTTGCAACTGGACTCCTTGCTAAACCCTAAACCCTAAACCCTAAACCCTAAACCCTAAACCCTAAACCCTAAACCCTAAACCCTAAACCCCTTCACTATCTGGGCTCTTCTTAACGATTCTCCCTGCCAGGCCTTCCCGACCTTGAGGTCATCAGCATTCAGAATCACATTGCGCGGTTCCTCTTGAACCTCGGGAGCTTTGGCTTGGGTGAAGGTCAGGCTGAATGCCTTTGGCAGTGACGCTGCGTTGACGTCGACAGCGGATTTGACAGCTACAGCAAGAAGCCTCTTTCTTGCTCGCCGAGTGTGTAGGTTTTGGCGCGCGCTGCACCACCGACACGTTCTGCCTGGCAAGGCAGCCCCGCGTTACGAGAGCTTGCGGGAGCCATCACCAAAGGTTCGTTTCGGACATGCATTGCGCATCAAGATTCATTTTCCAAATGTTGGAATTCCCATTGTGAATGAACTTCGGGGCAAGGCTTGGTGCAGTACCCAACTTGCCTGGGAGTGGCAGCCTCCACGTCGATGCCCTTAGCTTCATGTCTTGCGATGTCAAAACTACTGCTGAAATTGCAAAGCCTGCATGCCTGACACTCGGCACGGAAAGGCGGAGCAAAATCCAGAATCTACCTTGCCTTCATGGCGGGTGCTGCAGGCAGAATTGGCGCTGGTTCCTGACGGAGGGCACGCATGCTTCTCTGATCGATATTGGAGCCGAAGCCGGAAATTCCAACGTGCATTGCCCCTTTTTCTCGTGAGAGCAAGCCAAAGACTCTAGCTAATGTCAAGTGGCGCTGGCCAGATTCCTAAACTCTCCGAAACTGACGCATATCGAAGTCCGTGACAGAAAGCATTGGGGATGCTGCCTTCCCCACCACGGATTCTCCCTTCTTCGGCCTGGAGTGTCGCTTGCACAGAAATCCCTCTTTCGGTCTCGTGCCGGCTGCTCTGCTGGTATGGTGTCTTGAAGCAGAAGAACCGGGCTTCATCGCTGCCAGCCACAGGCTCGCTTAACTTCCGACTTCCTGCAGATGATCTGAGACCCTCGCGCAGGCCGCAGAGAGTCCGAGCTGCGAAGAAGCAACTTCTCGCACCACCTTTGGCGGACAAAGTGAGGAACTTTTCCAATTGAACCATCAGCGATGCAGAGTTTTACTTCAGTGGGGACCGAGCGAGAAGGGAACCACCAGCATGCCCCATTCAGTACCCCCAAGGCAGGCAGAATGAACAATCCCTCCAAAAACCTGCCAGCAGAGAGATAGGAAACAAGCAAGCCTCGGCGGGCGTTTTGATTGGGATTGAGACTGCGACTGCAAAATCACTGAGATGCGAGAACTGTGCGTCCAGGAATGCAAGGCAACCAGCCTTTTCTTGCAAGTCCAAACGTCCAGCTGTCATCTACTGCTATAACTGCCTGGCACTGTTCTGCCGTCCTGCCAGGAACTCCTGGTGTGACTGTGCGATGCATGAAGTGTGAAGATCCTCTATAGAGGGCACGCGCGCGCGTGCGCGCGCGAGGCAGAACAGCGTTTAAAGGATGGGTGTAAGCTTAGGGCAATACGGGCGAGATGGCGCACGATGCACCTGGCCCTCAGGAAGAAACGCAGATTCAACATCTCCGAAGCCTCTCCGACTCACACTCTTGGCTAGACTCATGCATCAACTGGGCGTCCGCTTGCAGCCAGCAATGCCTCATCAGAAACTTGCAGGCGCTTGCCCTTGGAGTAGTTCTTGGACTTGTGTCGATGAACCCATCTGACATCATACTCCAGGTCTTTGTCGGCAGAAACCCCAAAGGCTTCAAGCTCGGCAGCGGTGACCTTCTTTGTGGCAGTCTGGGACGCCACACCACTTCGATGCTCCAAGCCCTGGTAGATGATGATGGTGCTTCGTGTGGTCTTAGAATCGTCAGCGATCATGAGCTCGATGTCGTTGATGTTCCCAAGCCGCCGCGGAGGCTTGAAACTTTGTCGCTGCTCCCGTTGCGCTGCTACAGGGGTTCCATATGTTCGGCGCATAGAGAAGCCATGGAAGTTTCGAATCTTCAGCTCGCCTTTGGCGTACTTTTCGATGCTCTGTAGCCACTCATCGACGGAGTCGGCCCCTTTGCCCGCCCCAGCAGCTTCGTAGATCTCCTTGGCCTCATTCGCACGGAGCCTGCTCTGCTCGAAGTCCTGCAGCCCCACGTAGGCTGCGGACTCCATGAGCAAGGCGGTAGTCTCCAGCATTGGCTCACGGAGCGTCCTGAAAAGGTCCAGGGCCTCCTCTGCGGTCCGCAGGGCAGCCTCGAAGTCGTGCAGTGCCAGGTTGATGTTGGCGAGGCAATGCAAACAGTAGCCCAGTTCGACACTCTTCTCGCGCAGGTCTTGGAAAAGTGCCACAGCCTCCTTCGATGCCTTCTTTGCCTCCTCTAAGCTGCCTTCACGAGCTTTCTCCACGCCACAGAGCAAGAACTGGATCTCGGCCATGAGAGCTGCAATCTGGGCTCTTCCACGCTTGTCCCCAGCCTTGCGGTAGGCTAGGGCCGACATCTCCGTTGCAGCCAAGGCCTTGGAGAGGTCTTTCCGCTCCATGTAAATCTGAGTACTGAGATGCCACGCCTTTGCCTCGCTTCGGTCCCCTGCGGCTGCTAGCATTGGTGCAGCAGTGGCGAGGGCGCTCAGGGCCTGCTCCAGCCGCCCCTGAGCCTGGAGGAGTTGCGCGCTGATGAGCAGCACGCGTCCTTCGCCTCGCTTGTCTTTCGTCCCTCGGAACCGTCTCAACTGCTCATCCAGGTACTGAAGTGCTTCACTGAACTTCCCAAGCTGCGCTAGAGCAAAGGCCTGAGTGCTGATGCAAGTCAGTTGACCTTCGCGACTCTCCTCGTCCAACGCGCCGGATTGCTCGAAAAGTGCAGCTGCCTTTCTGGCGGCGACCAGGGCTTCGTCAAAGTCCTTGCGGTCCAGGAAGATGGAAGCGCTAAGAGTTTGTGCTTTCGCCTGGCCTACAACGTCTTCAGCCGCTTGAAACACGGAGATAGCAGCCTCCGCTGCTGCCAGGGCAGGATCCAGATCGCCAAGATCAGAGTGCATTCGCGAAAGGAGAACGGAGACTTTGGCCTCCTCCTTCCGCTTGCTTGCGGCGCGGAAGATGGACGCGAGGCTCTCTCCACAGGCGGTGGCATCCAGCGTGTTCTGCTTGGCCTTACACGCCTCGATCAGCGCCTCCAGGGCATGGAGCTGCCGTTCGGGAAGGCCCAAAGCTTCGTAGATTGCCAGTGCCTCTTTGGCAGCGGCAGCCCCGGGCTCGTTGCAGACTGCACGAGCTTTCGCAACCAAGCACAGGAGGTCTGCCTCTAGCAAGCGATCCTCCAGCACGCGGGCTGTGGGTATCGCGTTCTCCAGGAATCCCAGGGCCTTACGCCCTGCTCCCGAAGCCAAGGCAGCCGAGGCTGCGGTGACCACAAGTTGTGCCTCACTAAGGCGGTCTCCGAGCGAGCGGCACAGCCTCAGGGCTTCTGCAGCTCGTCCAAGGGCCTCGTCAGTGCTATGCTTGGCCAGCTGGGCCTTCGCCAGAGCATGGAGCGACGCCGTTTGGCCCACGTAATGCCCCAGCTCCTTGAAGAGCTTCAGGGCATGGTTTGCAGCCTGGAGCGCCAGCATGTTGTCGCGCCCGAGGAATGCGGCAGACTTCACTAGCAACGAGGTAGCTTCACCTTCGAGGTTCCCTTTCTCGCGGTAGGTCTTGGCAGCTTCCATCGCTGCCTGCCCTGCTTCCTGCATTCGGCCCAGCTCCTTCAGCGCCATCGCCTTCGCTGGCGACGAAGTGGCGTCTGCAGCTCCGAGCGGAGCAGAGCTCTGAGATGTTGCCCGCCGCGGCTGCAGTGTGGGCGTCCAGGCCAAGCCAAGCCGATGTGCCAGAGAGATGGCCTGGGCCACATCCGGCGATGCTTGGGCCAGAGCTTTCTTTGCCACTTTGACTGCCTCGCCCCAGCGAGAGTCACCAGGATCAGGCAAGTTGTTACTACTCGCATCTGTTAGCAGGAGGCTTGCTTCCCCCCAGGTCGCCCCAAGACCCCGCAGGGATTCCATGAAAGCCTGGCCATCGGGGCTACGGCACAGGCCCACGACAGCCCGAGACGTTGCGGCAGCAGCCTGGGTTACAGTGATGCCTAGTCGCTTGCTTTTCTCTTCCACCTCGGTGCACACTGCAAGGGCTTCTTCGATCTTTTGCTGGATGGCCAACTCGCATGTCCTTGCCCACACCAGCCCTGCATCTCCGCGCAGGCTGGCCATGGCTTGGGACAGCTACAAGCCTTGCAACCCCATGCGGCGGTCACCGCCTTGGGATCGGCCCGGAGATGCTCAGACCTAGCCTGCTGATTCGGCTGAACGTAGCCCGGTAGGTCCTGTAGGAACTCCATGGTACTTGTAGTTAGGGCCTGCTTACATATGTTAGCTTATACTGATTGTGGGGATCGTGTGCCCCAACATTTTTGTGGCTGCTAATGCGTGGCCCTTCCTGCGAATATCCAAGGTTGGAACGCATGCGTTGCCTTGAGCCAAGATATCGACAGACACGATCATGCTCAGCCCCTTCCAGCCTCCACTACGCAAGACTAAGTATTGAGGGTCCCCTGCATCGGCGTTGTCGAGGAGACAGCCCATGGTACTTGTCCAGGCCACGTGCGATGGTCAAAGAGCATGGATAGTTGCTTGGGGACCCGCTGCCGCTCCGCACTGGGATCTTTCGACTCGACCTTGTGGCCACAGGTGTGTGCGAGTGTTCAGTATGCACAGATGTGTTGGGATGCCACTTGCTTTCCAATCGATTCGACTCCATCAGCTATAGCGAAACGATTCTAAACTTGGTCAGCGACGGCCAAAGACATCAGCGAAATTTGGATCAGAAACCGCCGCTCTGTGACTGCTGAGCCAAGAGGCGAGGTATCTGACCTTGACCATCTCGTCGTTTGCCTTGTGAGATTCCAAACCTACTACCCCCCCCCCCCCCCACCCTGTGGAGCTTGTTCATCCCGCAACACTCTGCGCGCGTGGACAAGCCTGCACAATCTCACCCGGGAACCAGCGGCCTCCACTCTTGCTGTAGACCTCCACAAATCCCAGACGGGCGGATCACAGATCACACACACAAAGTTGATCAAATTTGCGCGCTAAACAGCACCCCATTGAAATCCGTTCAAACTCTCGTACATCTGACATCTCACCTGCGCCTCATTATAGCTTCTGACTCTGAGCTCGAAACCCCTTGCACCCCTGCTGCATCCTTCTGACTGTAGACTGCCTCAACGGGTCTGCCTTTTGCATACTCGTCGAGGGCGGGCCTGGCGTTGCGCGGCAAGAAGATCTCCGCAATTTTCAAGCAGATCACTTTCCATGAAGCTGGCCTGGGCCTGGGGTAGCCAGCTTCTGATGGGAGAGCCTTAAGCTGCGTCAGAAGGGCTTCCGCGTGCTGCGTAAACCTTGCAACATGGGCTGAAGGTGGGGCCTTCCCACGCTCTACAAGCGGATCCAATACTATAATGTCCGTGATTCAGCCACGCTGACGCCCACAACGACCCCCTACCGTCACCGAACGTGATCAAGAGTTCGTTGACTCAAGCCTTCTTGTGATTTCTTGTGTTTCGCTGCAGGGCATGATGCGGAAAAGCTTACAGTACAGCGGCTCTTGGGACTTAAGCTCTAGTTCGTTCACAGCTTTCAGATCTCCTTTCCAAATTCGCCTGCTGTACAGCAGGCACCAAAGCTAGACACGCCTTCCTTCGCCTGGCTTCGTTGGCACCTGGCCTGCTTGGCAGGGCGGGCAGCATTTGGTACATCACCTGACCACCGTGCGGCAGGCGCGATTGTGTGTGTGTGTAAGGCATTATTCTCTTCATTCAGCACAACTTATGAAGAGCTTTAAGACACAATCATCTACATCACGTGATGTGGACTGTTCCACGTAGAGCCACAAGCATGACGATGCATCATGAAAGTACATAATACCAAGCCATTAGTTCTATGGTACTCTGATGGAGGCGCCTGCTGTGAGCCACGCCCCTGTTATGCTTGCCTGATATTATGATATTGTGGGCTGTTCCATCTTCCCCCCCTTCTTCCCCCCCCCCCCCATCCCGCCTCGGTCTTGGATTGGCTTCTGGTTCTGCCGTTGAAGTCAGTAGGGGGTTGCGAGTTGTTGTTTCTGCTTGCCAGCGTGGCGTCGCCACCACCGACGATTCTTTTTCCACCGACCCAATTGCAGAGAGGACCGTGCCCTGCCAAACATAATCTTCGCGATTTCGCATGTCACCTATGCCTGTCCCGTCTCGTCAGGATGCAAAGTTTATGTTCACCACGGCTGAAACTTCTACAGCATCTCTACAGCTCGACCCTCACAGCGACCTGCCTCGCAGAGTCTGGGCTCTGCATCCAGGGCCGATCGCAAAGCGGCAGCAGTGTCCTCTCGTATTGGGGTGTTTAAGACGAATGGTTTGCACTTCAACGTGTTCGTTGTCCGGGATTCGGGGACAACTCCTTTAAGCTTACCCTGGGCTCTCGCCTCCGGACCCAAACTGGACCCAGAGAAGGCCTCACAACCTTTTGGGTCTTCTCTTTCTGTGATGTGAGATCACGGGGATGCCGTAAGAAGCACACCTTGTGAAGGATTAGGCTGTGTGTACACTTGAGCCTTGAGCTTGGATTCTTGGAGAGGGGAAGGGGCTGCACGTGCCATGTTTTGCTTGTCTTCGGCCCTTTTGGCAGAGCTGTCAATGCAGCTGCACATGCCTGCAGGTGCTTTCGCAGGCTGCTAAGGCTGTCTGTTGGAGTCCTCACCCTGCTGCCTTTGCGCCAGGGCCTGACGCCGCAGCTGCAAAACGCAATGCTTAGATGCAATGCGTGACTCAGCACTTCTTTTCAGATATTTCAAATAGGACGCGCCAAAGCAGAAGGCTGTCTGCCAATGCGACAATGCAGTTGGGCGACTGGTGCCTGAAACAGAAAAGCAGATGCGTCGGCCAGACCTGAAGGGACCTGGCTCGCGGCGGGTGTTTCACTATGTTCCTGATGTTCTCGGGGCTGTTCTCAAACCGGTGGAAACCTAAAGGCTACATACTACATGGTGTAGACGAAACAAGGCCTTCTGCAGCATCTCCAAGGCGGCCTTTGGGTGATCCTGCCTCGGAATCAGGCTCCCAGTTTCGTCGCTCACTCTCGCGCTCGGGCAAGGCTCCCGAGGCTTCAAAGGTCACAAGCTGGCGAGTCGCCTGATCTCAACACCGAAGGCAACCGACCACAACCACATTCCATAGATCAGGCGGAAGCACCCCTCAAACACCTAAGTGGTGGCCCGTTTAGGGTTTTAGGGGGTCCAATTCTTGCTCTCTTTGTTTGTTGACCCACGAATGCACACAGAACTGCTTGCTGTTCGGCTGTGGCTCAGCACGCAGCAAGAGATGTCCTGAGCAGGCAAAGGGGGGCCGCTCAGCTAAACCTGCTGAGAAGCCCTCACACCGTCTGATACCCAGAAGTCAAGAACTACCCTGTTGTAAACTCTGACACTCTCCGACAGGTACAAACCATACACTCAGAGGGGGTCCATAGCCCAGCCAGCATCGAATTTCCGCCACGACTTGCGGCTTTGGCTGGTCCAAAGCCTGCAGTCAGAAGACTACTACCGGGAGAAGGTCCTACACTTACACGCAAAACTGCACTCCAAAGCTGGCACAAAGCCCTGCATGAGCTGATTCCTTGATGCGGAGCACGGTGCCATAGAGCAGTGTCTTTCTGGAATGGCCATGCCATTCTTCCTTCCCCTTTTGCCTTCTCGCATCGTCTCAGCCGCTCTCCGGCTGACACTAACCACGCATGCCTGGCGCAGTCGACGAAAGGATAAGAAACAAAGGGTCCATCAGCCGAAATCCTTTCATTCACTGAACATCCTAAACCTGAACCAAATGCTCGGACCGGGGGCCGGGCGCTTTTGCAACTTGGTCCTGGCGCAGTGCCGCCTGCGCCAGGCGGGCGGGCCACAGGCAATTCTCCGGGTCCAAGCGCTCCAGCTCCTGGTTCGGGGCTTTGACACGTACATTCCGTACATAAACGTACATAAATTATGTGTAAGTGGTGTTCATGTATGTAAATATATGAAAAAACATGCCAAAGATCTTTTGCACATGTGTGGACTAGATTGCTTTTTGTTATGGCTGCAGAAACCCAGCACGAGTGTTTTTTTGTGACTGATGCGTAGGCTTCAGCTGTGGGTTCCCACACTTGCCATTTCAAAGATTGCATTTCCAAGTGTCTTGCTGGGAAAAACGCCAGGCCCTTCTCTCAAGCACAGCTATGCAAGTCATGCATACACTGCACATTCTCCAATAAGGACCAATAAGGGGCTTAAAATGTTCTAAGAAGAACAAGAACCCACAAAAACGACTAAAGGCGATGTGATCACACAGCCCTGCGGGACCGCCCCTGCCCCCTGCTTGCTGCACGGGCAGAAGCCTTGCCTGACCTTCCTGCTGATACAGCCCTGCCACGAATCATTTTAAAGCGACGAATTTCGCACCCGAACCTTGTAAGCACAACCCCCGCGCAAAACTCTGCACCAAAAACTTTGACACACGCACACACACACACACAAACTTCGCACATGAAAGTCGTGTGTGAGTTTTTCTGTCTGCAGACTTGACCGCTTGCGTACCCCAGAAACAAGACACTGTGCTGACTTGCATTGCTGTGCTGAGCGATAGGACCTTTCATCTAACTCCTGATGCTTTGCCATGAGGAACTGAGTCTATGAGCCCATCCCATAAGATATCAGCGAAGGAGGCAATATAGCCAACATGAATCTGAAGGAAAATGGTGCGTCTTGTGTGGGCTTTTGGTGGAAAAGGTATACTGGGAAGGGCTTTATTTCACTCACTTCGTTCGCTTGTCTTATTCCCTTCGCTCGTTACATAATAAACCAAAATTCGCTGTGAAGAACAACGCCAAGAATACGGGCACCTCTGCACTCAAGATATCTACCTGGTGCCGACACTAGCTAGCTTCCTTTCTTTCTACGTTTGGTCACGATATTTACTTCTGAAGCAAGCGTCTGGGGCTTGCAGGTTCGGCACAAGAACAATTGTGTAGAACGCCAGTCCACGGACAGTTTGTAAATATCTTAAAAGCAGCCTTTGTCCCACATTCCAGACTGCCGTAAACATGCACACAACTTTCCCAAAGCCCCTCCCCGCTCTGGTTTCAAGGTATCCTGCTAACCGGGAAAACAAAACAGGTTCAACAAAAACAGCTTTCACAGCAAACTGCGGCCCTTAAACCCTTACTCCACCGCATGAGCAACCCCCACATTTCAAAATCCCTAGAACCCTACAAGCCCTAAAGACAAGTCAAACTTTATGGCCAATCCGGGCCAGTCCTGATACCAGGTCGCCGCCTCACGAAGGTGCCCGCGCCTCCACCGAGCTGTGGCTGCGACCTCCAAAGCTTCCTCGCGCGTTTTCTTTGAATCGCTCACACTCGGACAAGCCAGGGGAGGCACACTGTCTCTGTGCTTTGTTTTTTACCTGCTGGACTGCTGGCGCTTGGGTGGCAACGACTACGGCAACCTGGCGGAAAGGGCGAACGCGTACTTGCTGACCTTCTTAGGGGGGCTCTTCGTCATTGAGCCTCCTGACTTGTGCACTCTCATGACGACGCCACCCTCAAGATGGACGATGAGGGAGCCCGGTGGAGCGCCTGCATCAAGATCGCCTGCCTCAAGGGCATCAAGACCCAACAGACCCAACCAGGTGTCGCGTGTCCCATTGGCGAGATGGTTCTTGTCTTTCAGGTCCTTGAGTGGGATGGCTCTTTGTTTCTCCTCCAGGTCTTCGTATTCGTAGTCCTCTTCATCCTTGCAGGCCGATAGCCTGTACTCGCGGATGGTATCTCTCTTGAGCTTCGCGTAAGTGGTGGACTCCATGAGAGACCCTGTGGCACATGCCACAGAGTAGCGGTGGGATCGGACGAAGTATTGGGGGTGGAACATGCCGGACTGCACATAGCACTTGTAGTGCACGAACTCCTCACATGATCAAGCCGAATCAAACCCATCAAATATCCATGCAGGGTTAGGGGTTGTGTGTATGTGTGGCATGTGGCAGAAAGGGCTTGGGCTTTGTCTTCAGTGTCCAACAAAACGCACGCGCACAGCGTACGCGCACAGCACACGTCACAGCACACGCGCACAGCACACGCGCACAGCGTACGCGCACAGCGCACGCGTCCCTGCACACATACACACATACACGCATACACACACACACACACCCACACCCACACACCTATACAGACCTGCGTGCTTGCATGCTCGCGAGTGCAAAGTACGTGCCAAAGGAAGTGGGACCTCAGCCACAAAGTGCCAAAGTGCCAAAGTGCCACAAACCACATTGCGCTTGGCAGCTGAATCCTTGGAGGCTCGGTTCTCTTTGGCAGCCATCTCGAGAAAGTGCAGCGCCTGTGAGTCCTGCGCTGATTCATACGGGCTGATGTGTATGAATATATCAAAATAACATATAAATAAATCATAAATAGATATACATATATATATATATATACATACACCAACATATAAATGTATATATATATATACACACATACATCTGATTATCATTTGCCGATTGTCTTACACTTACACTTTCTTAAGACAATTATGCTGCCAAACGCCAACCTGCTCAGACCATTCTCGTGCCTTGCCAGCCCTCTCCAGGATCAATGCCTCACGGGGTGTCAGGGCAACATGAACAAAGGCCACACCGCCTTCTTTCAATATGAAGGTTCTCTGACAAAAAGGGGGTTCCCTTTGAGGATATATCAAATCATCCCGGTGTTGGGAAATACCGCATATCCAACAGTTTCATTGTGACCCTCTCCTGGCCTTCTGTTCCAAAGCCAGCGCATTAGTTGGGCAGAGCCGCAGTGCTCGATCCAAGTCAGCCTGCTATTCGGATATATATATATATATATATGTATATATGTATATTATATATATATATGCACATATATATAATCAATAAGCGTACTATATATGTACATACTGTGGATACTCTCTCTCTCTCTCTAAATAAATAAATACACACATGTATACATGTGTATGGCTCATATTTGTAAATAAAAAATACATGTGGATATATATATATATGTACACACTAGACAGACATGCTATACAATATCTATACTATGTACTGAGATTCGGTATCCTATATAAACTATACTTCATTCACAATCTGTAGCAATGTACTCAGTACACTATCTGCACAAAATGTTGTGGGGGGCTCAAGGAAGGGTCCGCAGGGCATGGGGGGGGGGGTGCGGCGGGGGGGGGAGGTGTGGCTCAATGGATCTGACGTCACCGCCCTTCGGAAATTTTCCTTGGACTATATCCAATGCCTCTCCTGCAGTACAGAGGAGCACGCGCCGTAAAGCTATCAGTCACAAAAAAAAACATAGCACCTAAAGGAGATGCATTGATACATGAACAGCTGGGGGGGCCCAACCTCTGCTTCTCTGAGGGTCTCCGCGTCACCCGGGTGGGTGGTTGCCTCAAGTTGTGGGGAGCTCTGGAGCTGCCATCACAGCAAAAGCTACACTTGCTACAATACTCACCAATACTCACCAACTTGCGGGGCGCACTAGTCTTTTGGCGGCCAGCTGGGCGTGCCATTCCGCATTGCCCGGCTCCAGCCTTGGGTGTTTGTCGCTTGCAATCAGAAGTCGGCTTCAGAGAGGCAGTGAAGAAGGGAGCACAGCTCTTCTCTCGACGCATCTCCGTCAAATGTCAGTTGCCTCAAGGCGCACGTCTCCCACATCCCAAATGGCCCAAAACCCAGCGAGCATAGTGGAGCAGAGGGGCGACACCAAGGAGAGAACCGCAAAGCCGCACCTAATAGAAACCTCGCCTCGGGGCCCCCGGCAGCACCAGGCGGCGGAGAGCACGGAGCTGTAGCTCCGGGTCCTGTCGCGCTGCGTTTGCGAGGCCACGCCAGGCTGCGAGGCCTCGTTCTGAAGGAAAGGGGGCATTTTCTATAAGAGTGCTTCTTTCTCTTCCTTCATTCCCCAGACAGCAACAGTAAGTAAAGGGTCGTGCGAGACAGCGAAACAAGAAGGGACAGCAATTTCAAAGAATTAACCAGAAAGGCTGAAGGTTTTAAGGGTAATGATGCTCATCTTGTGTTCTCACACTGCGACTATGTCAGTCTCAGTCCGAGAGCTATGCTGCTTCTGTTTTTTGATACTGCTAGGCAGGTTTTTCTGGCAAGTTTACAACTGTTGCCCTAATTTCAATCCTTTCAAGTCTTGCACCCCTGCGCAAACGTCCTCCCCAAACTTTGGCCAATACAGAACAAACACTAAACGCCCTCAAGCTCTGCGCCATACGAGCACCCGGCTGTCTGGATTTAAACTTGCTGCTGCCTTGGAGGCAAGCAGCAGAGGCCAGATATTCACTGATTTCTTCCCGTTTAACATACACACCACCCAACTTCTCGCCGTCATCTTCCGAAACTGCTGCATACGATGAATCTCACCAGCGCACCACAAACCACAAACATTCTCAATTCCCACGCACCTCGCAAACAAAACCAGCCAACCCCAACCTGGACCCCCAAACCGCCAAGGGTGGTGCCTCCCACGCGATCAGCGCTTCGCTGGTCTGGCCCAGGCCCTGATGTAGCTCCTTAGCACTCATCGATTGCATACACACGTTCAAAATGTGTAAATATTAATAAATAAATCAATAAATAAACAAACAAATAAACAAACACATAAAAACAATAAATCTAAATATAAATAAAATAAAAATATACATTTATATCTATATATACACATTTTATTTATTTATTTATACATACATATATATATATACACGCGTAAACTTCATATGCTACATATATCATATATACGAGATGCCGAAATTGTACGCTTTCTGACATGTATTCCTCCAAGAATAACTCAAAGATTCTTTCAATGTGGGCGGAGAGGTGCGTTCCAAAAATATGTTGTTTGTGTTGCTTTTTCCCCACCCACAGTGGGGGGGGGTTGCTAGATTTTAAACAAAACTTTTCTCCTCGCCTTGTCTGCTCCTCGCCCATCACCCATATCCCACAGTAGACAATGAACCCTAAACCCTAAACCCTAAACCCTAAACCCCCCCTACCCAACCCAGAGTGTCCCTGGAGTGCCCAACCCCGAAGTGAGCTCGCAAACTCCTTGCCTGCAGTGTGGGGATGCTCGAAGCAAAAATAGCCTCCTTTTCTTTGGGGGGGGGGGGGGGGGGGCACCCAAAAAGCAGGGCACGTGTTATGGGCATCCAAGAAATGGACCTTAACTTAGGAATCTGTCATGTGGCCCTAGAAAGATACTTTATGCACTTCCAACGTGCAGCAGCAGACACACAGACACACACAGACACACACAGACACACACAGACACACACAGACACACACAGACACACACAGACACACACAGAGACACACAGAGACACACAGACACACACAGACACACACACACAAACACACACACACACACACACACACACACACACACACACACACACACACACACACACACAACACAGAGACACCACACACCACACAGACACACACAACACACACAGACACACACACACACACACACACACACACACACACACACACACACACACACACACACACACACACACACACACACACACACACACACACACACACACACACACACACACACACAGACACCACACACACACACACACCCACACACACAGACACACACACACACAGACACACACAGACACACACCAACACAGACACACACACACACAGACACACCACACAAACACACAGACACACACATACACACACAACACACCACAGACACACCACATACCACACACAGACACACACAGACCACACACACAGACACACACAGACACATACACACACAGACACACACAGACACACACAGACACCACAAGCAACACACACACAGACACACACACACACACACAGACACACACACACAGACACACACAAGACACACAGACACACACACAGACACACACACACATACACACACACACACACACACACAACACACAGACACACACACCACACACAGACACACACACACACACACACACACACCACACCACACACACAACACACACACATACACACACACACCCACACACACACAACAGACACATACAGACAGACAGACAGACATACATACGACATACATACAGACATACAGACAGACCATACAGACACAGACACACACACACAGACACACGACACCCACACACAGACCACAGACACACACACACACACACACACACACACACAGACACACACAGACACACACAGACACACACACAGAGCTGTGATCACTTGTCGTTGTTTAGGTCGAAACACACACAGACACACACACACACACACAAGCGCTGTGATCCTTGTCGTTGTTTAGGTCGAAACGGGTTGTAGTGATCCAGAGGAGAAGCATGCTGTGCATTGTTCATTGGTTTCAAAGACACATGGTCAGTTCGCTTCATAGTTAATATAGCAGCCCATTTCGGTTGAGTCAAAAACGTGGGGGGGCCGCAGCATGACAGGGACCGTGAAAGGGACCACTTTAAAGAGCTGTCAAGTTTGCTCTGTCCGGACTTGGAGCCAAAACAGGCCGAGCTTCCCACCGGCTTGAACACCCTAGTTCGTTACCATTTTTCGCAGCAAGCTGGGTGACCCAATCCTGTGCTTCTTGCCAGGAACCCATTGGATGTGGCTGCGTCATTGCAGCAAAAAAAGGGGGAGCCCTCCCGCATCATCTAGACACACCTTTTGTGACCCCCTTTGGAAAAATCAGCAGCTGAGCTTGGAATCTTCGATCGCTATCCGTGTCTGGGCTGCCCGCTGCCAGAAGCAGGTGCAGAGAGGAAGCCTCCAATGCAGGCGCCAGTTTGGCTCCTGGAGAGGTTCTCACTTCTCGGATGGGGTGTGCAGTCAAGCCGCCGCGGACCTACCAAGGCTACTGTAGCCATTCTCCTGGAGTAGATGGGCTGACCCCATCATCCTAACTCACCGCTCACCGCCACAACTGCGCCTCTGCTGATGGCCCCAATGGCTTCGGCACTTCGACCTTCCTGGACTGGGCACACGATGGGCTGCACAGCGAACTGTTTTGGGGATGCCTTTAAGGGCCCTATTTTGAGGTCAGGATGCCCATTTAACCTTCTCATCTTATCCCTGTAGGGCAACACGCGCTACGATCCCCCTTTGCAGGGTGGCCTTCAGAAGCAGCTGGCCGTAGCCGCGGATGAGGCCAGGGCTGCCAGGAAATGACTGCAATGCGACCTGGGACACTGGGATGTGTTTTCGGGTGCCTTCGTCATCGTGAGGCAAGAGGAGTTGATGCAGAGAGAGATTTGTTCCATCTGTTCCATGTATGGCTTGGGGAAGTTGTGGCTTAAGGACTCTATGGCTCCCACAGATTCGCTGAGCCCTGGGCACGATAGACCTCCATCGCATCCTTTGACCGCTGATTGCGCAGGTACATCTGGGCCTGGAGATCATGTTGGGATAGCTTAAATCTTCGATTAGATCGGGTACCCTAAACACGATTCCTCATCTGCCTATCACATGCTGCACATACGATCCCACTGTGCAGCTGCAAAAATGCTGCAGGGAGAGCTGAGAGCTGCTCAAGAGACTTTGCTGTGTCCTCGTCTGCAAGCCCCTCCGACTGGAAGAACGCCTGCCCATGTCTGCGGATCGGAACTTTGCGGCTTGCTGGTGTAGGTCAAGCACGTGTCCACATGCAACCCCCAAGCACCTGCGCATGACATTAGTGCCACTCAAAGCCTCCTCGAACAGCTTCAAGGCATCTTCCCGGCGGTCCAGCACCAGATTTGCCTGTGGAAAGGTCCCTAGCCAAAAGTGGCATGCACACACAGAGAGACATAAATCTAGAGATAGATATAGATACACCAGTATATATATATATATACATACATATACGCATACATTTTTTGTATATTTACATTTATGCTGTATGTATATTTATAGTTATGCATTTACGCACGTGCATGCACGTGCAGCAAGGGCTAGCAGCGCCTTTTTCTCAAAGTGCCGATGGAGCGCCGTGGCGATCTTTGGCTCAACGCAGGAGCTGAGCTATGCCACGACTCATGGTGTCAACAGGGATCCGGGGATCCAGGGTCGGCGGGATCGCAGTATCGCGATCTTTTCCACAGATATCTACAGACTTTCTACACTTTCTACATGGGTAAATGCATCAACAGATCCTTCATGAGTTCTGGCCGGCTGTCAAGCAGGCGGAGAGTGGACGGGGCAGTGCCCCGGATGCTCTTGAAGTTCTTCTTCACGAACTCAAAGGCCTGCTCAGCCACATCCTCCATGAAGAAGTCTTTGGCAGCAATCCACCAGGACACTGCATTATGCACATTCAACGTCCTTCGAACGTATACGCAACATTCCTGGCACAAGCGCGTCAGCTGACACCTATGGGCCAAACGCAGTACGTCAAGCACGTTGCTATCAGCCAGATCAACCTCGTCTGTATAGAGGTACTGCAGCATTGCAGAGAAAGCCTCCTTGGTGGTGTCCTGAATTGGTATTGGGCCACTGTGCCTGCCCTCAATGAAGTCCGAGTTAAGCATAGTGTAGAAATAGTCAGACCTGCGAAACATGAATGTCAGGTCTGAGAGTCTAAGGCGCCTAGAAGCCCACAAAGCCTATTACAGGCCTTAACGCAAAACCCCCAAAAGGCTTTGTTGCTTGAAATCCTTTGCAAGCCCATGCCTTGCCATTATCAGGACCCTGCAAGCTGGCACCACCCCACCCTCCACCGAAAAGCTGATGTCGGAAAGCACAGGATCGGAAAGCATGCGTAGCCTCAAGGGACATGGGGGCAGGGTGATGGAGATTATGTAACGCTGATGTCTTCTTACGTGCTGCTAGTCTGCTCGTGCCCATTGAAAAGTCAACCTCTGAAATGGTCTGAGAGACATGTCCCGTCTGTAAGACGAAGGAGCTTGCAGGAGCACGCCTACTGCCCCAACATTGCTCGGCGGCCGCAGTCCAGCAAACACCAAGCGAATCCTGCAGGGGAAAATCCAACGACCGGAGCTCGGCTCCGCGGACACAGAGAATGCACCGCAAGCAATGAACTAGTTGCAAGTATCTGACAGCTTGTTGCACAACAAGAGGGTCTCTTGAAGCTTCTTCTGCCCCTGGCTCCTGAAGTTGGAGTAGTCTAACACGATGAGCTTGCCATCGCCATCTACTGCAACATCCGTTGGCGTGTGAAATCTTGCGGTCTCCAGGCTTCCGTCTGCGAAGCCCATGTCCCCGCCCACGATGGTGCTCACCTGGGAGGGATGATACGTCAAAGCAGGGAGGTCGTTGTCACACCTCCTGCTAGTTACAGGGCACAGGGGTCGACCGAGCCTGTCCGTCCGGCTGGATCTTGCGAATGCGATGGTTCTCTGTATCTGCCACGATCACATTCCCGTCGCCATCAACCACCAGCCCTTCTGGGCAGTGGAATCTCGCCTGAAAGATCAGAGGCGCATGTCTGCCAACTGTTGGGTAGATATATTTTTTTACATATGTATACGTATATATATATATATGTATGCCGTTATATTGTAGTTATTGTTAGTGGTCCCTCTGCGTGTCGGCATAAATCGGGAGATGCGTCGTCAAACTTCACGGACTTTGAATTGTGCGGCACTCCAGTGCGCATGGTTACAGTACGAGTAGGTGTGCATCAAGATGGGCCAACACCATGAGACAATGCATTCTCTGAGTTCACACCTGACTATATTGAAAGATCTTGTATAGTATAATGGCATATATTAATAATTGCAGATGGATGCAGATGGTATGATTGCTCAAGCACCGGTCATCTGCTGGAGTTGGGCGCACGCCTCATGGCCAGGGCCATCAACGTAGCCTTCAGCACCGTTTCCGGCAAGAGTTGAAACCTCCCCCTGCGGAGTCACCCTGCGAATGCTGTGGTTGTTTGTATCAGCTACGACGATGTTTCCATGCAGGTCAATAGCCACGGACTCTGGGTCGGCGAAGGCGGCATTCTCCCCCTGGCCATCTTCAAATCCGGCCGTTCCGGAACCGGCCAAGGTCGTAACCACACCTTGCGAGATCTTCCGGATGCGATGGTTGCTGGTGTCTGCGACGAATATGTCACCATTGCTTGCAATGGCCACATCTTTGGGATCGTTGAAGCTTGCATCTTTGCAGGGCCCGTCGGCGAAACCGGGCTCGCCACTGCCACTCAGCGTGAGCACACATCTGTCGACCGTCCGGTGCACCAGAACTTTGCGGATGCTGTGGTTCGCGGCGTCGGCGACAATAAGGTTCCCCTCCTGATCAGCATCAGACAGTTTTTGTTTTGCAGCTTGCAATTCAGAGAGAGGAATGCTCCTTTCGTCATTTTAGCCCTTTCCTTTGCATTTTCTTTGCCGAGGTAGACCCTTTGCATCGAGCCCGTGTCTGTTTTGCATCTGGTGCTTCAGAGGCCTTTTTACCTGAACATCGCAAGGGCCCCCTAAGTTCAGTTTCGTAGACAAACCGCGCCTGGTCCAGTGCCACTCCTTCAGGGTCATTGAACGTTTCAGATGCCTGGCATCAGGGGGAGAGTGCAAGCAATTTGGGTTCGCGATCATTGCCCGGCCTCCATGTCACCGTCAGATAAGCCGGGACTCCCGCTTCCAACCAGTGTAGTCACTGTGCCATCCGCAGCGACCTATACCGCATCATGCACCCACCATGTCTGCAGATGACATGCGTGGATCTGCTGTCATGAAATTTACTCTTGTGCGCGGCGCAGCTTGCCTTTCGGATCCGCAAGTTCCCGGTGTCTGCTACGATCACGTTGCCCTGGCAAAGCAAGAATGTGGCCGCTGAGCCTGGGGCCCATGTCAAGGCGGCCCTTTTCCAATCCGTGCCTCGCGGTCGATGGCAATGCCTTCGGGGTTCGCGAAGCAGGCGATCTTCCCAGGCCCGTCGGCATACCCGTAGCAGCCAGTCCCAGCGAGCGTGATGACAGCATCCTGCACCTCGGAAGCCTTGTCCGGGAGTCTTTCTGCGCTCTTGCTGCTCCGCTCTGCAGATTTTGCGCGGGTAGCCATCTCGCTCGGTTGCTCCCGCCAGCACTTGCAGCCATCGCTGAGAGCTGCTGTACAAGATAGATAATGTGCTTATGCTGACAACCATGCAATTGTGGAAGTGCCATGTGCATACCTGTGCCGTCAAAGAACAAGATGCTGAAAGCACTGCAAGTGCTCTTGTAACTTGAGTCTTACGCGCCCTGGGCAACAGCTGCCCAGTGACAGGAACCAAGCTTTGATTTCAAGGCCATTTCAGCACACCCGAAGCCTCAAAGCCGGCGGACAACCCTCACATCGCACCCCAACCTCAACCTCACTTAACGCTAAACGTCCTTTGTCAGAAGCCCGAATACCACAGGTATCCAGAAGAAAACCACCCCCCACGTAAACATACACCTGTTCAATGACTCGCCTCAGCCAAGTCCCGCAGCAGCTGCCACGGGGGTTGCGAAGGGGCTGCTCGAGCCTTGTAGCCGCATGCCTCCCCTTGTCCCTTCTTCCCCAGCCTCAATCAATACCACGATGGAGGAGTAGTGACAATACCCGTGCTGACAACATGTCTAAGGCAGGGTAAGTCTCGAAACTGCTTTAAATCATTCAGCATTTTGTCTCAAAACACCTAGGTGCGCGCCTGGAATGCAGCAGCGTGGGCTTCTGCATGCTTCGGCGTATTGGCATGCTGTGAGTCACCCTGGGGACCTGACACCTGCCAGCGCCTCGGACAGCCAGTATTGCTTCTCGGCCTCAGGTCGGCTGATGCTAAGCATGTTGCTAACTTGAAGGGACCCTTAATCCTATTCCCCCATATAGCCCCTGAATAACCCCGATGGTCCCTTATAAGGGCTAGCTGAAGCTGTGCAGGCTCTTGTCTTTTGAGCGCGCTGCGGCAGATCTGCTGACCTCTGCAATCTCTCGAAGGAGAGAGATGCCTCGGACCATGGAATGCACCGGCAACAGGAGTGCAGTGTGGGCAACAACTTTGCTGAATATTGCTGAATCTCAGGCTGAAGGACCTCAAGCATACTATTGGACCGGTGCCATCTTCTTACGGAGTCTGAGCCGTTTCCCTTCTTGCAAGAGCGTGGTGCTGCAGATGCAACCTCAGTCCGTTGCATCGCGGGCGATCAACTTGCATGAGCTTTCGAACCGTCTCCTTCCATTTCATGTTCCACATCCATACATATACCGAGACATACCGTCACCACAGCGGTCGCACCTGCGCATGCTTTCACTCGAATTGCACACTTGAAAGAAGCACGGAGTGTAGAGCATGCCAGAGGCTTGGAGGTCGTTTTTGTGCAATCAGATGAATGCCCGCTCGCTCTTGACTAAGAAGCTCTATACTGCAAAACCACCTCCCGGCTCCTGAGCCCTCTCGGACTTGCCTTCCTGCGCAAGAGCACGGCCAATACCCCACGGGTTTGAGGGTAGGTTCTGGTTTTAGAATTTGCGATGTCGCGAAAATCGTCTTGAGTTTAGGCTCTCACCTCCTAAGCCAACCAGAACATCTTGAAACCAACTCCCCACAACCCTCAGCCCTCTTTCAACCCGGATCTCTCTGAAATAACATGAAAAATAACCCATCTTCATGTGCCAACTCTTGAGTCCAGACTCTGCAAGCCACGCCCCTCAAAAGGCCCACAGTCGCAAAATGCTCACCTTGTTGGAGACCCGGGCGCGCAGAAGCAACACCAGGGTCTCGGCGTCGTTTGGTCTCAAGACCAAGGCCGGGGGGGGGGGGGGGGGGGGGGGGGGTGGGGAGCGGAGGGGGAGTGGGTTAGCTGAGAACAGAGCTTGTAGCTACTGTCTTTTTCGCTCCCGCGTAGCTGACACGAAGCCCCTCAGCAGGGTCATAAGCTACTTCGGGTTTGGGGTTTGAGTCCTGGATGCCTCGCAAAACGGTAGGTTAGGTGTTGGGCACCCGCCTAACAGCCTCACACCACACGGCAAACTTGCAAAAGGGGATCCATCTGCAATACATCGACACACAGGCACTCTAGCAAACAGTGGCAAAGACGTAGCCAAAGTAATTCATGAAAGGTACAGGTTACTGGTGCAGGTGCAGGCTTTTTGAGCTTTGACCCGCTTTGGTTGCGAGCCTGCGCTACTTCAGCGTCTGGCCCAGAGGCACATCACTAAATCGACCGAAGAACACGGGGCGCAGGGTCTTTATGCCCTTGCCGGAACGTCGAGACTTCCACACATCGAGAAGACTTGGCAGCGCTTCCACTTGAGTTTTGGGAATGTAAACAGAGCCTTGGATTGAAACTTTCACACACGCGCAAGGCGGGCAAGGCATTGCAAGGTCTCGGTTCGTCCAGTTTAGGTTTGATTGGATCTCTGAGGGTTCTATACGTCTGCACAACCCATGCCCCAAGCCCCCGTGCGTTACATAATTTCGAAAGGCCCCGGAGGTTTAGGTGACTTTGACCTTTTCTGTAGCCTAAATCCCTCACAACTCAGTCATTCCATACGTGGTTCGGAGGTTTCTCGAGCTATTGCGCATGGTTGGCCTCCATCCGCTACTCCGTTTACTCTCAGATGGTGGTTCTCCCTCTCAAGTTCCGGCCTCAGCGTGCTTGATGACCAGAGGCCACTTGTGGGTGTCTGAATATCCTGCGCAGCACATGAGGTGTGGTGCCTTTGGACCCCACATCCACGTCAAGCTTGGAGGTTGATTTTCCCCGTCCTTGTGCAGCAAGCACGCTCAATGAATGGCCGAGGTAAGCGTCAGGATTCAGGTTTAAAGCCTGGGACAGAGGACGCAAACTTGGTGCAACTCAGAGCTACCTCAAGTGAGCGTCTGAAAGCGTCCTAGGGTTCCCGTCTGTGGGAAAGTAGAAAGGCTGCAATAGCACCATTGAAGGGTTCTAGGGCATCGAGCATGTTGCTGAATGTTGCAGACCGAAGTTACCCGCATATGAAGCCCGTGAAAAGTCTCAAAGGCCGGTACCTCTTGCACAGCGCGATAGGCATCGCGCTTTGCCCCAAGGGCTAGGCGCGCTCGCGCCAAGGCAACCCAAGCCTACCAAGCAGCTGGTCCGATGTAACATGCAACTACCAGCTATACTGTAGCACTTGGTCAGTTCTCGAAACGATTTAACATGATGGCCATTCGCGGGCCCTAGAATGCATTGGAGAGCTGGCCACATGATGGGTCTCAGAAACACATGCCCTCTGGTGGCTGGTTCTTTTGAAGCCTTACCCTGCCTGAGGGTCCTTTGGAAAATGGCGCGCAAACTCCTGGAGCTCGGGCATCGCCTCATCTGAATGGCGAGGAACCCCCTGGTGCCCTTGCTGTGTCCACAAGCCTAAACCCCAAAACCCCAAAACCCTTATGCCCGGAAAGAAGCCTTCCCTCGCCCCATTCAGCCCGGAGCCCTCGACCCTTAGCCGCCCTTTTCAACCCCCAAAATCTGCTTCGCTACCCTGCGGTTGCCTGCTCCCAGGCATGGGAGCCCTGGCGCTCAGCCTGCTGGCAGAGACCTGATCAACTGAAGGATCTCTCCTCTTCTTGACTTTTGGACAGGCAGTACTTATCAGTATCCGCACTTTTCCGTTCAGTACAAACTTTCAAACTCTGCTTATGCATTTCTTATCCGTTTAGATTGAAATGTGGTGTGAGTACTGTTCCAGCTGACGTTGAGGCCTGGAGCTGAACTTACGGGGACGCCCGGGCACCCCTGCGAAACCCAAGTCCGCTAGGATGGCAGTGATAGCACTAGATACCGTTACATCCTCTCTCTCCCTATACATACATACATATATATATATATGCATATAAATATCCGCCGACCCCTGCTTTAGCGGGGGAGGCGTCAGTGAAGACCCATTTGCCCTCATGCCCAAACCCCCCCGCCCTCACCCCTTACCCTCGACCTCACCCTTACCCTCTTAGGGGCTCCAGTGCATGCCCCCCCACCTCCCCCTAGTGTTTTAGGGGCTCCAGTACATGCCCGGACCCCCCCCGCCCCCCCCGCCCCCCCCCGCCCACCCCGCCCACCACCGCCTCCCCCCGTTTTCACCCCTTCACCTCTGCCCTCAGGGTTTCGAGTTTAAGGTGTGAGGTTTAGGGTTTAAGGTTGCGCGCCAACTCCCTGCGCGTGAAGACTCAATGTTTCGCCCCCCCTGAACTCTAGAACCTATGGATATATGTAAGCGCAATGTAGGGGGTGTTTGTGTCCCTTCCGAGCCTAAACCAAGCCCTGCGCCCTAAACCCTAGGGCCTCCTGTCGGGGTCGGCGGCATTGGCGGTAGCCATTAAATCGGGCAGCGCGAGGTCCCAAAGGACCGAGCAAATGCGGACCTTTTAGCCCGGGTCGTCCCGGGAATAGCCTTGCTGGCCTCTGGCCTTCTGCGAAGCAGAATTAGGCCGGACGCCAGTGCCGCCGACCCCCGCGTGCCGCCGGTGAACGGTTTTTTTTCGTGGTTTTTTGCGTCGCCACGGAGGCCCCCAGAGGGCGCGCATCATGAGCATCAGCGGGTCCAGCCCGGGACCCCCAGGCGCGCATCAGGAGCATCAGCGGCTCCCGGGGCGGGACCCCGGGGGGGCATCAGGAGCATGATGCCCCCCAAAGGGCGGGCATAAGCGACGGGGCTAGGAAAAAGGGAGTTTAGGGGCCTTATAAAGTGCTTAGAAACGTTAAGGGAGTCTCGGAGCCTCAAACGCTTTTAGAGATTTGAAGGGAGTTTAGGGGCCTGAAAATGCCTAGAAACTTGACGCTTAGAGATTTTAAGGGAGTTTAGGGGCCTCAACATGCTTAGAAACTGCTCGCCCCGGGCTTCTGCGTGCGCTGCCCGCCCATGGGCGCAGCCCCTTAAAATAAATAAATAAATATATATATATATATATGCATATGTATGCATATGCTTGGTCTGATACTATATTTTTTCCAGTACTATTCTATGACTTTCTGATTGTTATCTTATTGTTATGTTACTACGATTACAAAACAGCTTGATTTTCATACTATTACAAGTATAGCTAGTGATCGCAGTGCTAGTCTCTGCATGTTTGCTGATCCGCAACGCAAAATTCTAGTATATGGTCGATGGCAGTGTCAGCCCCTGCGGGAAGAATCACTGCATGGCATTGGCATTAAAGGCATAAAGCATGTAGAGTACAGGTTGCGCCACTGTGGGCGCTTCATCTCGCGCTAGCATTAGATAGCGACGGAGAAGTGAGACCAGATGGCCGTCATCTTTGGAACATGCCACGTTGGGCGACGCCTACAACTCCACTGTCTGCACTCTCTCACCGTGACCATCACTGTCTGCCCGAGGGCTGGAGATGTCACTGTCCGACTCCGAGCCGGAGCACGTGTCTCTCCCTCAGGTGAAGGAGTTCCTTCTAAAAATTGGGTCGTTGTTGTTGCTGCTCTTGTTGAACATCCTTCTTTGGGGGGGGGGGGGGGGCAAGGTTCTGGCACAACATTCTTCCTTCCAGACAGTTCCGGTACCAGCCTGCGTTGAGGGTAGACAAGAGGCAAAACTTTGAGATGCCCAAGGTGACGGGGAAACTGACGGGTTCAAGGAGGCGAAAAACATCGTTGTCTGTGCTTACTGTGGTATTGTGGGCCAAGCACAAAAACAATCTGCAGCAAATGCCTGACTATGTTGTTTCTGTTCCATGGGGGATAGCACAACAAGTAGCAGAAATCCACCCTGCAGCATTCTGGGAATCCATTGGTTACCCGAAAAATCAAGGAACACATGGCACTAGTGCCATCGCGGCACCAGCCAAGTCGTTTCCCAGCTTCATGGCCTGTAGAGCATCGGTGGTCAAAGCCGTGCCACCCGACTTCGAAAGCACGCCCAGCCTCGAGCGTCCGCTCGTATTGAAGTGTCCTCGCCAGAAGCAAAGCTAAAACTTCGTGAAGATGACCAGCTTGAAGGGAAGGGCGAGGCAAACGAAACTGATCATCCGGGCTTACACCAGGCAGTGTCCAGAAGTTGTGGTAGGGACCCGTATAGTCTTGATCATTGGGCTCGATCTTGGGCACCACCTCACCAGTCAGCTGGGTTGGCTTAGATTCAAACGGCGTGTTTGGTATCACCCCTTTCGAAGTTCGAAGCGCCCATTAAATATTTACCTGGTACTTTGATGTTGCAGACCTGGAATGGTGCCCGATCTGCGATGACGAGGTAGTGGAATGGCTTCCTGCGGAAGCTGTCAAGCAGGGAACATGCAGGCTCACACACACACACACAGAGTACATAATGAGTACACGAATCGCCCACCCTCAATTGTTTGAGCATGCACATCTTCAGCTCGCGACTTCTGAGCCTGTCGCGCTTGTTTGCAGTCAATGGCGAAGTGATGGTCTGGCCGTAGTATAGCGCCTCGCTTATGCATGGCATCTAGGGCTTGCAGCCTTTGAGGGGACGGGACTTAAGGAGTAGGCCGCAGTGCGACCTGCAGTAATTCTGGCCTACTGCTTGAGCTGGGAGCTGCCACATGCTCTCAGTTTATCGCATGCCATCCGAGCTGCATTCTTCAAAGCCGGCGAGGACATCATGCCTGTCAGCCATGATTGAACACACGCTGTACGAGTAGGTGAAAGGGAGCAAGACATCCAAACTCAGAGGCAATTCTGCCACGGCACGCCCCTGCCCCTCCAATTCTACCTCTCTCTCGCAGCCTGCGTGTCGCGTGACATTCTGCACCTCGATGGCCTCCTCGAGCCAGAGGTTGCAAAAGACTGCCACCTCAAGGGCTCTTTGCTGGTTTCGGGTTTAGGGTTAGATGCTCTGAGCGCTTGATGAGGATTCTTGGGCCTCTACACTTGCAAGACCTGGACTCACTGCCTGGGTGCAGCTCATAGCTGTCTGGTACAGGATCCGCTGCCACAAGTAGTAGTATCGGCGGTAGGGCTCTCCGAAATCCTGGGCGTTGTGCAGCATGCCGCGTGAGAAGCAAACCCCCTTGTACTTTACAGATCATGCACGGCCAAGTTCAATCAAGTGGACGCCAAGCATCGGTCAAGAACCGGCTGCTGCAGTCCGGGTGCATCCCAAGCAGCAGCTGCGCAGGCGGAAGAGGTACAGTTCCGTCCTGCATATCCACCGACCCCTTCCGCGGTGGGGCGGCGCGGCCCTCCCGCTTCTTCCCTGCCCCCCATCCCTGGCTCTCCCCCTTTCAAGGTGTCCTGTGAGTGCGCGGCCCACGTCCCTACCTCCCGCCATGAAGGTTGAAGTAGATTAGAAGAAGCAATCACCGCCCACCACCCACAGCCCCAGGGTTTGGGGGGGAGGGGTTTTGGGGTGGGGAGGTGTTTGGGGGTGATTGAGGGGCTTCTGCACAAGCCCAAGAACAACGGCGACATGCCCGGGTGCGCGCATGTGCCATTAGCACGTCTTTAACATCGTCGTCATCATCATCATCATCATCCTGTTTGTCGCTATTCTTCTTCATCTTCTTCTGATTGTTCTTATTTTTGTTATTATTACTATTCTTGTTCTTCGTGCTCTTCTTCTTCTTACTGTCATTTTTACTCTTCTTATTCTTCGCATTCTTCCTTCTTGTTGATCTTATTGTTCTGTACTTATTGTTATTATTGTTCTACTTGCTCTTCTTGTTATTCCTATTGGTCGTCTTGCTCTTGCTGTTATTGTTCTTGTTATTGTTCTTGTTATTGTTCTTGTTGTTGGTGTTGTTGTTGTTGTTGTTGTTGTTGTTGTTGTTGTTGTTGTTGCTGTTGTTGTTGTTGTTGTTGTTGTTCTTGTTCTTGTTATTGTTCTTGTTCTTGTCCTTGTTGTTATTATTGTTATTGTTGCTTGTCTTGTCATTGATGTGATTATTGTTATTATTGTTATTGTTCTTGTTCTTCTTCTTGGTATTGTTCTTCTTGGTATTCTTCTTCTTCTTCTTCTTCTTCTTCTTTGCTCCTTCTTCTTTTTCTCGTCCTTCTCGTTATTCTTGTTATTTCTGTTCTTCCTGTTGCCCTTTTTCCTGTCATTGCTATTGCGCTTTTTCTTGTATGTATTCTTGGTCTTTTGTTTGTCATTCTTCTTGTTCTTCTTGTTGTTGTTATTCTTCTTCTTCTCCTTCTCCTTCTCTTTTGTCGTTCTTGCTGTTGTTGTTCTTCTTCCTCTTGTTATCAATATTCTTCTTGTTCTTGGTCTTGCTTTTGTCTTGTTGTTCTTCTTCTTGTTCTTGTTATTGTTCTCGTTCTTGCTTTTGGTGCCATAGTCCTTGTTCTTACTTTTTTGTTCTTCGTGTTCTTGTTCTTCTTGATTTTGTTCTTGTTCTTGCTCTTCTTATTCTTCTTCTTCCTCTTCTTCTTGCTCTTCTTGCTCTTCTTCTTCTTCTGCTTCTTCTTCTTCTTCTTGTTTCAGTTTGCTTTGTTCTTTTCGCTCTTTTGTTCGTTTTGCTCTTCTTCTTCTTCTTCGTTTTGGTGCTGCTGCGTCTTGCTGCTGTTGTTATTCCTGCCCCCCATTCCCCCTCTCTAATGCCCTCCGCTTGCACCCATGCCCGCTCTAGTCGGTGCGGGACGCGCACAGCCCCCTTTTTTACCTGGGACATTGTGGGGTTGCGTTTGTACTCGCATCAAGAGTGAAGACTTGCACTTCTATTCGCCATGGCTTCTTGTTTTGTGGAACTTCTGATCTCAGATCTTTTGGCTGGCATGTTGGAAATATGCAGTGCTGGGATTCAGCGATTTCTAGCCTCCAACATGTTTTTCGATGGCTGCATGCTTGGCCTCCAGAATCCAACGGGGGAGCATATGTGTGTACATATGATATGGCTTTCAAAATCTGTCGCGCCCCCTTGTTTCATGCGTATGTCGCGGATCAAGACCTGCTTGGCTTGTCTGTTGCATGCACTGCCCGCAGCTCTTTATGGTACCCATATACATGTAAATACATGTATGCATTGTGTTGCAACAGTCTCTGTGCGTCTCTGTCTGAACGGGGACAGGTGACAGGGGTAAAGCTTAAAGCGACTGCCCAATTCTAGTGTGCAGAGAAGTGGAATCATGCTAAGAAGGTCCTGGACCAGGTAGGAAATAAAAATATGGGGGTCCCGCACGAGTGGGTCGATCTTCTCACTGAAGAAATTCTGCACATCCGTGGCCTCACGTTGAGCCACGGCCTTCTGAACCCACAGCCCACCCTTTGCATAGGTTAGAAACATAAAGCCCAGTATCCGCCGAAACCCCGGGAGGGTCGGCGAGGGTGTACTAAGGAACCTACAAATACATGGGGCTTTGCGTTCTTATGCAGCCACTGCAACTTCGTGTCTGTGACTGCGCACATCCTTGCCGGGTCTCTCATAGTCTCTAATACTGGCCTGCATTCAAGTCGTTTAGTGCATCAGAAACCCCCTCCCGAGAAACTTTAGCATCTCGATGTGAACAATCAATGCACAGACCCAACCCAACCAGCTCTGCACACCATTGTGTTTTCGTGCTGTTTTCTGACTTGGTCTGTTCCGTTTCTGGCTCTGGACTCTTCCTTGCTTTCTGACTTGGTCCACGCCGTTTTCGACTCAATGCCTGATTGCCCATGCAGCCAAAGTGCAAGAATGTGGATGAAACGTACATCGCTGCGACGGTTCAACACCTCCTGGCGCAAGAAAGCCATCAGTAGGTCGCGCTCTGCAAATTTGCCAGCGAACGGCACGTTGACGCGCAGCACACCTTTCCCATGGAAGAATGAAAGTCGCAAGCTTTCATGTGCACTGCAATAAGATGAACTACACATTCTCCAAAGCCGCATGGTGGGCCTTGTGAGTCAGGTCGGAGTGCTTGCAAAACACCCTCGGTCTTCAGACGCTGCAGCATGGCCCTGTAAGCGTTGTTCTGCTCCTCTTCGCTGCCTGGCGCGGCTGACCACGAAAACCAATGGCATCATATAGCGAATTGGGAGGTGGTGGGGACTTTAACATACTTTAACCCAATGCCAAGCTACAGAAGCCGTAGTCTGCGCAGCTGCCCTTCTTCTCTGCACCGACGGGTTGAGGGATGTGTCCCATTGCGCTGGAAGCGTTGGCTGACATTGCAGCCATTGCAGCCATCTTTAAAAATCCGGAAGTTCTGGTTCCATTCTAGCGCTGAGCAAGGTCGCAGCAGTCAGCCAGCAGAATGTGCACGGCCATGTCGTGCAGAAGCTCAGCTATGCCAACAGAGCGACATTCCAGAACAAGCAAGGGCTGGATATCAAGGATGATCAAGGTCTCACCTGGCTGCTGAGCCCGCCGCGCTCAACTGAGCGAGACAAGGCAGCATGGTCCTCTACCGACATGACATTCGGCTTCAACTTTGCTCCAGACTCTAGACTCTATAGGCCCCAGCTACCTCAAATTTGCCTCCCTGAGATGACCACGATGAGTGGCAAGCCTAACGAACTCGAGTTGAGTGGCAAGCCCACCGAACTCGAGTTGCAAGCGCTGTGCTTTGCAGTCGGAAGCAGAATTCCCGTGAGAGCATCGGGTCCTGGGCTGGTCTGTCCGGCAAAACGTACGCCTGCACTGGTGGGAAGCTTATTTCATTTAACTTCAAGGAATTGGCAAAGATGTCTGCATCATTGCAGCAGGCAGACCGCTCTTCAAGCAAGCATGCAGGGGTGCCTGATCCGTGCCTTAGCGGAACAAGTCTGGCACATGGAGTCCTATGTGCCGGTCAGAAATTGTCCTGGTGCCCACTTGCAGAGAGCCAAAAACACACTGTCACAGAGACACATTCTCAAACACATTGATGAAGATCCCGGGTTTTACCGTGCCTGCAAGACCTAAATCCTTGGCAACGGCAACCCTAAACAAACTTTCTTCGAACACCAGATGGACCAAGCACCCCGCGCGCAGAGCTCACATCGTCCACTTCAACAACTTGATGGAGCCTGCCGCGCATCACCTGCTGTTCACTGCGGATGGTTCTTTTGACTTTGCTGCGTAAAATTGAGCACTGCTGTGCATCGAAAACCCATCTCTGGCATCCCATGCGCACACAGACCACGAAATGGAGACTACGCGCAACCGGGGAAATCCACACAACAGTGCCCGCAGCAGCCCCAGGACAGCGGTATGAATGTGCGACTGCTGCCCATGCATTTTCTAACGGTCGACCCTTGCAAATAGTGACGTCAAGCTGACTGCATGTCAGCTGCTGCTACTGAAGACAGAAGCAGGTGTTCCGTCAGGGTTTTCGTCATCGAGGTGTTGCTGTCTCTACCTCCCAGGAGCGATACCGAGGCTCCCGTTTCGGATGCTCGGCTTTGGAGACCTTCCGTCGCTTCTCAAGACATCAGGCACATTCAGGCACGCTGGGGTTTTAATAAACTCAAAAAGATGGGGGTGGTGATCTGAGTAAGAGGCCCTGTGAATTGTGCTTCCTCACCCTCAAAGAAGATACTCGAATGGCAACCCAAGAAGAGGCCTGTCATTTAGATCAACCCCCCATCTTCTGAAATCGTGTTCTCCGAGGCATCGGGTGTTACTCGGCCGCTTCTGAAAGGCGAGAGCCCCTCGCAGGAGCCGGCACCACTGCAACACATGACGTTCTCAGTATTCAACAAAGGCCTCTGCAGCACTCAGAACCGGCACGTCACACCCAATGTTTACAAGTTTACCCAAAACGTGCGACCTCGTCATCTCGTCGTAACTGACAGTTTGGAACACATTGGTCTGCCATGGTCGTGGGCTGACGCAATGTGAAAGGCGTGCGCGGAAGCTGTCAGCGAATTCTTGGAACATGGTGACATGGGCGTTAGCATTCCCTCGTTTACATGATCTTGCGTGAGTAGCCCCAACTCAGGGGCGGTTGAGGGTTTAGGGCGTTTTTTTTTCTGAGCATTTTCAAGACTACAGGTCATGTTTATATGGCATCTGAAAGAAGGTGCAAGCACTGCCAGAAAGTGGGGCCATGGGCTGTGACATTCTAAAACTCCATGCTCCTGTAGCTTGCCAACTCTTCGCCCTTCTCGTGCATGTCGCTGCCACGAGTTCACTCTTCCTCCTCCTTGCTGCACTGGCGGCTTTCATTCCAGGAGCCTCTCGGGCAGATTCAAGCAAAAGTGAGTTCGGTGTCATTTCCAAAACCCCCTCGAGCGCCGATACTTATGCACCTGAGTGATAAGCTGAGTGATTCGGCATCTGGCCTGTGCCAGAGCGCAGCTCTTCCGAACCTTCTGCATCCTCATCGACATCATGTCCGACAAGGCCGGGCATGGGCTTCCGGCTTTGCACACATGCGTAGTAAACGGGCACCTGCTTCTGGTGTAGCTGTGTCCACGGCGCGACTCCCGAAAAGATCCGAGATTCAAGAGATTCAATCCCAGCAGTTCGCCCAACCTCGGCCGACCGTCTGAGGACGGCACGTCTGTGCTTTCCGCGTTCTGATCCAGCTTCACCTGGAGACAAGGGGCGGGATTAGGTAGACTTTGGACACGACTTTAGACAGCGCATCTGGAACAACAGCTTCAGCCGTCATACATCATACAGTCAGGCTGCCCATACCGAGATGCGACCACCTTCTGATAGCCAGCACAGCCTGTTGCTGCAGTGCATCGTAGTGCCATGTAGCACGATCAACGCAATCCAGGGTCCTCTCCGTGGTACTAGTGGTAGGATCCAAAAAAGCGTTTCCTTGGCTGGCTCAGCGCGACATGCATAAGCGCACACCACGTGGAGTTCAGTCTCTTCCGTGTTGGCTCGGAAGCAACATCGAGCCTCTGACCTATATTCATGTATGTCCGATACCACGACTAGTTCCTTCCCAGGAGCCGCACTGCCAAACGGACATGCCAATGACAGGCTTCAGATTGAGCAGAATGTCCGGCTTTTTCCTTGACAGAAAAGCGGCTTTTCCTAGGGTAGGAAAGTCAAAACATGGAACTGCACCATTCTGTTTTGTAGCTTCCTGACGGGAGATGCTGCGGTTTCATTGCTGTGACACTATGTCGTTCTGTGCAGTGGTATCTGTCGTATGTTCGCCAGGAAGCGGCTTCGAGAGGTGCGCCTGTAGGTTGTTCGCTTTCGTGCTGCAGGACACACCTCACTGGTGGGGGGACAAGGGGTTGCTCGAATAAAAAAGGGAAGGCACCGATGGCCGATGGGGTTGATCTGCATTTGGGGTCTCTTGCGAATTCATGAAGCTTCAAGCCATGCGGCTGATGCGATGGCCAAGTGAGTCAGCCCACTCGGCATTGATGAAGTCCGTGGCAGAGAAATCCTGAACAGCAATTTCAACACAGAAGTGGCTACCATTCCTACCGTGCCTACACTCAAGTGCCTACGTAAGTCATGCCCGAAACCCTGGCCCGAAGCGCAGCATGCGGATCTGAATTAGGTCCGAAATGCTTTGGTCCTTGGCTGATGGCAAGTTAGCAAGATAGAAAGAGTAGTCTGAGGCGGAGTCGACCTCACGTTATTCATCTCACCCGTAAGACCGCAGAAGTGAATACAGTTTGCAACAAAAACAGAATGGCCAGAATGTCTGTCTGTTTAGATGTCTTTTGTTGAAGGCTTGCTGGATAAGTTTGGAGCATCGGCTCCGCTCTGCCAAGACTGACACGAGAAAGAACACCTACTTTCATGTGATTCCATGTTTATCCGTTGCTCTCCTCCGAATTTTATTAAAAGCCCAAGCACGGCGGCCATGCTGAAGAGTGTTGTTCAAACGGGGCCCTGTGAGGTTGACAGCTAGATGAATGGTTCGGCACTGTTCTGCATTTTTGGCGGCCGGCTTTCGACATGGGAGGCAAAGCAGCTGTCCGACAGTTTTGCCATTCGGTGTGACGGTCGCCCACGCATATTGCAAGGCAATGTCCGAGCCCGAGCCACCGCAACGGCAAGACTGACAGCACAAGCAACGGCTGACAAGACTCGGCGCTGGCATCCACGGGGTAGGCAGAAAAGCTTGCCAGCCCATCCAGTCCCTCAGTTGCCAGGCTGTGACTGGTACCATTGCCCAGTATGCTGGGGGCGCATCTTTGTCTCCGCGCTTCGGTGCGCAAGAACCAACATCTACTAATCGAAGACAAGCTGCACAGTAGAATTGATCCAGGGAGGCATGGTCGCTGGATGGGGAGTGCCTCAGCGTATTCTGTCCAGCAGCTTCTTCTTGGGAGTTCTTCTGGGAGTTACAATGCCAAGCCGGCCACTTTGCATTGCACCCAGCGGCAGATTGACGCATGTTGTCGGAGTTAAGAGATTTTCTTCGACATGCGCGCTCGGGCCCTCACTGTGCATCTTGTGCCCAGCATGGCGGGACTGCTTCGGATGCTGGCGTGGCATGATCTCCTGCCCCATCTCACGACATCAACTGTTGAGCAAGTTAAGCCTCCTGCTGCAAAGGGATGCTTTGTCAGATGCTTCAGCAGTAGGCCCTGAATGGCCTTCTCCACCGAGCTGCTCACCGCGTGTGCGCCAAAGCAACGCTGCTTGAGCCGAGCTCTCAACGCACCAAGGCTTCAGGATCTTCAGCCAGCAAGGCATGAAAAAAACCACCAGCAAGCAAGTTCCAAGGGTCAGATGAGGATTCAAGTGGTTTAGGGTTTAGGGTTTAGGGTTATCTGTTCCAGCCGAGAGGCTGCGCGGAGGCGACGTTTCGATTGGCATGGCTGCAGCTATGAGCCGCATTAGCTCCCGCTGGCGAGCCGAACAGGGCAATGAATTTCCACATGAACCTAACGGGAACCAAAAGCGGAGCGGCATCAAGAACTGAAGTGTACTTTAGGCCACATGTGTAGGAGACATCGGAGCTTTGCGATGGAGACAAAGTATGCCTTTGCTCTGAGTATCCTGCATCTGCTCCCAGCTAGCCCTACACGTGCTTCCAACCCATTCGCAAGGACATCCTTTGCCGGACACTTTTCATCTGGTCCACGGCACCCCTTCACCCCTCCGTGGCGCAGTGGCCAAGGCTTGCAGCATGCAGCTCATCCACTGCTCGCCCCTTGCCCCCAAAGCAACGAGACATCTTGGTCTTCTTGATCCAGGCTGCTCACTCACCGTGAGCTCCTGATGCAGGCTGCTCAGGAGGCAGCATAATATTTTGCACAGGTGCTGCGCAATTTACAGGGTTGCCAGTGCTCGAAACAAGCTTGCGGAATGCTTCGGCCCCTCTTCGGTCCTGCCCGTCTAGGTCGAAGCCGAACCGAGCTTGCCAAGCAGTGTGTCCACCTTCCTTGGTTCTGGATCACCTATGAACATGCCTTGCCCACGTACCCAAGAAAGTTAGGTACCCTATAGAATTCCTTTGAGGTTATATATGCGGGGATATAAGGTACCTTTTTTTGAACCCGTGCTTGGCCGAAGCATAAGGTACCTGATTCCCTCATTCCAAGCTATTCCAAGCTGAGAACCCTAGTGACCCGAAGTAGGACCAAATATTTGCACGCCGAGCAGCTTCCTGCCGGCCTCCAGCCTTTCAGTAAACAGATTTGGGGCAGCTCCAAAGGGTTTGCTGGCTGACGGCCATCCAAGGCCACGGCTGCTTCTGCAAGTTCTGGTGGGCGCTCGTCGCCTGCGCATGAAAGCAGAGTCATCACGCAGGATGACGAGCTGATGAGGCGTGCACCCATTTCACACCGGAGGCTTAGACCGGGCCTTCCGGCAGCGTGCCTCTGCTTCCTCATGCGCTGCCGTGATCACTTCCTCCCTGTGCTGCAGGGCCTGCAAAAGCCGCAGAAGGCAATGTCGGAATCTCAACAGGCGAGCACGCACACGTCAGGACACGTACACAAAACTCCTCTGCTACTTGATGTGTCCCGAGAAGTGACAGCTGAACATGGCTCAGCCTGTAATCGTTCTGCATCCAGCCGTGACTGTGCCTGTGGCGGAGCTTGCAGTTGGACAGCCGGTTGCATGTCAGCAAGAAAGTCTGCCAGGCACAGGTCGGCATGCCCTGAGGACTGCGTTCGCGCCAGTGCTGCATGTTTTTGGAACACCTATGCCCTGCCCTCTCGCAAGGTCGAAGTCCTAAGCAACAGACCATGATGCGGCTCTCACTGTACAGTAGCTCAACAGCCATGGGAGCTTTCTACTCCGATTCTACTCCTATTCAATCCTACTCTTGCTTCGTGACATTGGAGCACCTAAAGGGACCTCCAGAAGCCACTAGCAAGCCTTCAGCAAATGGGAAGGATATCCTCAGCGCGCAGCGCGGCTCGTGTGCATGGGTCGTACGAGAAGTTGGCCTGCCACTTGCGAATCGAGTCGGTGTGGTAGATGAAAACATTGAAGCCTGAGTCGGATCCTGGACACCTGCGCAGAACAACAGACAGCCCTGGCATTGCACGACCGTCTTGGACGATCTGCTCACAAGTGAAGACTTCCTCCTCGGAGCCCTGTTCTGCTTCCTTGAATCGCGCCAGCACTGCGTTCTGCATGTCGTTCCGGAGGTTGTCGACGTTGACACCCATCCGGAGCAACTCCTCTCTGGGATTGGCATGGCCAGCCCCGGTCTGCTCACGCATTGTGAGGAGGCCTCGCAAGCGTGCCTCATTGAGATGGGCTTCCTTTCCCGCGCAGCCCGTGAAGAAGCTTCTGAGCCAAGCAACAACAATGTCCTGCACGTCATCGGTGCTGCTTCGCACACAGCACGCAACTATTTCCTGTGCCGATCTCGCAAGCTTCCATAGAGCTCCAATAGTCTGCTCATCTGTCTCTCCACCACTGAGTTGCAGCGTCTGCTGACAGAAGCGGTGCACCCACGCTTGGAACAAGCGACGGACCTCCGTTCACATCACGACCATCCACTTCTGGACTGTGCATGAAAGTGCGCTGAAGCTACGAGTAAGAGAGCTACTGCAACAGGGTCAGCACTTTTTGTATTTGTGCTCGCTAATAAAGCTCTGCAGCCCCACCCCCCCACCTCGGACTCAGTGTCCTCGGAAAGCTCCAGCATCGGGGGGCGAGCAGCCATGAGCAAATCCACTGCATTCGGTGCTCGGAGCACTTGCGCGAGCGCATGGGCCACAGATGTCCTAGGCGCCAACGATTGACCCAACAATCCATTCATTCTCAACTGTGGCTTCAGAAAACAAATGCGGGTCTACCGCTTCGGCAGCTGCTCTGCTAAGTGTACCTCAGGATTCTAAGCGCGTGCCCAAGTTTCAAAGGGCAGGAGGTGCTGGCAGCCATGATGGCTCGCGCCTGGTCTGGTGCCTCCATGGTGATGGCCAGGATCAACTCGCCGGCGCTCTTGCCCTCGCGCAAGACCTTGAGGCCCTGCTGAGGAGAGGATGCAACCGTGTTGGGATCCAGAAAGATTTCCTTGCTCGGATTTCGGAGAGCGGAGTGATTGCTTCAGGGTTCGCCAGAAATAGGGATGATATGAAATGGGATTACAAAAAACGTGAACACACACACACACACACAGCCTCTGCCCACAGCGGCCAAGCTTCTCCCGTGCCAATGAAGGAGTCTCCACGCACAACGCCCTGTAGCTCTCTCTTGTCGAAAACCTCCGCGACGACCTTGAACCGGGATGCCTTCCAAAAGTCGGAGCGCACCGGAAAAGCCAACTTGTCCCCCCAGTCGAACCAGCTTTCATCGCCCGGAGCTTCAACGAAGGAAGTGCTCTGCATCTCGGTGCTGGTCGGCCCCCACTCAAGCCTGCATTTCACGTATGGCCTGATTCGACGAAAGCCCAGAACTCGGGTTGTGATGTCAAAGAGACGATATTCTGAGCTGGAGAAGCCACAGGCCCTCTGGATTTCAATGGACACTCTCCCGTCCATGGCTTGCGCGCTTGAACGAATTAAGTCGGGCTCAGTCCGTTGTTGCTGCTTTGGATGCCCCGCTACCCGCAACTGGCCTGGCTAGAACACACCCTGTGCATGTGACTATGGAAGATATGGAACTGGAGATCGAAGTCTGTCAGGATGTTCTAGTAAGACGGTCGTCGTTGCGAACAAATGTCTGTGCAAGGCCATTGTCTCCTCGTGTCCCAGAAAGCTGACATGGCACAGAGGGCAAGTCTGTCGTGACGTCGTGATTGGCTACGCCACCGAGCTACCTGGCTTCATCATCGCGACCCTCTCCTGCTGAGGCTCCAAATAAAACAGCATCCGGCTTCGCGATCCTATGCCGCTGGTCTTGGTTGGCAAGAGCAATGCTGGCCTCGCTGTCCAGCTGGAGGGTTTTCAGCTGGGCCAACATGGCCAACAACTGCTGAGCGGCCCTGCAGGCTCGGAACGCAAATGAAGTCAAAACAGAAAGCCTAGAGATGCCAGTGTGTACCAAAACCCAAGATCAACTGCGAGTAGTGTGTCAGTGTTATAACAGTGTATGTATATCGTTCGTCAAATATTAAGAATGCCTAAGCAATCATCACATCTCACCAAAAAAGATTCACAACAGCTGTCTGGGCCGTGGCTGCCTAGTTTGGGGCTTTGGCTCTCGGAAGAGAAAGGCCACACTTCCACGGCCCAAGGATCGTCAGCTTGGGGGTAGACGGTCTCATTTATCCATCCCTGCCAGGCTGCATTCTGGGTCATTACCAGTAACGTGCTCGGGGCTTAGAAGAGGAGGAGCGAGCCGCGATCAAACCGAAAGCCAAAGAGAGCCAATGTGAACCTCCTCTCAGAAACTGAGGAGCCAGCGCTGACTCGCTGTCCTGGAGCGAACCCCCCGAGGCTTTGCTTTGTGCAATCGACGGTGTCTGATCTAGTAGGGGTAGGTGAGCCACTTTGGGCATTCTGCGATACTCTTCGTGCGTCTGCTTCTGAGAAGATGCTGGCACTTGGCTCGAACTGCTTCAAAATCGTATAAACTTCATAACTACATTTTATGCCCCTAAAAAGCCGAAACCCCCAACATCTTCTTATGCTTGACGTGTTCGACGCTTCGGTCCGGTCGGCCGGTCTCCGCAGCATACAGCTGTGCTTCCAAGTCAGCATGCTTGGCCTGCAAGGCTTCTGCGTTGGTAGCAGAATCAAAGACGCTCCAACCCCCCTTAAAACGCCAGAGGCCTTGCCAAGAGCCCCTTCAGTTGTCAACCTGAAGGCTCCAAAAAAGCCCCAGCCTAGAACTGCCCAGGTTTTCGGGGCGGGCCGAAGTGACGCACAGCATTCGCAAGAAACCCTCCTTGGGCACTCCGCCCCTTGAAGCGAATAGGGTTTAGGGTTTAGGGTTTAGGGTTTGGGGTTTGGGGTTTGGGGTTTGGGGTTTGGGGTTTGGGGTTTGGGGTTTGGGGTTTAGGGGTTTAGGGGTTTAGGGGTTTAGGGGTTTAGGGTTTAGGGTTTAGGGTTTAGGGCACGCGATGGGCATACTGCAGGAGCTCCCACTCTCAAATGTGAGACATGCGCGCCGAGCGACAACGTGTCCGAATGCTTCCCACCTGCCAGCTAGCTAACCGAGTATCGAAGACAAGGATTCTGGTCTACATACACCAGAATGCGTCGAATGCGATGTCTGCACGCCAGCAATAACACCCTTCCTCACCTCGAGCTGCGCTCGCTCCTCATGTTGCAGCTCCAGCCTTATAGCGTGTAAATTTTATGGCTCAGGGCCCCAGGGCTTCGTGATCGGGGCTGTTTTGCCATTCTGCAAGCAGACGAATCGGCAGTGCAGGGGAAGACTTTGGGACGACAAGTCGTGCAAACAAGAGGGTTCTGCAGCTGGACGCGTGCCCAACATGGAAGACCGAGACCCCCCAAAGGATCCTAGCACTACCCACCACCAAAGATAGTCACCTTAATCCTGGAACCCGACCACTCAGTCGCACGGGTGCGGTCAGAGCGCTTTCAAGCGGAACAGCAGGGCTTTGAACCGGTGCCCTCGACTGGAAGGACCGAGTTGCTGAGGGATTAGGACCTGATTAGGACAACTGTTGCTACGAAGTTGAGGGCTCGCCAAGAGAATACTCTATAGAGCTGCCTTTTTGTCTCTTGAGGATACAGGAGGCTCATGAGACACTATCGACAGGACTGCCGGGCGGTCTAGCAGCGGAGGGTGGTCGCAAGAACCTTCCATCTTTAAGATGGACCTCCAACCCCGGCGATTCTGCGTCGCACTCCTTGTGTGCAAACAAGGCCAGAGAAGTGCGATGTGCATTATCGTTTTAAGCCATTGCTGGCAGCTGGCGCTCGGTGCCTCATTTGACCTTCAATCCGCTCTCAGTTCGTGTGAGTGCTTGCCGCTGAGGCGGACGGAGCGGGCCTCCACCATCTCGGCCGCCCCATGTAAGAATGCTCCCATCACGCTTCACCGCTGCGAAGGCCAACCGGTTGGAGAAGAGGCGAAGAACGCCGCCCTGCAACTGAGGGCCGCAGGAGCCAACATCACCTCCTCTGGTCGGGTTGCCCCAGGCCACTACTGAGCCGTCGTGGCGAAGTGCAGCGAAGGCCTGGCATGTACCACAGATCTCAAAGACCCCATGCAGCTGTGAAGCCACTGCGCTGCAGTCGCCACCGGATTCTTTGGCACCCCAACAAGTGACGCGCCCATCACGTCGGGAGAGCGCAGCGAAGGCGTGGTCTGTGCAGAATATGCGGTCCACTTCGCCCCTGTCCTCTGGGCGAGCCAGGATGTCCCCTCCATCCGACTCTAGGCCCCAGGAGATGACATTGCCGCTCTCTTTCAAGGCCGTGAAGGCCTGGGAAGTCGCATAGATCTTCAGGACTTTGGATCTCAGCTGGGCCTGAACCTGGCGCGTCGAGCCGCCACCGCTGGACAGCCCCCAAGAGACAACCGAGTTGTTCTCCAAGACGACAGCAAAAGCAACAGAGTTTGGACAAATCATCTTGATACCTTGCTTCAGCTTCGATGCCACCGCTGAGCAATCTCCTCCCCTCGCCGGATCGCCCCACGTTGCGACAGTCCCATCCCGGCGGACGGCCACAAAGGCGTGCTCGTTGGAGACCAAGTAGCTTACATCACGTTGAAGTTGATCGTAGACGTAGCGACTGTCGCCTCCGGCCGCAGCATTGCCCCAGGTGACAACGTGGCCGTCTGCTCTTAGGGCCGCGAAGGCGCTGCCGGTCTTGCAAAGCTGCACAACGCCATGCAGTTGATCACGCACAGCCGTAGAATCTGCGCCGTAGGCTTGGTGCCCCCAGACGACGACGCTTCCCCCACGTCGCAAGGCAGCGAACGCACCGCGGTTGCCCACAATGTTTGTGACCTCCACAAGCTGCGTTTCGACTGCCGAGCAGTCACCACCCGAGAGAGGATCTCCCCAGGTGAGGACGCGACCATCATGGAGCAACGCCGCGAAAGCGAAATCGGTAGAAAAGATCCTTGCAACTTGACGCTCAAAGCGGTGTTGCACAAAGCGGCTGTCACCACCGCCCTCTGGATCACCCCATGTCAGAACGTCCCCGTCAGGGTTGATGTATGCGAAGGCTCCCCTGTTGGTGTAGAGTCGCACCTCGTCTGCCAGCTGGGCTGCCAATATGCTGCCATCTTTCACGCCGGCCTCCGCCAAAGTCATGTGATCCACAAGGCAGCCGCCGGTGTCAGAGATCAAGCTTGTTGCCACGACACCCAGCGCCACCGCAGCCTGGGCCTTGGCCTCTGAGACTTTGGCATCGGATCGAATGGAAAAGTTCGCACACTCCCCTGAGATGAGGACCACTTTAAGGTGAACGTACGTTGAGTCGGACTTCCGTCGGCGCTGGCGCTGACCAGGCGACCCCTGACGAGCCACAGCAGACATCGGGAGCCATGGAGCACTGCTTGGCAATGATGAGCTTCTGAGTGCCAGGTCGTCTTTAGCGACCTAGCTACATGTACCTGTAGAAATATACATGTATATATATATAATTAATTTATTTAGTGATTTATCATTTTCTGTGTGTGTGCACAGATAGATGGTTGCTTTCAACAGTCTCGTAACTGGATGTATCTGGCTTTGAAATACATGACTGGGCGGCAGCTTCCAAATCCGGGCAGTGGTCAATCCACGAAAGTGAAGCAACATGCGCATGGAACATCATTATCGGTCATCTAAAAGCTGAAGACTGCCGGGAACCATGTCTTGTTTGCCCGGGTGCGTACGTAGCCTTTGAGATGCAAAACGCTGGCACGCTGTGGATTCTGAGGGCAGCTCTATTCTAAGATGCAGCTTTTAAGCACGACTCTGAGCCCCGGTCTTGCGCTCCAAGGCCGCTTGCGTGGCCTCACGGCACCCATGGCAAGTCGGGTTTGAAGGCTTTCGGCTCTCAAGCTCGCGCACAGGCAGGTACTTAAGGTGCACACTGTGTCGGTTTGAAGGTTTCGGGTTGCTTTAGATGTTTCTTTTGGTGTACGAAGGGCTTCGACTCTTGCACTCGCACACAGGAGGCAAGGTTTCCAAGACAGGTGAGAAAAATCCAAAGCCTCTCTCTTTCAATATATGAATACAATACATATACAGTAATTGTACAAATTAGATTAGCATGACAGTGTCATAAATCATTTTGTTGTATTGTATAGTCATATGATCATATGATAGTCACACATTGGACCGGACCTCCCTACAAGGTCACTTCTGCCCCATCTAGGTAGCAACATATGCTGAAGCAAACAAAGCATTTCTGCAGGCATGCCGGCGTACCGTGAGTGGCAGCTAACAGCTACATGCCATTGAACCACATGGAACCAGCAACAACTTCCGTCAAAGGAAACAACTTTAGCCTTTAGCAATGCTGAAGGAATTCTTGGGGCTGATGCCAGGCTCTTCCCAACGGACTTGCGGAGGTCCAATGCCTGCACACGCGTTGACTGGATTCTGATGGGCTCATGACTCATGGAATGGATGGAACTTCTGACGTCGGCGCGCTGGCGAAACTGTGACCCTTCATTCCCTCCCGAAGCCTCTCGCTGCGTACTGGGCAAGCACCCGGCACAGTAGCGACTCCGCTCTGGCACCAGGGTTCCGCAGCGCACGCACACCTGAGGGAAACCGTCATCCCATCCCGTCAAGACGAGCTCACGTATCCTGCTCCTTTTTCATCCCTGCAACTGTGTCCCACCCCGATCATCCTTAAGCTAGGCGAGAGCCTGGTGACCCTAACCCCCCCCCCATGCCACCCCAAGACTTCTCCGAAATTGGGCAGTGACTGTTGTCATGAGCCATTACTTTTTCGTCAACGTTGATTGAACCTTTCAAGAACGAAAACGGGCAAAGGTGCAAGGTAGAGAGTAGACAAGATTGACAGCCCTGACTGAAATCGGCAGTTCGAGTCTTCAACCTCACGGGGAAGTGTATGAAAGATAGAAGGTTGCCGTGGCGGAGAACCTTGCTTGCGCCCTGGTGATACAAGTTGTTTCGCGCTCAAAGCTTGGACTCTCAAGCTTTCAACCCCTCAACCTCCTTAAATCCAAAGGCTCCAAATCCCCGTTTCAAGTATTCAAGTTGCAACCTGCAGTCCGCAACGTCAGGGACTCTCACTCTCACCCAACGAGCTGTCAAACTTCCTCAAACAGCAGCACTTCAGAGGCAAACCCTGAGCTCCCCTGCCTGTTCCACTGCGCCCCGGCCAGCGCCTTGGCTCGAAGATGCTTAGATGCTTAGATGCAATGTGCAAGCCGATGCAAAGATTCTGAGCCTTCATTTCTCCAGAGTGGATGAGTGACAGGCGTGCGCGATGCCTGCCTCGAAATATTCCATAAAGAACCCTGAGTTGCTTTTTGTCTCTGCGTGCCTAGCAGCTTCGGCAAGGACCGGACTGCAGGTTTGCAGTGTGCCTTCCTGTACAAAGTGAGATCACCCTCTTGCTAGGAAGCCAAAGGCTTGTGAAAGAGGCTCGAAGGCACACAAACTGCAGAGCAGTCAGACACATGCCAAGGGACAGAGCACCGAGTACTCGAAGACTCCATGTGATGAGCCGTCCACCACTTAAGTTGAATTCCCACCCCAAAAGCAGCATTGTACATTATACATTCTCCCTCCCAATATCACGATATTGCGTAAACGAAGCGGAGAACACCCTAAACCCTAACCCCTAACTGGCCCTAACCCAAAACGCTCTAAGTTATGCTGTTGTCGGAGGCGGCTGCCGGTAGTACCAGATGAGCCCCGAGATGGTCAGGATAAATGCAGCTGCGTAGGTCCAGGTGATGTTCTTATGCTGAACCTGTCAGAAGCAGGAGAAAAGCGTGAAGAGAGCAAAAACAAAAGGAATCTACTCCCTCATGGTTTAGACCTGATTTCTGGTACCTTAGTTTTCTGGACCAGAACGGTTGACAAACAGCATGTTTTTCAACGATTGGGGAGATGCTTAGCGATGACGATGTACTTAGAGGTGCAAGTGTAGTTATGCTGACCTTCTCTACCCGGGGCCTGCCAAGAGAAGAGGATGCTGTACACGTCGCAGGTAAGCAAGGACATATTGAACACGGCGGCATCGGAGATTTGCAGGAAGATGCTCACCAACATGTAGACCCCAAAGAGGCAGGCCTGAAACCCAAGTAAACAGGCAACGTCTTTCCAGGCCCAATCAATTTCCACAAAGATGTGGCCCTCAAGCGAGATCGCCTGAACGCAAGAGATGACGCTGCCACACAGGCCCAGCATTCCAAGGGCCTCATAGCGGCTACAGTGATTTTTCAGCAGGAACTCCTGTTGAACGTTCGAGGCAGCATAGCATAAGGTTCCCAAAATCACGAGGAGATCCCCCGACCAGGCAGTTGGAGCTGACTCCCTCTGGGCACTGTCTGCAAAGACCGTCAAACTCAGTCCGCAAAGGCAGACGACGCAAGCGACGATGTGACCCACAATGTACCTGGTGCCGAGCAGGAGGCGCGAAAGCAGCATCACCGCGGGCCCTGTGAAGCCGTCCAGCAGCATGACCGATGCCACGGAGGTGTAGCGGTAGGCAGTGACAACCAAATAGTTCCCTTCCACATCTGCCAGAGCCCAGAGGGCGTAGCGCCACCAGGGCAACCTCAGGCCTTCTGCTCGGATCTTCGGATAGGCAAGGAGGAGCAGCGGTGCAAGCAAGAAATAGTTGAGGCTCGACTGGATGGTAGGTATGCTTATCCCATCGTCGGCAAGCGTGGCCGAAAAGATCCCAGTCAGTGTATTCATGATCGAAATTACCTGGCCTAAGACCAGGGACCTCAGGGCGACCGAGGCACAAAGGCCTCGGAGGCTCTGGTCAGAGGTTTCTGAGTCCGAGCGCTCGCTGTCAAAATTCTCAAGGGAGTTCTCAACGGACTCCTCCGGCAGTTCAGGGGCCAAAGGGGCCATTGCCTTGAAGCCCAAGTCGCAGAGTGGAGGTGTTCCAAATGTGTCTGCAAGCCAAGGCCGGCCCAAGTCCATACAAGATGGCTCTAAGACTCTAAGACGACCCAATGCAAGATGAAGGATCTACAAATCTGCAAATCAGATGGTCAAAGTTGCGGTTTCTGTGTGGAGGGGCTGCAAAAGAGTGCAAGCACCTGCGATTCAGGTGACGCGGCGAGGTGCCTGGTGTTGGAGCCAGTGGAGCCCTGAGGCATAGATTCACCTTGAACGCGCGCAACCGAAGGATATCTGAGGTACAGTCCAAGCAAAGTGGAGTGGTCGGCTTTGATCCTGCAAGGCCCATGTTTCTGCTACAGCATGGGAAATGCAAGAAGTGCCTAAGCCATGATGAACACTTTCGCAAGGCCTCGCATCTTTGCTGCGGCTGTGTCGCACGCCTGGGTGTGATCAGTTTCCAGATGCACAGGAGACTAGCACTCGAAGTGAATGCTGGGCAAACATCGTCGATGGCCTCTGGGCGCCAAGTGGGGCTAACTCCGGGTTAACGACAAGGAATTCATAAAATCCAGATTTGCTCTTAGTTGAAACGCTCCAGGAACCAACGTGAACAAGAGCCTAGCCACTGCCAGTGGATGCTGCATTTGCTGCAGGTGCCTGGGGAGCTGGCCTGGCTTTCGTTCGTGCTGATTCTTGGCATTTAGCTCCTCAGGCCAATCCCGAAGACTTTGCTGTTGCTGTAAGGTTCCCTTGCCGTTAGACCTAAGCCCTCAGGCCCTTATAAGCCTCTGAGACTCTAAGCCCTGACAAATCCTGCGCTGGCCACTCTTTGGACTCACGCTCGCACCTTGGGTTAAAGGGGCTTACGTCTTACGGGTCTGATACGGTCCGGTCTCTGGTTTCGGTCTGGTTGCTTCAAAGGGTCGAAGGTCGAACGTTGTGTCGACAGCCAACTTGAGTTGTACTTGCGGGGGGCTTCTAGAGGCTTCAGCCATGAAAATCCGCACACTGCCAAATTATGTGGCGCGTCCCTTCGTCCTGCTGTGCTGCCATAAAGGCCTTGCGAACATGGCCCAGACGCTGGTCTTGACGTTCCTTCTCCACCTGACCTGAAAGGCTCCAAACATCGAATTTGAGATATGGGCCGCAAAACGGTGCAAGAAGAAGGGTGCACATTTGCACAACCCTTTCACGCTGCATTCCCTATCCCGAGACGGTGCTCTATCTCTCCCCCCCCCTCCCCTACCCCCCCGAACCTGGTTTTCAGCACCATGTAGTCGAAGAAGGACCCCCCCAAAAGGAACCCTGATTCTGAACAGCCCCAAGTTGCCATGCCCCACAGCCTCCACAGCTTCCGGACTCAGTGCAAGGCATCGGCTCAACTGCTCACGCAACTGCCACACCTTCTCCCGCTGCCTGACACAAGAGCAGCGGCCGCAATAGCAGTCACAACCGCGCCGACAAGAGCAGTCGTTGTTACAAAGGAAAGAGTGGTATGTGAGTCATCGTCGTAGTGGTTGTAGTAGCCAGCCTTTGAGTTTCCCGAAGTAATAAGATTAAAGTTGCACATTCTGCCGTTGGTGTGTGGACTGAGTGAATTAATGTTGATGTGCAGCTTTCGGCTGTCAATGTGGATGGTGGAGCATCGTTGCTTCGGATGTCCTGTCTTCTTGAACTAGTTAACTCGCTTCGTGCTACTTTGTACGGCCAAGTTGGACAAGCATTTCGTCTCAAACCCTGCAGTTAAAGGCTCGCCAAGATATCATTATAATATGGGATTGTGGCAACAGCTGAGAAGGGTTTTTTTGCCTGACGCTCAGTGGTTTCAAGCTCGTTTGTAGCGATTGGTCTTGGCAGCCTTTGCATCGGCACCTGAAAGAGTCTAGACCTCGAAGTGAGCAGGGGGGGGAGCATGAGGGGGGGGGGGGGAGCATGAGGGGGGCACCCCAAAGAAAAGCAGGAAAAACAAAAACACGCACCATGACCGCGCCAATTACATGCGTGGACATGGTAAATTGCCCCGACCAGCTTCCCTGCGACTCTAGGCCACAAACTCCATGCTTCCCCGCTTGGCCTGGCTAAGAAGTCACGGCGGTACTTGGGACCGTCCTTGGCCTCAGTGTTGTGCTTTGTGCATGTGGACAAGCGCCAAACACGTCGGGCACTATTCCGACTATTCCCATTCTCCTTGGCACTCCTTTTCGCCGATGGTCTTACATTTTAAGAGGTTGCTTGTTCGATCAAATATCAATCCTGCTTTGTTGGGGGAGCTGCTTCCAAACCCGATCGACGATGCAGCCACACCCGAAGACCCTACTGGGCGACGGGGTTAAGTCGACCCAGGTGGCGTGATGTCACAAGCGCACGCTCGATATGAGCGAATTCGCCCCACGCGCGTAATGTCACGACAGGTTTCCCATTCAAAAGCCGGCGGAGCGCCTGACATCAACGTGTTGTATGTAACATGTGGGCCAACATGACCCGATGATCTATGACGCTGTCCAGGCCTACCCCCGAGTACACGCGTGTAGCGAGCGTTGATGTTCCAACATCTTGAGCCTGCCACAACCCGCGATGTTTTTTCGTGCAGAGCATTGTGCCCTGGCAAGCTTCAAACCTGTAAAGCGAAACCACCGGCTTAAAAGTGGTTTTCTACAACGTCACACTGCCCTACAGGGAGCGCAGAATGACGCTCAATCCACAAAGCCCAAAGCTGAGTTTTAGGAAGGCAGTCTGGCGAATCGATTCCTGAATCACCTCAACCTTAGCCTCCACCGGCACCGGTCAAACTGCACTTAAGCACGTAGAAGCTTGAGGAAACTCAGCTAGAAGGGCGACTGTAAATCCTCCGTTTTCCATTGCCAAGCCCCATAAAATGCATGCCCTCCCAACCTCGAAAAAACATGAGTTGAATAGGAAATTCCCCGAGGTAGCGCTGTACATATGTACTTTCCCAACCCTAAGAAGAATGTGGCCGGCATGTGTTTATCCCGAAGACCACGCGCTTTTTCCCCCTGAACCCGATACCCTAAACCCAAACAAGAACCCCTAAACCCTAAACCCTAAACCCTAAACCCTGAACCCTAAACCCTAAACCCTAAACAGCTCCAAAAAGAGTGCAGCCAAGCGACCTCCGAGGCATGGTCCCAGCCAGGGGGCTTGCGAGCCTTGGGATGACTCTTGGGGCCTTTGCTCTACCTTCTCTGTAGGCAACCTGCATACAATCTTTACCCACAAGGCCTAAGTCTCTAAGTCTACTGCTCATGGCTTCAAGTGGCAGCTGAGGGATGTTTCTATTGCACCACTAAGCTGCTGACCCCGTCTTGCTTGTTGCGACCTTGCTGGACACACCACGTCAGCGCGGCTCAGCAATGGCATCTCTCCCAATGGGCCAAGCGACCGGTGACTTTGGCGGATGCCTGGATCGAGGCGGCCGGGATACTACAAACTACGCAAAGGAGTCGAAGAAAAGTCTTCTATCCCCCCCGTGGTAGGGTGCAGGCAGGTCTCTTCCTGCCCATCTCCTGTTCGGGAGGCAAGGTCTACAAGATGGACGCTTGCTGCCCACTTTGGTGCTGACTATTTGTTGTGGTGCTTTGCCGGCACCGCACGCTATGGCTTTGCTCTGCATGCAGTGCCATCATGGAATTTTTGCCGGTCCTGTGTCCACATTTGGCCAGGCTTCTTGACAGCCTGAGTCGCTTGTCCAAGCCACTTTCTGACATGGATGGTTGCAAACGTAAGCCGCGTTCACCTTAGGGCTTGGTGGTGGTCTCACGTCCACTAGCCCTGGCCCGCTTGAACCCCAACAGGCCGCCACGAGAGGGTTCAGCGGTGTCACCCAATGATGAAGTCCACGCCTCGGTCGATGCATGCAAAGCATTAGATTTTGGTTGGGGGACGCTTGTGCTGGGTCTCAAGTCCGGCAACAGACGGGGCGTTTCTTGCTTCGTCCCACATAGACTGGGGGTGGGTGGAGTCGCTTGCATGTCTTAACTGGCACGTTCTTTAACCAGTGTGTCCTCGGCTGTTTCTGGAGCGCCCACCTCCGATGATCCCACAACTATCCCAGAAATGGCTATCCGTCACAAGGCTTTCTGGATACATCGGGCCAAGAACAGGCGCCTCCAAACCAAGGCTCTGAACCGTGTGTTGCAGAGATTTTTTCTGGGGTGATTTTGTTGGAGCGAGGAATCTGATCAAAGCAACGCAGCAAAGAACGCGCTGGTTTGTTTCGGCGCAGAGCTGGAACACCTTCGTGTGCACCTCGGCAGTCCCTGACTCAAGGCTTCTGGCCAGAAAGTGCAGTAAGTCTTCGAGCATGGCTGCAGCTTCAGGGGGTGGATTGAAAACCAAGACACCCGAACTCTGTAAGGAGCTCCGGGTTGGATCGGTCACTGCAAACTCGGCCACCACTATCTCACCTACGCCCAGGGAAGCAGCCTGACCATGGAGATTCGAGATCTGCAGGGCATCTAAACAGGGATACCACATCGCAAGGCAGAGCCGAGGCCGTTCTTGTCGCAAGTGCCTCACCATGAACAAGCTCCATGCGATGTGCAATTCGTACGGGTCGCAGGGCGGATCAAGAAAGACTATACCCTTGCCGTCTGGAATCGCTTTATGCAACATCCACCAGTAAGAGTCCGCACAAATCACCTCTTGTCGACATCCGCGGTTGAGACCTCTTAAGTTGGAAGTTAAGTCGACGAACATGTCCTCTGAGAGCTCAAAGAACATCGCCGTATCTTGCGGGCGGAGCCAAGATAAAGCCAACGCTGCCGAACCAGGGTAGAAGCTCAAAACACCATCCGAGTTGTGCCTGCGCACTGCAGCTAAGTACTCTCTCACAGCTGGGTGGGCTGGAAGCGTGTCTCCAAAGCGATGAATTAACTGAGCGATGCCAGACTGAAAGTTCAGATGTCCAGCGGAGCGGCTATCAATGTTGTAGATGCCCCTTCCAGCATGTGCATCGACAAAGAGGACTGGATCTGCGGTGGACGTTGATGTTTGTAGCAAGCTTACCAGGACTGTGTGCTTGAAGCAGTCCAGGGAGCTCCCAGCCTGCACGGTGTGGTCATATTTGGAAGTAAAGATTCTGCAGTCCTTCTCCACCATTTCTTGCACGAGGCCCAACACCGAGTTCCACTGGCCCTTTTTAGCGCATGCCGTGATGGCAGCACTGTAGCTTACGGCATTGCGCCGCACCACCTGCATACTCATGAGCTGGAGCACGCTCAGCGCATGTTGCCAGTGTCCTGCTTTCCCTGTTGCTGCAATCGCGGCTGTGCCAATCACGGCGTCAACCTCTACTCTGAGTGATGTTGCGCACACAAGCATATCGAGGGCCACTTGCCACTGTGAACCTTGCTCGCATGCCTGGATGGCCGAGCTCAAGGCAAATCCGTCCATAGCCACCCCCGCCTCAGGCATCTCAGCCAAAAGGAAGAATGCAAGGCGCCAGTTGTCGGCGGCAGCCGTGGCACGGATGGCTGCGCCAAAGCTGAAAGTGTCCGGCCGCAAACTCCTGCTCGGCAACTGCGTGAAAAGCTCCAAGGCACGCTGCCACTGCTGGCCTGCTTGGAGCGCCTCCATCAAGCCATTCCAGGTGATTGTGCTGCTGCGAACCCCCGTAGCTTGCATCTCTACCAGGAGAAGCAGTGCAAGCGTCCATCGCTGTGCGCGTGTCGCCGCACCCATCAGTGCAGTATAAGTCACAGGTGTTGGGGCAAACCCAGATCGGGTCTTCAGAGAGTCGTGCAATTCCAGTGCCAGGTCCCAGCGCGATCCAGCGACGCAGCAACTCAGCACCGAGTTGTAGGTTATCGCGTTTGCCGAGACTATCCAGCCTGCAAACAAGAAAAACCGAAAGAAAGGTCTGGGCAATATTGCGACTCTACAAAACTAGCAGCCCGACGCCCATCCACCGCTTGCAGCCCTCCGACACTACAAGAACCACGTCAGCATCACCCCACCCCCTTGCCTTGCATAAGCTCAAGGAGCTCCAGCGTTGATTGCCAGCTGCTGCTCGTCTCGCACCTCCCAACACTGGGACAAGATGGGCTAAGACATGACCAGCGAGCTTCAACTGAAATAGTTGAAACATCCTTAGCGGCTTAACCGACCCAATGCCAATTTAGGCAAGCTGCGCGCTGAGGCAAGCGCTGAAGCTGAACACGTTGGGCTGGAGCTCTGCCTGACACATCTCAAGCCTGCATGCCAGAGCCCACAACCCGCAAACTTTCCAATCCTCGACTACCAGACCCGCCCCGGGGAAAAACTAAGTCTTGCCCACAAAATCAAATCCCAGTCCAGACCGGACACTTCCGGAATTTGGGCGAGCATGAGTTTAGAGGGCTTTGGGTTGGACGTCAAACCTCGATCCACATTCTTCAGGCCAAACATCAGAGGGAATGGATTCGACCGCATCCCTTTTCTGACATACGCTCCTGAACCATCCAACTGGCCTGCGGCATAAAAAGTAGAAGGGCCAAGCTGTGCTGCCACTGCCCCCCTCTGGCCAGGGCAGAGAGGCAGTTGGTGTAGGTCACCAAGTTCGCCTCCGCCATGTTACATGTCGGCTCGAGGCTTCTCAAGACTCCAACATGAGTTCCTGGAGTACAACTTGCGCCTTAATACACTGTACAGGCAACGAGTGGTACCGACATGGATTCTGCTTTGAAGAAAGAAGAGTACATGTAATATATATATATACTCTTAGTATGAGAAATCATGACTTGCTGCATAGCTGTCGAAGCCGGGACATAGCTGTCGAAGCCGGGACCCTCCTTACTACAAACATGTGATTTCTTCGGCCTGGAGCCCGGCCGCCGGAAGTGTGCAGAGCAGGTCCAAGGCCGTTTGCCACTGGCTTCCGGCACCGCAGGCGGAGATTGCCGAACTGACCTGTAACGGGGCATTTGCCAGAGATCCCTACCGCAACTACTGTAACTTGCCGTTTGTTCTATAGGGGTTTGTTCTCAACCCCCACCAGAATGACATCCGTCTGGACGGAGCCCACGCAGGAGCCGAACAAACTCAAGGCAGCCTGCCACTGGCTGGCACAACTGCAAGCTTCCAACGCGGCGCTGTAGCTTCTGACGTCGGGTCGCCCCAGCTCAGACAGCAAGTGAAGGGCCAGTTGCCAGTCCGATGCTTTTTGGCAGCCACTAATGACCGTGTTGTAGTGAATAACGTTGGCTTGGACTGCGTCTTTTTGGACAGCTTGGAGAGCACGCCAGGCTGCATGAACATCCCCGCTCTCGCAGATGCGTTTGAGGTTCGCCGTCACCTGCCTGGGCGTCTTGACTTTCAGCAGCTCCTTCATCTCCTTCAACCCGTGGCATCCATTCGCTGAGACGGGTCCACTTTCACGGTCACGGTGCCGTTCCTATTCTGTTCTCGGCACACCGAGCTTGCAGCCTGAGCCTGGTTGATCTGAATTTCGTCTCTCACACAAGCGGAGATCTTCGCGATGCGACACACGCACACACACCCCCCCGGAGATTTTGGGCAGGGAACTTGCTGGAGGTCTGGTAGGGCCGCGGATTTCAGCAAGCCAGCTCGCAGCTAGGTTTGGATTTGGGGGATACCTTCTCAAACTCTGTGGAGTAACGATCTGTAGCATTGCAACGCGCGCTGCAAGAGCTTAGCATAATGACTCTCCGCAGCAAATCCCCTCTGGCTAATCTCGGTCGTAACTGTTGGTAGACGGTGGGAAGACCTACGAGTACCCAGAATTGCCTCAAACATCAACTTGAGAATGTGACTGCGGTTGCCCTGCAGACCTTACCGATTTCTTGTTCCTTATTGTTGAATTGCAATCCTCATCGCAGGCCAATGCCCCATACAACCCGTCACATGAATATCTTGAAATTAAGGGGCTTGGCGAACCCGCATTCAGACATGGTTTCTGTATCTGTTTCTGTTGTCATCTCCCAGGCTACTCAAACGCGATGCCAACTAGCATCCACATGCCACAGGGTTTTCTTTGTCTCTCGGTCGTTAGGGCTACTGGTGACCGTGCCTTTTGCTTTTCCCTTTGTCTCCCCGTGCTGGCGCTGAGAACTGGTTGTCATGCACTACCCCTGCGAACAACTTCCTTGCACTACCGAGCCAAGCAGGGTGCGGGAGTCGACCCGTCAAGCCCGCCACCACAGAATCACTTGCGTGAGCGCCAGCCTCTCTGCATGCCTGACGCGCAACCGATCTGCTATCAAAGTCGACTTTCCAAGGTGACTCATAAGGTGATTCGGGTCCGGGTCATGGCAGGAAAGTGAAAGGACACCTTACAGACACTTTTTGTAGGCACTGAAAACCACTTTGCAGGCCTGGACCGGTCGTGCTGCACGAACACGGGACGCAGCAGTCCCCGCCCTTCGCCTTCGCCCCCATATCCCACGACCTGGCCTCGGTCTTGGCCCTTTTGTCCCTTTTGTCCCTTCTGTCCCTCTGTGGCAGCGAACCATCCTGCCAAGCCCTCGGCGGACGGCGCCATGGGTGCCTTCTGATAACCCAGCTGGGCGTGGGAGATGTGCCTGGCCTGGTGGGCGGCCGTGCTGGACCACTTGCAGCCTTGCTTGGCCATGTTACCATGGCCCAATGCAAGGAGGGTGAAGGTGTTGCCTGGCCAGCAGCTTACACCTATCAAAAGTCTTCTTCCAGAAGCCTCTACATAATCACATAGCCCCCCTAAACCCTATACACCTGAACTAAACCCCAAACGCTAGAAACCCTAAACCCCATTTCTGAAGCAATGCTCGCCGCCTAGGCTGAACTGCCTCTCCAGCACGGGCTCCCAAAGCTGAGATCCAGTTGAGGTGTGGTCCCGGCGAACGCCGTGGTCACACAAGCCTTGCAAAGATGTTAGGCAGGGCCGGAAAATGGCCGTGGCTGTTCCCTCCTGAAGCTCTGAAGAAGCTGCTCCGTGGGTCATCAGGAGTTCGTGCACCTCTATTAGGTGTGACAAGCTGCTAGGCTCCGTGTCAACCTCTCGATGCCCTCGTTGCTTGCAAGCTTCGCTACGCAGCTCCTTTCCACTTTGGTGCTTCAGCTCTGAAATTAAACGCAGAAGTGTGTCCGGATGCTCGGCATTTTCAGAAGCAACAGCCGCAGCGAGTAGTGCCAAGACACCGACATGACCACTGCCTGAGGCCATGTTGCCGAGTAGCTCGGATGCAAACTCCCACTGGGATGACAGCTGGGCTGCATCCAGCATTGAATTCCAAGCAATCGTGTCAGGCTGCACCTGCCAAGATCTCATGCTGTCAAGTAGGCGAAGAGCCGGTAGCCATTCCTCGTTTCCCGCAGCTGCAGTGATGGTTGCACTGCTGGAGACGACATTCGGCGTGATCCTCAAGGTGCGCAGCTCTCGAAATACTGACACTGCCGAAAGCCAGGCATGGCCTTTCTCACATGCAGTGATTGCACTGTTGACCAGGTTCCTTGAAGGTTGCACGGCTGAAGAACGCACCCTGGCAAACTCACCCAAAGCCTGCTCCCACTGATGCCCCTTGCCCAAAGCACTGGTCAAGGCCAGGAATGTGATGGAGTCGGGTTGCAGGTGCCCTGTCCGCATGCTGTCTACCAGGTCCACGAGTGGCTGAACTTGGACTGCACGTTCACATGCCAACGCTGCGGCGTTGTATGCAGCCGCACTGACCGGCACGAGCTGTTCACGCATGTCCAGCAAACAAGAGATAGCCTGCTCCCACTTGTACGCAGCGGCACAAGCACTGATGGCCGCTGTGTAGGCTGCGATGTCCGGCTTTGGAAGGGAGGAGGTACAAGCCATCTTGTTCAGTAGATTCAAAGCCAATAACCAAAGGCCTGCCCTGGCGAAAGCATCTAATAATGCCCCGCAAGCTGCCACATCTGGCTTCGGGCCCCAGTCGTGCATCTCGCCAAAGGCTAGAAGAGCTGTTTGCCAGCGAGCAGCTCTGCCACAAGCACTGAGCAAGGAAGAGCTCGCCTCCAGTCTCGGAAAGTCTACGATGACAGTCCGGCCTCTCCTGCACACTTTCGACGGCAACTTTCTTGAGTTAGTCATCATGTCTTCATGGTTGTCCCGAATTATCCCTGGCACTCCTGAGTAAGTGCAGCGCCAAATGCCAGGGGGCGCTCTCCGCATCAGCGTCCCTTGTTGCGGCACCTTTTCGCACGTGCTGAGGTTTGCTGAGAAATTGAGATGGATGGGACCCTGCCAGGACTTGGATGCTTTGACAGTAAGCCCGCGGCATGCGGCGATGGCAGCATTGAAAGATATGGCGCCTGGCTCCAGCTTGCGTGTCTCGAAGTCCTGACTGCAAATCTCTGGCTATATGACATCCTGAGCCCATTAAGGTTTGCTTTGACTCTCTCACACCCGCGCATGGCCGGCAAGGCTTGAAAAGGCACTCGGTCGGAACAGGACATCCCCACCTCACACCCTGAATCAGGTATCAACAAGTACGCCAGCAGCCGCCAAGGGTTGAGGAATCTAGGATTTATGGGGGTTCGTCCTGAAGCAGCTGCAAGGCTGCCCTCCACTGACTGCTCCGCCCAAGTGCCGTGATGACCTGTGCCGCAGGTCTGATTCTGGTACCATAGGATCCAAATGATCCCTACAGTTGGGATCATCGACCCTCCACGTCCACATACCATCACTTTTTAATTAGGGTTCATGTCCTTCCTGAGCTTAAAACTCAGCATTTCCGGATGCTCTGCGTGCTCGTGCAGCGCACGGGCTTTCAGTGTCCCTCTTGGGTCGCGGCAGTATTGAAGGATATGCGGTCTGGCTCTGGGCCTCGCTCAATTGCCTGCAGGGCTGGGTCCCCCAATTCCTTCAACCCTTTCTTGACCCGTAACGTCCGGAAACCCGACTTAAGCCCTTTGACTCTTGAAACATCTTAAAACCCTCACAAGCCCTCATCCCCCCTCGACCTCGAAGAGCATGGATGCCGCCAACGGCCAGTTGCCACCCCGCTCGGCCGCGCTCATTGCCGCGTTCCCTGGCAAGATTGTGAACCGAGGCTTGGGGCCCAGGGTGTTCAGGGTTTTGGGTTCTTGCCCATTCTCATGGCAGAAATTCTTCCCGATGTGCCGATATCCCGAGTACTAAAACAAAAACAGCATCTGAGGTCTTTTGGGCTCTGTAATTAGTCTATCGTGGATTCCCAAACAAGGCTGCGACATTTGGATCAAGCCCCCATCGAAACTTCCACTCAAAACAGTGCCCCTACAATGCCTTACTATAGCCGGTAGGGGGAAGCTAAGCAGTTGTTCGGGTCGAGAGCCCATAACATAAATGCAACAAATAAAACAAGCAGAATAGCACTCGTATTTTTCACATTCACATCAAAGAAACATTTAACAACACAAAGGCTATTTATATATATATATATAATTTTTATTTATATTTTTACTTTTATTTATTTATTTACTTACTTACTTATATTTATATAACTCCAGCAGATATAGCTCGCCCTGGACCGGATGGCGGCCTGCGAAGGTGTTCGTTGGGAGTCCTGGGGCCGATTACTTTTCATCCTCTTCTCCTCTCTCCCCCCCCCCCCCCCCCCCCCTCCGACAAAAGAAAACACGGGGGCTTAGGGCTTTTAGGGTTTTTTGCCCCATCCGCATGGCTGGACTTTTGGGTTTTTTGCCACCCGACTAGCCACAGCGATGCGGGGGGTTAACTATGCGACAACTTCGGCGAAATCCGCTACAGCATTACGCTGAAGTGGTTGCCTGAAGGCTTCATGATGGGGCATTCCAGGAGTTGTACTGTGGACACGGAGGGCCTCAGCCTGTTGAACCACAGCCCAAAACATACGAAAACCAAAGCCGCAAGCTCCACAACACAGCCAAAATCCTAAGTAAGTTAGGGCCACCCCTTCTCCCTCGTCGAGGAGTATTGCCAGGCCCTGGACCGAGCAACACCACACACCCAAGGCACAACAACCTAAACTTAAGAACCCAGATTTAGGGTTTGGGGCAGTGCGCGAGCATGCTCGCATTGCCGTGGGCCCACGCGGCTGCTTCGAATGATGGTACGAACAAGGCATGTTTTCCACGGAGACTTCATTCCCTCTCCTTCTAAGCGTGTTGGGCGGGTTCTTGAGGAGAGTCCCAGCAGGTCCCTACTTTTTTGCTGCAATCTTCCGATTCTGCAGACCAGTAATTCGCCTCTGCCCTTTAGTATACTTACTACTTTGGCAAGCACAATCTTGACGCAGAGAATCAAGGAAAGAACCCAACTCCCACACAGAAGTAGCCCTGGGTGAAATGCGAGGGCCCTGTCTGCTAATAATGCAACCTCAAAGCCTTCAGGCCTTGCGAGGGCTTTGGGAGTCCCTGGACAGGACAAGCCTCGGGGATTCAAGGGCTTAGGGTTTAGCAGACGGTCATGGCGGTGATTGCAGGACAGCCGAAGTCCTTGCTGGTTTGCGGCGGCCAGGAGCTGCAGCGCCGAGCTCCACTGCAGGCCTGCCCAACCCTCTCTACATTGGGGCTTTTCAGGAGGAGAGGGGCACTCAAGCCGCTCTCTGCTCAATTCTCGACCTCCCCTCCTAGAGGCCTAGGTTTCGGCACCCCCAAGAGAAGTCGGAAGCTAAGGAGAGGCCTGGCAACCCCAAGAATACCTTGGAAGAGGCTTGCAGGGCTTTCTTACTATGGGGGGCGGTTCACGCTTAACTGCTTAACCAATTTCTGGAAACACCGTCCATTGGTCTTGGACTGCGGGTCGGATCACTAAAGTGGTCAGAAGTAAAGACTTCAACGCAACCACCCACGAACAGCAAGGACAAGAAACTCCTGAGCACCAAAGGACCCGACGACCACGATCCCGATCTCCGAAAGGACCTACTGATAAGCCCACCTCAACGCAGAAGGAAAAAAACACGCAAGACCACAACCAGGGACCAAGCACCAACAAGAAACTAGTAGTAGCTCATTCACGCAAGATGTACAACAAGGCACAAGCTGTGTCCTAGCCGAACAGTTCAGGGCGTATGCCGACATTTCGGGCCGGAAAGGTTCTTTCTGATGCGCACCCTTCCCGGGCTCAGAGCCTTACCAGCCCTCTGGAGCTGTGGGGATGAGTTCTGAAGTGACCAGCGCCTCGGCTGTGTGAAGTGGCAGCCGTGCAGAGGGTGACGATGTCCGACTGCAGCTGCAAGGAAGGTAGGGAAGCCAAGAGCTCCATGCACTTCTCCACCTGCGAGCCCTGTCAGGGGAGCCAGAGTAGTCTCAGGCCCTCCTAGAGCTTATCAAGTTCGTGATTCCGAACGTATACGACTTTGGCGCAAGCTGACCAAAACGCATCGGCTTAGTCGTGCTCTTGCGCGCTGCCACACAGGGAAGGCACAGCTTTCGATATCATGGAGCCTTGTCCAAGGCATGGAGGAGCGCGTTGTACCTCAGAGTCAAACGACGGAATTTGTCTTGCTGCTGGCTCTGCCTGTTGGCACTTCTGTCAACATGTCAAACTCTGCTTGCTTGCCGTCACTTCGCGACAAAGCAGAACTATGGGCTCTGCCGTACCTTGGACTTATCGCGCGCGTTGCTGCTGAGTTGCGTAATGATACCGGGCTGTAGGTCTTCGCTGTGCAGAGCCCGCAGCCTGGCTATCGCTGCCTGCAAGCATGGCCGCTGCCCTTAAGATGAATGTGCTTGCTGATGTGTTTGTGTTTCAGCAGTGAAGAAACATGTGGCTTGCCAAAGGAGGTTCTCCCGATGAACTGCCCCCCAACCTGCCAGCGAGTCGTTCTGCCAAGTGCTGAAATCTCCGACGTGCCCTGCCGCAGTTCCAAGAGCGCTGCCATGGCCGCGTGCTACCCAGCCCCGGTCCCGCGTCCCAGGCCAAATGAAGGTTTAGTGGCTTAGAAGCTGCTAAGGGTTGGAGTTCCAAGGGTTTGAGGGCTGCAGAGGCCAAGGATTCGCCTACGGCTTCCCCCAGAGAGCGCAAAGGATGGCAAAGGCATCTCGGCAACCCTGAAGCCTAAACGGTCCTAAACCCTAACTCTAAAAACTAAATCCTGAACCCTAAACCACGCCTGCGGGGTTTAGATCTTAAGGGTTTGTAGGGTTCCTAGAATAAGTTTTTTTGTTGGGGGAGGGGGGGGGGGGTAAAGGGGCAGTAGCCGAATCTGAGGAAGTACGCGCATCTTACGAGGCTCGTGCTCCAGGAACGGGTGGGCTGGCACTCGCTCTGCTGAAGCACTGCGCCTGCAATGCGTGCTGAGCTCGGAAACTCTTTTAGGAGGTGGTGGGGAGACTACGATATACTCTGACTGCCTGTTTTGCAGAAGATCCGGGATAGGCTCCCTAGCTACATGCTTGTGCCGGCGAGTCCAAGCTTTCTCCAAAAGATGCAAAAGAAAAAACAAAACAAAAAGGCGACCGAAGCCATACGTCAAACCCAACCCTCAGGTGCTGTGTTGGGGTTTTTGGCCTCGAGAACCGGCATGAAGTCGCAAGCCCCGAGAGCACTCATGTATCACGCAATATTGAATGCAACAAACAATAACAAAATTAACCAACAACTTCCGAACAACCCTCTTGGACGAAGCCTCGCACTTCCTTGCTCTGCTCGAAATGGACGTGCGGGACTACGCGGGACGAAGGGCCGCGGCCGAGGCAGTTGGCGGAGACCCTCAGCCAACCTGGCTTGAGGCTGTTAGGGTGTTATCTCTGAGTCTGAGCAGCTGAGCGCGACTGCACTGTGAACCAGCACATCATCGGGACCATTCCCCAGCAGTAGTAGCACTACTGAGCTGCATCCCAGTTAGGGTGTTAGGGGTTCAGGATTTTGAGGCTTAGGGTGTTTAGATGTCTCCCTCCCGAAGCTGCACGGTACCCCTAGAGTGTTAGAGTTTAAGGGTATTGTTCTCGGCTTTAGGATGCTGTGAACTTGTTTATGACCATTGCGGTTGTCGACTCTCGCAACCTCGGCAAGCCTGGCGATACACCATGGGCTCAACAATCCCTGATTCCCCTCGACCTGGTTTAATGGATCAATAGCACGCCCGAAAACACCAAGAGACCGGTTTCGCATTGGACGAACACAGACTTCCAAAAGCGAGGGCAGTTTCGCATTTGGCAAACCCAGATGTCTAAACGCGACGTCCGTTTCGCATCTCGCGAACCAGAAGGGTGGCAGTTTCGGGCACGGCGAGCGCGGGCACGCCCCCGGCGAGAACGCGAGTTCTTGTCCAAAATGCGAACCACACGCCGCTTCATCGATCTAGCCCCCCTTACCCTGCACGTTGACTATTTGAGGAATAAATAGTTTGTTGGTTTTGTGTCATTTTTGCAGGAGGTTTTGCTTCAGTGGTTGCCCTGACCGAGCAGGGAGCGGGGGATTCCCCGGGCTGCACGGCTGTGACAGTTTAGTGCCCAAGTTTAGGCTTCAGGCAGGCCAGGGTCTCGGCTTTTTTTGCAACCCAGCACTCGCGTACGAGGCTCACAGTTCGGGTTTAGGGTTTGCTGGCAAGGAATGACAGCGATGTCCCAAACAAGCCTCCCTTCAATGCCACGAGTCCAGGCAATGCAGGTGCCTTTGGCTTTTCTCCTCCTTCTCCGTGGCTTTGGTGAAGGTCTTTGACTCGACAACAAGCGGCACCGAAGGCTTCAGAGCCTGACATTGGCAAAGAAACAAACTCCCCCCTGCTCTGAGCCTTTGCACTGTAAAGCTTCAGCAGAACCCACACCGGCCAGCCTGGGCATCCCGCAACTCCACCTGGTGTCGCCGAGGCTCGAAGCTCGCGACAAGTGCCAAGCTGCCCCTGGACGCGGGTGATGGAATCTGTACGATCCGTCTGCTTCTATACTACATTCCACTCGACTTGCAGACTGCAGGCGTGGCAAGCGAGTCGGCAAAGTCTGATGAGGCGACAGGTGGCATGGCAGGCTACCCCGCATGAACCCATGTTTTCCCCTCTGCAGGAAGTCGAGTCTAGCTGTTGGTCAGGCTCGATCATATTCCAGGTCTCAAGAAGGCTGCCAGCAGACTCCAACACTAAAGATCGTCGGAACGCCAATGGCTACAGTCGTCCGCTGGGCCTTGTGCCTGTGGATGTAACTGCCTCTACGCAGACCTGGGTTCTTGCCTGCTTGGGTCTGCGCAAACATCGGCCACGATGCTTGCACATTCTGATGCCACCCTCACCTACATACTAGATCTGATATCCATGTAAAGCAGGCACCCTCACGACCAGCCCATGCTAGCCGCTGCCACTAGTTGACTCATGAGGTCCTTTAAAGCCTTGAAAGCTTGAGGCTCTGAGCTGGATGTCCTGGTTTGGCGCTCCGGCCCCCTTGCGTGTTTCGAAGATACTCAGCACTCACTGAAGTTCACCTGTTGTATATGAGAATGCAAGGACGAGCCGCCGCTAGCTGGCTGTCCAGCCAGGACGTTGGACCAGTTCGAGCTTGCATCATGCAATGTCCGTCCTCAGCCCCACGGAAACCCAGTACTTAATTGCTTGAAAGCAAGGCGATCTGCCCCGGCTCCATGGTGCCCCGTGCACGCATTCAAGCAATTGATATCCGATAGCTTTTACGCTGTCTCCTGACAACGGGACCCTGTCAGATCCTGTCAGCACGGGCGCCTAGAACCAGGGGTCTATGGGCGTGTCGCTTGCCTGATTAATCCAAATGCAGGCAGCAGTGGTCATTGAAGTGCATCAGATACTCGGCCAAGACTCTTCACGCTGCAGTTGAGTGGGAGTCCCAATGACCACATGCATCTGCACAACCTGCCTGGCTAACTCGGCCATGTACGCCAAGTCGGCTCATAAGGAGACCTGTGCTCCACGACCAGGAGGCCCAACTTGCGGGGAACGGGACTGCAAGGGGCGCATCAGCTGGCCTTCTTGAATTTGTGCTCCACAGACCAGCCCGACCCCAAGTGTTGCCATTATACGTTGCGGGACTATGTGACGAAGAAATCTGAGCGCTTCTACTTCTATGCATCATCCGTTTCATAATGCCGACAATGCTATACGATTTCGGACCTTCCGGAAACCCGGCCGAAAGACAGGGCCTCCTAGTGTAAGCAGGCACTTGTTTGCTTTAACAATGGCTTTCTGCATCTTGCGGGACTTGGGCTTGTCTTGCAAAGCCTTGCATTTCATGGCACTTCAGTTGCAAGGATTAAACAGATTACTCTGTGCCGCTTGGTGCGCCACCTGTTCTTGCCATGTCTGCATCATCGCACTTAAAGGAACGTGGCCCCTCGAGGGTGTGGCGGCGGCTCAAATGTCGGACTCACTCGGGCGGCGGTCCTGGCGGCTCGAGTTCATGTTGGATGTGGCACCGTCTTCCACGGACGCCACTCCTGGCAAAGCACTGCCACCAGTCATCGCGATTCGAGAAGCTCCCGATGGAGTCAAGACCTGTGGGCCAGAAAGGGTTTCCTGCGCCTCACGTTGAGACCGGGCTAGGCGCCTGAAGTGATGGGCACGTGGCGGCTCCAGTCCGAGCGCCCGAAGGCTCATTGCCCTCTGGCGCAGAAGCTCCGGGTCTTCGTTGTCCTGGGACACCAAGTAGAAGCGGTTGCCTTGCCAGCGGGAGTGTGCAAAATCCTCGCGGTACACCCCACCCATGGTCAGCTTTTTCGCAACACCACGAAAGCGGGATGCCGGGCTAAACAAACCAAAATGGCTTGAGCCGCGTCCATGTTTATTGGGTTACAGCTAGGTTTTAGGGCAGGAGCGTTTTAGCACACGTAAAGCTAACGATTGCTGCTGGTCAGATGTCAGAGCACAGCACGCGCTCCCGACTTGTCAATGCAGGAAGTAAGCCAAGGAGGACGAACAGAAGCAAACTCTCTTTGCCTGGAACCAAAATGGAGATGGTAGGCCAAGACCTCAGACACGGCAATCGCAAAAGCAGCAGCATTTCTTGCAGTGGGTTGGAGCTCGGCATCACCCAAAGCATGCCAAAAGCTAAGTCCACGTGGCTGGCACATCTCCCAAAGGTCCAAGGGCCGCCAGGCACACAGACACCAGGCCACGCCGCGCACCTGACAGTGCCTGCCACATGGCACAGCCCTCTGTGCAAAGAGCTGGTGCATTGCAACATTCCGCATCCAGTGCCTGGATCTCCAGGAGCACATTCTGCAGTGCATCCTGCGAGGACACCTCGACGCAGAGCTGCTGGCGGCCGTTCGCTGGATCCTGGAGCCTTCCAAGCTTGGGCTTCGCAGCTCAAAATAAATCACATCACAGGCAGGAGTCCGGAGGCAGGGATGAGGTGACAAGCTGAGTCCTTCCGTCAAGCATGAGCGCTGGACCTGGCATAGCAGACGATTGTAAGCGGCAAGAACAAGCTCGAGGAGCGAGGCCCTCTGAATCTCCAACTACAAACACGGCCCCGGCGTGCTTTTGCAGACGCTGGAGCCTTCGACATTGCAGCGAACGTCGGAAACGATAGCCAGCTCCACTGCCGTCGGTGTCCAAGAGCAGACGAAGCCCAGCCTGGCAAAGCAACCAAAAGGGGAAACAAAAATGTTGCCTGCAACTCTCGCTAGAGAATCATCATGGTTGCACATGGCCGCAGAGAAACCCCCAGGCTGTCTCAACGTAGTTGTGAAGATCGCGTAGCTGAAGAAGTCACTTGGCTAGAAGCACAGGCATAGACATGCGCAACGGCCATGCACCCGTACCTAGAGGCATACTTCTTCATTCACTTCACAGTGCATTGCATGGCATCCATACAGACTGAGGAGTCAGAGTCTTCATCACTAGGCAGCCATCATCAGCCATGACTAGGCATCTCCACGCGAGACAGGTGAACAAGCGAGGAAGGTGAGCAGGTTGGTCATGCAAAGCATGAACTGCGTGGTCGTACCTCATGCCACGCGCATCTGCCCCTTCCCCAACAAGCATGGTCGCAAGACACAAGGGCCCGAACTGCTCTTCAGATTGGGAGTCCAACACTTCTGCGACCTCGGAAAGCTCTTGGATGTCAGATAGGCTGTTGAACTCGCGTCGCCATAGCCGATACGCGTCCACCTACATGACAGATTCGCCCACAACCCGATTTGCGCACTGACACGGCGCGATTCGCGCACAGAGGATTCGAGCATTTCATCGGAATCGTCCGGGTGCAAGTACCGCGGTGGTACCCTGGGGGAGGTGGGGGGGGGGGGGGGGCAAAACCCTATAAACCTCAAGCCACAAACCCTTTAAACTTTAAACCTAAACACCAAACCCTAACACAAAACTCTGAAGCGTAAAACCCTAGGCCCTATCCTAAAACTGAGACCCAAAATTACTTAAGCCATAAACACCGAAAATGCTTGAAACCTGAAGCCTATAAACACGCCAAACACCCTGAAAAGACCGGGGGCTCAAAATCGAGAGTTCTCCACTTCCCGTCCCGTTGAAGGGTGGGGGGGGGCACCCTACCACCACCACCCCCCGCCCCCCCTTCCCAATCCCCCCCCACCACCCCCCCCCCCGCTACCACCACCCCCGACCACGACTACGACGACGACGACGACGACCACTACTTCTACTTCTACTTCTACTTCTACTGCTACTGCTACTGCTACTGCTACTGCTACTGCTACTGCTACTGCTACTGCTACTGCTACTTCTACTTCTACTTCTACTTCTACTTCTACTTCTACTTCTACTTCTACTTCTACTTCTACTTCCTACTTCTACTTCTACTTCTACTACTTACTACTACGTACTACTTACTACTACGTACGACGTACTACTACTACTACTACTACGACGACGACGACGACGAGTACTGACGAGTACTTACGAGTACTTACGAGTACTTACCAGTACTTACTCGTGCTTACTACTACTTACCACTTCTTACTGCTTAGTACTACTCCACAACCACGCGCGCGACGGCGCTGTGAGGAGGGGGGGTGGTGGGGGGGGGGGGGGGTGGGTGGTGGGGGGGCGGGTGGTGGGGAGGGGGTGGTGGTGACCCTCCCCCCGCCCTCAGAATCGGGGCAGGAACGCAGAGAACTATCTCTCGCCAGTGCTTGAATGACTAACCAGTGCTTGAACCGACCCCTGCTTGAGTCGTGCTTGAGTCGCGGTGCCCCAAAATGGGGTAGGGGGCGGCCCAGACACACGTTTTGACCCACCAAGTCAAAAGCTGCGGCAATCTCCAATAGCCAGCTAATGACATATCTCCAAGCTAGTTTGAGGCTCCCAGTAAAGCATCAAGACGGAAATAAATCCGGTGTGAAATATCCAGACCTCGGTACCTGGTTAATTTAAGAGCTTTACATAATTTACGGGGCAGTAAGCTCTTTGTATGTGTGTCTTTCTGTCCATCTTTGTCTGTATCTGCCAGTGCGTTTGTGGCACGTTTGTGTGTGCATTGACGCACCCCCTACGCCTACAGTACGGAGCCTGTAACATTTGATTGCATGGTGACACATTTCGAGTTGGAGGCTTCCAACCAAATTCTTGGAAATGGGGGGGGGGGGGGGCGTCTGCAGTACTGATAGTTCCGCACACCTTCAGTCGCATGTTTCACATCGGCACCTGCATGTTGCACCCTCAACGCTAAGTTATCCCTTATGGATCAGCTTGGGCGCTTGCCCCTGGGCCTCCAGGATACTGTGGGAGCACTTCCAGCGTCAGCCTCACTGGAGTTTCTTGATATACAGGGTATGGCAAGGGTTTCATGACCCGCCTGCAATGCCCGAGGGAGCCATGAGAGCCAAATGTAGGAAACCCGCCACCCCCGCCAACCCCCCCCCCCCCAAACCTGCCCCTAAACGGTAAACTAAACAAGAAAGGATGAGAGCATTCGGAAGAAGTGCTTGCAATAGAGTGTTCCACAGCCTGGTCCAGCAATACAAGAATCGTGTACTTGTGACTCTGTCCGTATGCGTCCAGAAGGGTGAAGGTTACACTGTGGTGTGTTGAGCCACTCTATGCCGCTCTATACCGCTCTGCGACTGCTCTCGAATTCCAGACAAAGTAAGTCTGGGGCAGGCCCGCGGTGGGGTTGCAAAGTGCGGAAGGGCAGAGAATGATCCGAGCAAAGGCGGCGCCGCGGCATCCTCGGAGTCTCTGAAAGGTGCGAGGAGCAGGAGGGGGGGGGGGTGCCTTTGCGCCAAGCGTGGGTCCTGCTGCCGGTAGGCCAGAGCTAGTGTCAAAGGATAAGCGCACGTCGAAAGGCCGCCACAAAGTGGACCTCAGTGCCCCCATCTTGGACCATGCGGCGAGCTGCCGCAGCAGCACGTGGGACTGTCCTCTGAGGCCAGCGCATATGCACCTGCCCACGTGCGGTCAGTGTCACGGCTCGGTTGCAAGCCGAGCAGCAGAATCGCAACCTCACGAAAGGTAACTGTTGCTCTGGGCTTCGCTTCATGATATATCTGTGTGTATATGTGTGTAAATACACATATTATGTGTACATGTGTGTATGTCTGTCTGTCTGTCTGTCTATGTATGTATGTATGCATGTATGTACGCATGTATGTATGCAACATGTATATGTGTGTAGATATTAAGATATTACATACACACGCATACATATGTTTGCGCAAAACTTCTGACCATGCTGGTTGAGAGCTGAGGCCCCAACTCAAGTTGGATGTCCTTAGCAGCGGCCAACCGGATTCACAAAGGCTCAGACGTGAAAGGCGCGAGAACGGACATTTAACCTGATAACATGTGTGATAATATGAGCAATGCTCAAACTCATACGAATAATAGATAAACAATGGAAAATGTATGTATATGAGCTTGGTGTGACATAGTGAACACAAGCGCGGCACACTCCGAACTGCCAGCGACGAAACCGCGTGCTTGCAAGCAGGAGGCGAGCCCCAGCTCCTCGGAAGGCTTCACGGCAAACTTGGCACGCAGGATATCTGGCCTGGGCACCGTGAATCTTACAAGCGAACACAAACCCGCTCTTTACATCCTGACGAACCTTTTTCCGGGATCTCTGCATGTTCGAGACTATCCAGGCTGCAACATCTTTCGTTCAATCAGCAGTGCGGCCACAGCCCTCGTTTCTGGCCGCCACTTCATGCGGTCACTTCCACTTTCGAGTGAAACACGTTTCTCAGCAGGCCCTTTTGCCTAAAAGCCTTCAGCTGATCTTCACGGTCTTGAGCACCAACTCCTTGTCATCGTGAGCCGCGACTGCCACTGAGCCTTCAACTACGACCCTACGCATTTGCTTCTCAGTTTGAGCAGATGACGTGGGCCCTTTCAGGCGGCTCTGCGTATAGCTGCTTTCTGGTGCACCGTATACTATGTACTCCTGATAGGTTGGTAAGCTTTCATCAACAAGCGGCCGGGCCGCCCTGCCAGGCATTCCCCGTGTAGCCAACGAAGAGAAATGCGAGGGCCCTCAAGAATCTTGATCGATGTGGTCCTTCCTGGGTTGCTGCTGAGCTTCCGAGCTCCCAGCATCATAAGACCAGCTTGTGCACAACATCAACGAAACTAAGGTACTTGCCATATGCCAATACGTTCTTAAAACTAACTTAAACCCTAGCCATAAATGGGAACACTAATTGAGTTCCTAACAGCAACTTGGGCTCGGTTCCCGCTTCCGTTTCTTGCTGGCCTCCGGGACACAGGGGGCTCAGTGGCTTGTGGCGGTCCCTTTTCCCCTACGGTTTAAGGTTTAGGGTTTAAGGCTTAGGGTCCCTCACTCTGTTCCCTAACTAAACCCTAAACCTCACTTCACTACCCTCAACCTCATTGGTTTTTGAGCCCAGGCTCAGAGCGTCAGCTGGGACCACCAACCCTAAACCCTAAACCCCCAAACTGTTGAAATGACTGTAGGTGCGTTCTGAGGCTGGGGCATCCACCATCCTCAGACAAGATCTCTGCGGCTCTCGCACATGCACCATGTCCGACAAGCAACGCCTTACCATGCTCATCATCCCGCCCAAACGCAAAACGAAGAGGTTACTGTCCATGGGGTTCCCTCAAGCATGGATTACGAGTCAATTCTTAAGAGACGGGACAAACAAAATGGAGGCGCCCAACACTTGAATTTGGCAAGCATCTGCTGCCTCTTGTGAGCCTTCTTGCGGTCGTATCCGGACACCGTGCTGATTCGCTTGCGCTTCGGCTGTCTCCTGGGACAAGTCAAATTCTCGATGCTAAGCTGGCAGACGCTCTGCCCATTTTATTCGGTTTCTTCTGCGACAGGTTGGAATTCAAGTCTGGTGTGGCACGATGGGCGACAGACAAAAGTTTGCATTGCAAACAAGCAGCCACTCCGCCATTCGCCGTTCCTCTTCGCAAAATTGCTGGACACATTTGCAATGGTATCAAGGCCAGATTAACAGAACAGACTTCACCAAGACGTGCCTTCTTTGACTTTGCCTTCAGGCGGAGCATCCACTCTGGCACTTCGCAACCCGATTGGCGCATGACCCCGACGATGCCTTGGCGTCATGTCACGGAGGCACTAAGGCAATCCAGCGACACAGTGCTGATGGAGGAAAGAAGGCAACAAGCAAATACAAAAAGAGTGGGTTTGGGGCATTGTTAGGACTTGGGACGCTGTTCAGCCTGGGCCCAAGGCCGAAGCCACAACTGAAGCTGGCAAGACACTCCGCAGCGACTCAAAATCTTCGATGGTGAACAACGTTATAGCCTTGCCGCTCCTCGCAACTGGTTCATGACGTGGCTGTTGGGAATGACATGCAGATGTGCAGCTAAAGACGCGCAAAAGCAGAAAAGTCTCGAGCCTGCCCGCCCGACCGGTGCGCCCGATCCTGGCAGTGTCAACTGCAACTGTCACCATCCTACCTGGCTTTTGCGCTCTTTCACTTTCAGAACAAGTCGAGCCGCCGCAACCTGAAGCCCCGAACCGACACAAGCAAACGATTGCTACCTCAAAGGCTTGACAAATCAAGGGAGTCATACTCAGACTGCTAAGGTACCCCTAGGAGGTTCACTTAAATGTACTCCAAATGACCCATAACATTATATTACTAATGATGTTATGCTTGTTTAATTCATTAAGTCGAACTCAGGTTTATTCAATAGCGTTCTAACGATTTTGTTAAAATCATACGCTGTGGCATTAATCTTATACTTCATTTTGTATTGTGTCCATGTTTTTATTTCTTTGTCTCTCAAAAAAAGGATTATACACTTGAGTTACATATTGAAATGAAAACCATTTACGAGAACCTAGATACATTTGACTTCTATCAATGGCATCAGGAGAAAATGAAGTATTACAAAGATGTTTTATGTGGTTGTTTTTATTATTATCAAAGAGTTCATTATATTTTATTAAGATCATATATTATTTACAATATCGTGTAAAAATAGACAAACAATTACATTATGAATATTTACAAGCAACATCAGAGTTCTTAGATGAGATGACAGTTCAAAATTCAAAGTAGATAGTCTCCTCACCAGCATAGTTATAATGTAATTATAATACATAAGCAGTTATATATTATAATTAGTGTAGTTAAAACCCTTAACCCTAAACCCTGAACCAAATTCTACAAGGAACCCCTTGCCTATTTTGGCTAATACTGCCACCTTAGAGATAATAGATGGGGTAATGGTTATTCCTATACTTGTATTGATAATGGGGAAGTAGTAGTGATATATCGGTGAAGTGTAAGGGGGACCCTAGGAATAATCATCTAATGGGTTGACGGTGGCATTATTACCCAAACTGGGCAAGGTATACTCTGACTAATAATAATCATCATCATCATAAATAGGAAAAAGCCAGGTGAGCATAATCAAAAACACGGTGAGAATCACGACAGAAACGGTAGAATAACTGAGCGATTCTGGAGAATAAGGAAAAAGGAGGTGGAGCATAAGAGCTTGGAACAGCTTCTGGGGCACAGAGAGAATAAGAAGAAAGCGTACAGCATAAGAAACAAAACCGTCCGTAATCATATAACCATACAGCCACCGAAAGCTCCACTCGAAGATTGCCCTTCTCCAGCTGGGGAAACGAATCGCCGACGCTAAACCGCGGACCCCTTGTCGGATGTTCGCGCTTGCTAGGAGCAGAAGGAAACGGCGACTGCGCATGAACTTGAAGCAACTGCTTCCTGTGGATGTAGGTGGCTGCAGACTGGGGAAAGTCGTAGTTGATCACCTGAGCAGCACAGATGCCTTTGCCATTTCCAGCAAGGCACTGAACAGTTTCTCCTTCTTAGGTTGCTGACAGTGACAGCTTGGAAGTGTAGAGGGGGATAGTATTGAGAGCCTTGCGATTTTCGGGGGCGAATCGCCGCCATCCTGCGGAGGTCCCTCTGTGCAGACGGGTCGCAGTCTCCACGCCTGGCATTGCGCGACTTGCGTGTTGCTACGTTTCGGGGTGTCACAGTACGTGACAGCGATGCGGCGATGGGCATCAGGGCACGAGTCCGCTTCTGAGAGCACTAGGCCTTTGAAGTCCACTCCGCGAGCCATGAGGTCCGTGCAGATGAGGACCCAAAGCTTCCCAGCTCGAAAGGCCTTGACCTCGCATGGGCTCTGGAAAGTCCCGACGGGTAGGAAAGCCAAAACCTCTAAGAACGAAGCATCTGCGAGGGACCTCTACTGACGCTGCTTTTGGGGGATGGTGCTTTCTTGAGCATTGTCTCCGCCTCACCCGCTAGCATATGCCACCTGCCCCCCATGTTCGCTGTGGGCTCGGCCGTATTGTCTCTTTGGAGCTTCGTCCGGTCTGCATGAATGGCATCAACAAAGATGCCATCCTTAGAGTTTTCTTGGCACAAGGGCTTTGCCGGCTTTGCAAGGCAGAGCCTAAAGGTCCGCACAAAGGCTACTCTAGGATAGCTGGCGCAAAGCAGTGAAGCAACCGCTTCAGGAGGCTCCCAAACAAAGACGCACATCTTTCGCATCTTGGCAAACTGAACCCGAAGCTCTGACCTCTCGTGTCGCTCAAACAGTCGAAACACTTAATCGGCAAGCCCCAAAACGAACGTAGCCATGCAGCATAGACCAGCTCACCAAAAAGCTCCTTCGCCCTCTCCTGACACACAGTGACATAGTCACGTTAGTGATCTTACTGCTTTGTCGGGCACTGTTGGCAACAATACTTGGGTCTCAGACGGCTTTCGTGTACCAGCCCGCGGAAGTATATGGCTTTGGGTTTTTGGATTGGCTTTAGCACAAAAGAAGCCTAAGCCCTAAACCTTAATCCGAAACCCGGAAGCCTAAACCACGAACCCTACACAACCCTTTCAGAACCCATACTCAGAGCCGCAGCCCTGAACAACCATTCTGAATACTTGAAACCCTTTTGAATCCGGGCTTGGGCAGCCGGGGATGGAAGTGGCGGCTCTCAATTCATGTGCTGGAATACTGGAAACCCCAACCTTAAACCCAAAAAACCTAAGCCCTAAGCACTAAACCCGAAACCCCCCGAGAACCCTTAACGTCGTCCTTCGATTGAACGAAAACCAAGGCCGGCGGCTTGATTTCACCATCCTGGAGGAGTTGTCGGAAGCCTTGGCATCCAAGACCCCCCCCGCCCAACCCCGGTGATGACGACGATCAGACTAGATTCGGGGCGAGTGTTGCAGTCGCCACGTGCCCTTCAATCCAGAAGCAACAAACAAGAGATAAGCGAAAAATGCCAAACCCTGTGGAAGGCAGCCAGCACGCATACTCTGACCCCTGGGCACCTAGCAGGACTGCCTGCTTTACAAGCCGTCACTAGTTCTGCCCCTTTGGGTTTCGGGTGTTTTCGCCACCCGCCCAGCACTCGCGCACACTCTGGGACTCCTTCAAAAGGCAAAACTACATTACGAGTGCCGATAAGACAATGCAGACACCAAGCACATGGAGTAGAGTAGACGTGTAACCAACCCGTCGGGTGGGTTTGGGGTCGCACTGCAATGTTTTTAACGCTCAGCACGAAAATGTCCGTGGAAAAGCGGCTCAAGAAGGGACTACCACCAAAGAGCCACCCGGTTTCGACGCTCACTCTCGTACACAAGCACTAAGTTTTTGGCAACCTGGTTTAACGTTTGGGCTGGACACTTTCTTTGTCACCCATCGAAAACTGCTTCGAAGAGCCACTGCAGAGAGTGAACACTTTTCGTGCTTATGTCGAGGTTGAAGTGCTGGATGACACGTTTTTTTTGTCCCTCAACCCTTACTGAGGTCTTTTGCAGCGGGCTTCTGGAGATTCTCGACTGACGCCTAAAGCCTTAACCTCGCAACTCAAGGCTGTGAGAGCAGATTTAGGCCACTGGCCTCCCCGAAAAGCTTATACTGCTTGAGGCCATGAAGAGAGATGTTTGGGCATCGGGCATGTTAGCTAAGTGGCTGAAGAGTTTCCCATCCTCGCTGGTGATGAAAAGCAGTTTCCTGAGTTTGCAGAAGCTGCATGGACCAGTTGGACCACCACTGCCATAATTCCTGCGCGCCATCGATGGGCGACCTTTATTTATACTATTATTTATACTATTCGCGCGACCTGCTCCCGTCCTACACAAAAGCAAGGCTTTAAATTTCCTTACAGATCTTCGATCAGGGTCTGTTCAACATCTGGAGCTGCTGCATTGATGTCCCCGATGCTGATCCGCAGTGGGGAAGTCAGAATGGAGCCAGCAAGGTCCACCACTACTGGGGGAAGAGTCGCTGAAAACATCATGGTTTGCATCAGTCTGCCCTGCTCTTTGGGGCAGAAAGTGAGGAGCTCGTCCACCTGAGGTGCAAAGCCCAAGTCCAGTAGCTTGTCTGCTTCGTCAAAAACCAGATGCTTCGTGGCGTCCAAGGATATGCGATTGTCGCGGAGCAGCTGCACTAGCCGAAGCGGAGTGGCCACTGCAACATCGAGTCGTTTGATGTTGCCCGCCTTGTCGCCGGAGAGCTTGTCCACCAGGCGGCCATTCCATTTGCGTCCGGCCGTAAGTTTTGCAAACTCGTCGAGCGTTTGTTTTGCCAACTCTCTGGAAGGATCAACGACCAAAGCGCGTGCGAACTCCTTCCCGGGCTTGGCCAGCAGGGCCAGAATCGGTCCCAAGAAGGCAATGGTCTTGCCACTACCCGTCGGAGCCGAAGCGAGGACATGGCTTCCCGACATAATGGCGGGGAAACACTGCATCTGAATCGGAGTTGGCTGGGAGAAGCCCAAGGAGGTGAGATTCCGGATCAGCCAGGGTGGAACTCCCCTGCGAGCTGCGTTGCTCTTCAGTATGCTCTCAGTCTCTCACTTCTACATCTTTCAAGGAATCCACAGACCCTCTTGCACTTTCGTAGCAGAAAAAAGATTTAAAAAGATGGAACCAGAATGACCTGACGATGATCCATGTTGCTTCTGGCCCCTTCTTGAAACAAAAGTTACGAACACACCAAGTGTACAAAGCAGCTCCTGCTTGGCATTGTCTCGAAGGACTCCACGGGGTCAGGAGAGCCAGGGCTCACGTGGATTCGGTGCCGCCGGCGCAGAGCTGCAACGGCCTCACGCTTCCGCGCTGGCGTCTCTCCATCCTCCAATCCTTCGGCTTTGGACTCTTTGGCCTGGCCCCCTGCTTTCTCCTTCTTGTAGCCTGCCCGAGATGGTGGTGTTCATTCTAAGGATTCCCATGGCTATTCTTCATTGCAGAAAACCTGGGTCAGGTGGCTATGGGGCGGGTGCAATGGAGAACAACTGGGCAAGGTGATACTCCAGCCCACGCAACTCGCCACCGCGAGCATGTCCTGTGCTGAGTCTGCTGTGTCGAAGCATACCATATTGACTACATGATGGTGATGACCTTCTAGATTCCAGGAGGCCACGCATAGAGCCTCAAGGCCTAGAGGCAGATTGCCCTGAGCTACGGCTGCCCCTTCCTTCAACATGCTTGAAGTCTTTTGGCCTTGACCGGCCTGGCCCTTTTGCTTCATGCGAATCCTGCCGTGCCTGTCGAGAAGGAACGCTCGACCTGTTCTCCTGGCATCAGGCTAGAGTGGCGGAGGGCCACGGCCCAGAGGTTGACCGAGTTGGAGTGCTTTCTCCCATGGTGCTTGGCAGCTAGGTTTTTCTTCTTGCATCTTCTTGCCAGATTGCAAGCACGAGTCCTTCGCTGAAGTATCCCCGTGGTCAAGGCCGAAGAAGTCCAGCACCGTGCTTGACCGTGCGCTTTGCGAATGTCTGCCAGGGTGTTCGGTCAGTTCGTCAAACTAAGCTGTCGGAAAATTATGGTCGGAATCGGAGAGTCTCAGCTTTTCTCGAAGGCCTCGACCCCTCAATCACCCCCCCTAACACAGACTCAATGCCCTGAGAAACTTAACAGTCCCCGTGGTGGCCTTCCTGTCCTTTCACTCGGTTCTGCTGGCTTCCGCTTCCCGAAAGCCACCTCCTTCGACTTTTTGGTGCCGCCGAACGTGCAGCCTGTGCACACCGGGGTTGAACTGAATCACAAGCTTTTGTAAGGATACGAACACAGGCCCACAATTTGGATCAACCCCACATGCCAAACGTTTAGAGCAAGCCAAAGTCCTAGTTCTTGCAGGGACGCCAGTTAGAGCAGCAGCCTCTGGCTGTTGCCACGACACACATAAACCTCTTACTCTTTGGCTCGCTGCCTTTGCGCAAGACGTCGAAGAAGTCCATGACCTCGTCCTGTCAAGATAGACATGTACATGGCATGCAAAGTCCTCTCACCGATTGTGGGTTCGAAGCCTTGGCTCCTCCAGCAAGCGTGCCACGGCCATTTCTGCCGATTTGGGCCAGCTGAGACGATAGCAAACAAGGCAAAGGATGAAGTGCTGCTACATAGCTGCATAGCTAACAAAACAAGTATCCAGAGCACGAGAGCCGCGTGCCATGCCGACAGAGTTGCATGGCTGCCTAGACACCTAGAAGTCTTTTGCTCTTGCGTGCAGTAATTCGTCTGCGCAAGTGCAAAGTCATGGCGGCTATCTCCTAAGAGAAGGCATCTTAAATGCCGAAAAGCCGCAAAACTGCTTCAAACGCACTGAAGGGGAGGATCGAACCTCATTCCCAAGCCACCAGGGGCTTCGAACTCAGCACATCCTTCGCGAAGGCTGGCTCACAGGACAGAGTAACAGATTAATGATCATGCGTCACAAACGTGCTGGCCCATAGACGTCAAATGCAGGACCAACACAGACCCGCGAGCAAAGGTTTGCATCACAACAAGTTACATTCAGCGTCGACCGGCGACTCTTGGATCACCTCCTGAAACCCTATACAAATATCTCGGCTCGACGGGTCAATCGCCCACGCAGCTCGATTCTCGAGCATGCTAGGCTCCTAGGCAGCTTCGTCAATCTAATTTACGTTGCACTGGCAAGCCATTGGCGCAATGTAACCTGAATACACCTGCTGCACTAGCAGACGGAGTGTGCAATTAACTCTCTGACACACGCTGCATTGGCAGAACGTTGTGTGCGAGCACAAGGTTTCATTCCAGGTGAGCTTCTTCTCCGCGTCCTGGGCTTGGCCACAAGCTATCATCCACAGATAAACATGACTGCCAATACTTCTGTCACAAGCCTAAACCGGCCTAACCAGATTCTGACAACGTTTCGCCGCATCTCATCATACTTGCGAATGGCCCATTTCGTGCAGTAGGCAGCTGTACGCAACCGGGCGAGCGGAGGCAAACCTGATCGCGGAACGAAGAACCACAAGCGGGCAGCTTGTCATTGCTCACGAAAGAGCCTCCATAAGACTTCAACCAGCCAAGGCACACCAAAACCATCTACGGAAGGAATTCGGCTAGTGTGCATAATTAATGGCGCTTTCGGCTTTTTGCTTGTTGACTTCCAGGTGGGCTTCGAAAGCGAGCAGCGTTTTCATCACAGAAGTTGGGCTATAGGTGAGTGTGATTGTATGGCCAGTAGCTCAAATCTGTTTTGTTCGTAGAACTTTACGACGTGTCTCCGCAGTTCCATGTCTGCAAACAAACAATCACAAAGCAAGGTCTCCAAATCAAGTCTGCCGAATAGACAGGCATCCACTCTCCGCTTTGAAAGTTCAATTTGTTTTGTGAAGTATTACACTTGAAGTCAAATCCCAAGAAGGAGCAACCCATCGACTTGGGACTTAATTGGTGTGCAGCCTCAACTCAAGACAGCCTATCTTCTTTTAAAGTTTAAGTTCGTTTGGTACTGGTCTGTTTGATATTCGTGCCTAGACTTGAGCCATGTTAGAGGAGCATATTGAGAAACAACAAGTCAGTTGATATATTCAGGAGATACAGCTGCAGAGCAAGCGCATAATTAACAATAGGGGAAACATGACGATCAAAAGGAGTCACCCCGTTAGATGATTCCTTCTATGGGATTGGTTCGGATGGAAGATGAAGGGGATTTGCACTCGGACCTCACATGGGGAAGCGAGCGGTTATGTTGGACTTTTGGGGTTTGCATCCTCTTCCAGGCCACCATCGCGCGCAGAGTCCTTCTCGACAAGGTTGCGGAAGACATCCATCTCCTCTTTCTGGCTGAATTTTCGCCAAGGGAACAACAAACCGCATAGCTTACAAGGTCGCCCAGTCAACGTTTCCGAAGTTAGCGGACATATGGTGAACTGGCAAACTACAGAAAGGAAAAACGGCCGGGTAAATAGCAAGAACGACACTGACACCACGGGAAGCCGCTTCTACATTCGCTTGTTGGGGGGCTCAGGCCAAGACCAAACTCACAAGCCAATGATCACGCAGGTCTGCGCTCATTGTCGCGGCCTCGTCTTTGGCTTCCGCATGTTTGCTTCTGCCCTGAACTACTGCAAACCCACCCTAAAGTTTTCAAGGCTGCCGATCGCATCTTGCAACAACTGGTCTTGCTTTCTTGAAAATCTATGCCCTGCCCTGAGTGCACAGATCGTTTCCGAATAAACAGCTGCGCGTACATGGTCCACGGTTTGGGCATGCAGTTCATGGATTTGGCCATTTGGCTTATAGTCTTGCCCATGACCCATGCCGGGCACTCACTCGAGGGCATTGGCAGCAATCAGTGTCAATTCTTCCAACTACCTTACCCCCAGGCGTGCAAGTAGAATGCCCAAGCTGCAACCAAAAAACCTACAACTGTGTGACTACTCGCGGAGAAGCAACTATGACAAGTATGCGTTATTTAAATTTAGAGACTCACCAGCATAGTTGCAGTTTTGGTCATGTCCGGATGCCCGGCCAGGGGGCCCCCCACCCACTTTCTCTAAAAAGCTTCGAACTCAGCATCCCGGCCTGCCTTGGTATTCAACATGCACATGCTCAATGCTGTACCATGCAAGTCTGTGAAAGGCAGGCCCAAGAGTGTCTAGGAGTCTAGGCGCCCAGGACAAAACAGATCAGCGGTTCGGTATCCAGACTTTTCTGACTGCTCTTAACTAAGTCGGCCCTGCAAGTTAGCCAGCAGGATGTGTACCGACTTGTTGGCCTTGAGAGCCTTCCTGCTCTTACTGTGGGTCAAGCGCATACCGACTGCATGTATTGCCCGATTTCGTTGTGCTCTGGGTGCCCAAAATAACCAAGCACCTGTCAAACGTGAAGACTCGTTGTGGGAGTTCGAAGTCGCCTAACACGAGAAAAGTGACGAAGCATCTGATTAGCATCTTACAGTGAGCAGATGACAGGTCCTGCACTTTCCTGAAGTGATCCCGCTTCTTCGGGCTTGTAGGAACCGTCTCTGTTTCAGAATCCCAGGAGTGCCAAGTCATAGGCGTGGGATCGATATCTTCGGCAGCTTCCGTCCCTGCTGTGGTCTGCTTCTCGTTGAAGGCCCCCTCGCCAAGGTCTAAGTCGTCGTCCTCCTCACAAGTTCGGGCTTCCAACTCAACAAGGACCTGGAAAAAAGTTCGGGGGCAAATTAAGGCAGAGCATGGGGCGTGGGCTGGCTGCTATACGGCTGCTAGGAGCTTCTCAGAAGGAAAAACACCCCGATCGCGTGAGCTGAAGAACAAGCCCTCAACCCCAAACCCAAAAATCAACACAGAGTAATCTGCCTGCTGACCTCTGTGCGGGAGCAGAGAAAAAGCCCGAGAATGGCGAGGGGAGCTGCCATGCGCTCTAGATGGGGTTTGGGAAGCGCGGTGAGGATATGTTCAGGGCCAAACTAGCAACAACTGACAACAACAAGAACACGCAATGATGATAGCAACGACAAGCAGGTAAGCCTTTTCCTCTCTAAACGAAGTGCCGATCCTCCAAACCAAGACCATCTCAAGACTCAAGACGATTTAAGTTCTCCCGGATGACCGGCCCAAAGTGAAGACTGTCCAGACAGGTAGAAACAGAAACTGCGACGGCCGCTATCGCTGACAATGCATGGCATGCATGGCATGCGATCCTCAGAGAGCTTGTCTTTGATTGCTTCCATCGGCTGCGGCGTTGCCGTCTGCTCTCTCTTGCCTGACCCGGTGAAATCAACGGAAGGGGCCCCTCCCAGACTATCTGGGCTTTTAAAACCCATGGTCCGTTGGTTCCGGCAGGGTGCAGGGTGCCTTGGCAGAATACAAAGCAGTTCCCACATCTCGCGCACATGAAGTGCCTGAAGTGCCACATGCTTTGCGCCTGCTGGGGGCACTTGAGCCGATTTCTCCAGGAGGCAACTCCACAGTCACATGGGCATTTCCCAAATAGAGCTACTACTACTATTATTACTACTACTACTACTACTACTACTACTACTACTGCTACTACTACTACTACTACTACTACTACTACTACTACTACTACTACTTCTACTACTACTACTACTACTACTACCACCACCACCACCACCACCACCACCACTACCACTACCACTACTACTACGACTACGACTACGACTACGACTACTACTACTACTACTACTACTACTACTACTGCTGCTGCTGCTGCTGCTGCTGCTGCTGCTGCTGCTGCTGCTGCTGCTGCTGCTGCTGCTGCTGCTGCTACTGCTACTGCTACTGCTACTGCTACTGCTACTGCTACTGCTGCTGCTGCTGCTGCTGCTTCTGCTACTACTAACTACTCCTACTACTACTACTACTACTACTACTACTACTACTACTACTACTACTACTACTACTACTACTACTACTACTACTACTACTACTAGTCCTACTACTACTACCCCTACCCCTTTTTTACCCCAATAGAATAGAATCCCCTCAAAGGAACCCCCAAAAAGGGTACCCCTATTCTTGGAAACCCCCACATGATGTTTCCAGGAACACTTGCCGGGTGACTTAGGATTCTTCTCGAATCTCACAACTAGCGCACGCGCAGGCAAGGCTCCTTAAGTGGGCCGTCCGCGGCCATGAGAGCGGATACACATGTTGTATGCACATCATGAACAATAAACGCGAATGCGAATCGCGACGTGAGCCGTCACAAGGATTGTTGAAGCCAGCTGAGGTTTTCAGCTTCGGGCGGGCTCCGACGACATAGGGCAGAGACCTGGCACGAATGTTCACATGCCAGACGACAAGAACTTCCACCTCTTCGTGCCAATATACGACCATATGAGATCGTCTATAGATGCTTCCATCAGCTGGCTCCTAGCTTTGGCACCCAGATTGAGCACAAAGGGCGCCGGGTGCTGCCCAGCCAAGTCCCCAGCAACACCTGAGCCTCTGGCTGGAGACCAGGAAGCCGCGATTCCTTGTCCAGTCTTTGGGCTTGCCTCATGGCAAAGAACCCAAGAGTCCAATAGTTTTATAGCAGCCCAACCAGCTTTGTTCCTCATGCGCCTAGAACTTGATGCAACACTGGCACTTTTTGTCACGCGGCTGCAAGCCAGCTGTTACTGAAGTCTCTTGCTGAGCGAAGGTTGGGGCCGCCCGGGCGATCTAACTTGACTAGTTGATGTATGGCAGCGCTTCAAGACGTGCTTTCACCCCCCTCCGTCCCTGATTGCTGGTTGAGATAGGGAAGACATCCATTCTTACCCTCACTTTTATTGCAAAGAGATTGCCTACACCAATTTACAGGAGATATTGATGCTAATGAATGCGTCCAGCAATAGACACCAAAATTGCCAGGCACCAGTATATACTTCTCCGGTCAGGGTCTTACATCAAGGTCAACAAAGTGCTGCCCTGCGCAGGATTTCAACCGAACCCTGAAAGGGTGGGTGTATAGGGTTCTGCGCCAACTGGTGGAGACGATCTGCATTAAATCTTGCTGAATGGATGAAAAGACCCCCGTTCCTTCCCATGAAGATTTCTTCCTTGGTGCAGCCTTTGATTCTGCTTTCAGCTTGAACGAAACTACATTGTGAGAATGCACCTACGATTTCCTCTTGCGAGGCAGAAATGACAAAGACCTTGCAAACCAATCATTCTTGATAAGAACTAAGACAGGGCCCTCGAATCTGCGAAGACATCTACTTTACGACGATAAAGGAGAGCGCTCCTTATCCAAAAGATGTACAAAGATCCGCATTCTCAATTACCAGCGAAGCCTTGCAAACATTCATCCACAATCAATGGGTGGCCATTCGTATGGATGGGACATGGAATGAACGAGGCAACCCGTTCTTCTTCAATGTAAAATTAAGTGCACCTTCATTGTTCTGGTCGCGTTTTCGGAGCCCTAGATGGCCCTAGATAAACCATGCTGGTTTTGGGGAGGTACCAGGAGGGGCAGGGACCGTCTGTGTGTGTGTGTGTGTGTGTCTCCCTTATGCTGGGGTGGCACATGTAGATGCCCGGCGGCCCTCTGACACCAGATTTGTGGTTTGTTGGAATGGCTTCAAGCTGCAAGGCGCTGCCACGTGGGGACATGTTCCAGCCCCTTGCAGCATACTTTGTGCAGGCCATCACTTGCCAAACACGAATAGCTAGGAGGCGCTGCGAAGTGCGTCAATGGAACAGGCAACTCTTGCGCAACCCTTGTTGAAGTTAGAACACTGAATGCTGGGATTTCTGCCGTCAGAAGAAGCGCCGTCTAAGCCGTCTGGACTATTCGAAGCTTCTGCGGGTCGCAGCAGAATAGAAGGATATCATCCTTCTCAGTGGGCCAGTTGTGGATCCTTACGCACGCAGACCCCCAGGTGCAATCTCAAAGCCGATCTTTGGACAGAGTGTATTTGCAGGACCCTGTGAGTACAAAGATTGCAGAGGCAGAAAATGGACAATGCACATGTACAAGTAATGCACACCTGTTTGAGCGCGGCGTGAAGCTGAACGAAAGGGTGAGAAGCAGTTCATCTCTCGGTCTCTCTTAGTCTTTTCAGCTTGCCCCAGCAAGTAGACATTGGCTCACCAGAGTGTCGAGTGCATGGGTTTCTCACGTCCCTCAGCTCCCTCCCTCTCTCGCGAACTCCGACTGAGGCTCAACCCTTTCTTTGCACAAATAATTCGCCTAACTCCATATGCTCAAAACGTGTCTTCGAGGCCGAAAGTTCGAAGCACAAGGCTCTAAGCCACGACCTCTGCATCCTGCGTTCCCGCGCCTGAAGCAGGGGCTTTTTGGAGCTTCGGGGTTTTTGGGGGGGTTGATGCTTCAGGGGTTTTTGGGAGCTTCGCCATTTCAGGGTTGACATGCGCAACTTCTGTTGAAGTTGGATTCCCCAGAATTCCCCTGCATGTTCTCAACTCCTCCGGGCTTTTGCAGGCTTGCAGATGCTTAGCCTTGTGATGACTCTGCAAGGAATTGGAGTTCTACTGTGGTTCGGGTAGAGGCTTAGTGGAGCACTCCAGCCACCTCATGTGTTCTGGAGCCATCGCTAAGGTGAAGTGGTTAAGTAGTCGCATGCACACTCGGATAGTCCAGGCGAGGGGGGTAGGTTCAGTGGTGTAGGGCCTTGGGACACTGAGGGCACTGACTGTGACCGCTAGTATCTGCAGCGGTTCTTGCGCAGTACAGCCGGTACAGCGTTGGAATTGGAAGGCTCGCAAATGTCAACTCGTGCCTGCTCCTTCTGCCTGCAATTCCATGAGCTTCGTGACTCGCCTTGCGAAGTCACCTTGCGCTCTCGGCACTCAACACAGCGACCAGTCATTTGCAGTAAAGTCTCCAAAGCCCCAAAATTATTTTGGAACGAAGTTCAAGGAGAGCTGGCAGAGAGACAGACGCACCCTTCAAATCCTAAACGCTGCCAGTTCTGAGACTGTTGCTGCGATGAGGACGAGAAAAACTTGCCGGACATCTTGGATGAGTTGGATAATTAGGAATTTTACAGGCAGCCACTCGCCGCTGCAAGGCTTTGCAGAAGGCAGAAAGCAGAGCTCAAGCCAAGCTTGGGCCAAAAATCAACTTGTGCGCTGGGGTGGCCCTGAAGTGAGATGCCTGGGTCTTCGATGGTGTAGCCGCCAATCAAGGCGGCAGTCTCATAGATCATCATCACCTTACGGGGATTTGCAAGTCTGCCTGCCACGCCCACCCGAAACCTCCAAAGATGTAGGCCCAGCTACCATGTCCTCTGTCTCAACGGAATCAGGCTTTGTCTCGTAGGAGTTCTTCAAAGCCTTTGCAGGAGCACGGCTGATGTTGCTGAAATATGCAAAGCCGGAAGCTTGGAATCTGGACACACGATGGGGAGCCCGGGATGCTTTGCAGGAGAGTCCTGAGTCCTCCCACCTTCACCACGTTGTGCGAAGGGTTGATCTCCAAGATGGCCTGAAGGCTCATCGGACAGTCAGGAGGCGATGAGCATGCTGCCGACTGACATTTGAAACAGCCTTTCAAAAAGGTGCGAAGGACACCGTAACGAGATGAACGGGCCTGATTCCTCGAGCCGATGGCAAAGGCACTGTCCGACGCGCTGGATGTAGTCTGCGACTTCATGTAGCGCTGCATCATGGGCGACATACCCCATTCCTGCGACCAAAGAAAGCGATGGACTCGAACCAAAAAAAAGGAGGTAGACGAACCGAGCAGTGCATATATCTGGGGTACATCTTTCGCGCCCTCCGCCGTTGCCACAACAACCAACGTGCATGCAGGTCACATGTTAACGTCTTATTGGTACATACATCTGCATACACATTTTCTATGCTATTCCTTGTGCAGGCAAGCAGCACCCTGCACCAGGGTGGCCGGGGACTCGACAAGGCGATCCGAGATCTGCACCTTCTGCACACGTTCACCTGGGGCATACAAGGCTTCTCTCCCGCAGTTTGGCCCCACTCAAACTTTCCACCCGACTTCATCTGACTTCACTACTTCGGCCGAGCGTCCGAGCTGCTTCTTCAACCAGGTTGCCAGTGCTTCAAACTCCTCCCAACAAATCCCAACTGTGAGGTTCAGGGTTCATGCACTGAACTCTAGCTGCTTCCTTTTGCGAGTGAGGTGAACACTTTTGGGTTCAGAGCAATGTGCGCGCAGGTCCTTGGTGGTCTCTTCCATTTCCTGGCAGGCATACAGGGTAGATCACTGTGTCACGTCAGACGCGCCAGACGCCTTTATCGCACAAAGCTGTTAAGGCTGTTAAGGCCATCCGACATATATTGCCTGCCTCATTGCTGCATAATACTGTAGTAGATGCGATTCTTGGTGATGGCAGCGCATGTCTGACACGGCGTGGAGCGCTGAAGGTACATGTCGTCGCCGCAGTGAGGATGCGAATGTGCGCTGAGGCTTTGGGATTTCAAGAAAGACTGGGGTGCTGCAGATACGGACCATCACCACGCGACCCTCTTTACCCAAACGACACAACTGCGATGAACACGAAGAGACATGTCACTAGCCTTCAAGATCGGGGAACAAGCCTTTATGAATCGCCCCGGCCGACAGCAACCCTGTAGTCTCAGCGGGAACCATCTCACACGCCTTCTTCTCATCTTCGCCTTCAGGGAGTGCACGTCATAGGGTTGTCGTAATGCTGTCACGTCGAGCATGTGCTGCCGCAAGAAAGGCAGACTAAGACAATCTACGACAGTCCAATCGCTACACCTGGGTGGTGGGGCATCCCATTTCGGACTCCCTTGCGTGGCGATATTTTTCGGTGCAACAAAGGACATGTGTTCTACCATGTTCAACACGAACCCTGCGCGTTGGGTCTCTGCTGGTGCCGCGTGGCCTTTTTCGAGCTTATGGTCCCTGCTGCACATGGCACCCCCAAGTATCGACCGTTTCTAGTGCAGCTGAGTCGCTCTTGTCCAGGTCGAGGCCTGCCTTGTTGATGTCTACCAACTTCTTGCCCTGGCACAAGGTTTGCGACTACTAGGGGTCCCTTTCTGCTGGTGTTTTTCGAAGATTCTTCTATGTTTGGGGGTTACAGAAAGAGGACCCTGGTCTTTAACAGCTACCCTCTGGGACATATTGGGTTTGTATTATAGGGCCCTTTTGGTTTAGAAGGGGTCTAGATTCTAGGTCCTTCCACCCTGCACAGCCTCGTAGTCAACGATACTTTGGCTGCAGATCTCATCCAGGGGATCAACCATGTAGAGGACTTCGTAGTCCTGGATGCGGCAGGTGGCAAAACCGGGCGTGGCTTGTGCCTAGAGTGCCCGTGTCTCGCTGCGAGGTAGTGTATCACCTAGTGCACCAAGTACAAGCGCATGTGCTCCTAGGCACCTCAAAGGTGGAATTTCAAGAAGAGCCGAGGGCTCCTTCAACCTCATCTTCTCCATGGCGGGTGCAATCTCTGCTGCGCGTCGGCCCTCGCCAGTCACGAAATAGATCTTGTCCTGGCCTTCCTGGATCGCTTTCTCATGTAAGGGCAACCAGGGCGCGGGATGGCATTCCGAACCAGTGGCAACTCTGATACTGCACAGCTGTTGCTATGGCTGCAAGAAATCCCACAAAAGCCCTCTGAGTTATTCCCGTCCTTCATGCGGGTGATGTATTCATCAAGGCTGGTCTGGTTGTCTCCACTCTTCGAAGACCAGAAACGCACGAACCTCTTGAGCTCGTCCTGCTTATTTTTTAGTTCTATTATTAATATTGTCATTATTCATATTGTTCTTATTATTGCTAATAGTATTTTTAATATTATCAACTAATTATTCAATGCATTAATAACCTGTCTGTGCTTTGGGTTTTTTTGCATCAGGACTTGTGGAATCGCCTGAAAGCGTGAGCACACGGATACTCAGACCCTAAACCCTAAACCCTAAACCCCAAACCCTAAACCCTAAACCCTAAACCCTAAACCCTAAACCCAAGTGCTGGTGACCTCGTTCCACGCCTTGCTCAAAACTCGAGGGGACCACTTCAAACACGCACACACGATAGCAAGTTGTGAATAATGCCCACCTCCCGAAAAGTAACTCAATAAGCATCAGCATCCTCACCCAGTAACTGAAAACACAACTGATCCCCCAACATTTCTATGGTTAAAGTTGTTAGTATCCTACTGCTGAGTGCCTCTCCCGGACGGCAAAGTCAGACTTGCTGCCAACGCTTCTGCACTGCGGTTTGTCTGGCTCCAGAGCTATCGGAAACAACTCTATACCCCCAGAATCCCCCCAGTTTTTTTCAGCTCTCAAAACTAGGGTACCTTCTTGGGTACCCAAAAAAGGACCCACAAAGGGACCATATATGACCATGTTTCCGAGAAATGACCATATACGTTCAACCCTGTCAAGGTTAGAGACCGCCTGATTTTGGGATCATGCGTCTTGGTAGCTTCGAAAGTGCCCATCGCTACCACTTTGCACACATTTCTTGCTGGGCCGGAGTTGGGTGTGACCACATCCTGGCAAAATTGGGCCCAGGGACATTTCATAACCGGCCCCAGGGTTCTGTTGCGGCTGGGATCATTGTAGTGCAATTGCTACATGAGTTGTCACAACTGGGCAGCGTCTCCTTGTAGTCCAGGTCTTCCACGAGGCCTACCTTGAAATACTTTCCGTAGCCTTGGTCGGCAGGTAACGTGTAGGATGTAGGCATCTTATGCGACTCGATGTCTGTAGGCAATTGGACTCATGTCCTAGCAGCTCGTCCAGAAAGACTCAAACTTGTTGGGGTCCTTCTCGCGCAAGTCCTTAAGTGAATGGAAGAATCTGCATGGGTTGCACATGCTTATCACGGCATGATGCCCTAAAAAAAGCCCCCAGTAGATGCTCGAAAAGCCTCGTCGATGCTATCCAGCACCTTGCGCACCACCCTCTTGCGGATGATCTTCAAAGTCCGGCTCTTCTGCAAGATCTCGCGACCCACGTTCAGCGGGAGGTCTTCGGAGTCCACCACGCCCCGGACGAAAGTAAGCCATCGGGGGACCAAGTCCTCAAACTTGTCGTTGATGAAGACGCGCTTCACGTAAAGGCGCATGGCCCGGCCCTCTGGTGAGAACATGTCGCGGGTCAGCTCGAAGGGCATGGTAGAAGGGATGAACACCAAAGCCCGGAATTCGATCTGGCCCTCCACCTTAAAGTGTGTCGTCGACATGGGCTCATCGAAGGCCTTGAAGGTGGTCTTGTAGAATTCGGTGTACTCAGACTCGTTCACGACGTCCGGATTTCGCAGCCTCAGAAGTGTCGGGAAGTGTCGGGATAGCAGAAGGCTGTGGGAGTTCGGGCATACTTAAGATGCACAGAAGCATGAAAAAGAACCATCTCTCTCCAAATCCAACCTCGACCTTTCATGAAGCGCAAGCACTGACTTGCAGGCGAGCTGCCAAATGGGCTTCATCTTGTTCATGATATCCCACTCGTACACCGAACGCGGGACACTCTTCATCTTCTGCTTCTCGCCTTCCTTGGGAGGGGGTGCAGACTCATCCGGGACCTGGTCGTACTGAACCTTCTCATTATACAGCTCAATGGGGAAGGTGATGAACTCACTGTACTTCTTCAGAAGGTCAGAGAGCTTGCCTGTATCCAGGTATTCCTGCGCCTCTTCACGCAAATGCAAAACGATCTTGGTTCCACTCTGCTCGCCGAAGAGCTCCTCATCGGTCTCCTTGATGCTGTAGGAGTGGCCGGTGGATGACCACTTCCAGATCTTCCCGTCGCTCTCCTTCTTGAAGCTCTTGGAATATACTTCCACCTTGTTTGCTACAAGAAATGCTGAGTAGAAGCCCACACCGAACTGTCCGATGAGGCTGACATCTGCATCTCCGCTGCCCAGCTCTTTGACAAAGTTGGCAGTGCCTGACCGGGCAATCCGGCCAAGGTTTTCTTTGAGCTCCTCCTTCAACATGCCCACTCCATTGTCTTCAATCATGAGCAGCCTGTCGTCCTTGTTCGTGTTGATGCGCAGCTTCATCGGCTCCGGGGGGGCGTCACTCTCCGTGAGGGCGAGGAAGCGCTTCTTGTCACAAGCATCTGCGGCGTTGGACACCAGCTCTCGGAGAAAGACGTCCTTGTTGGAGTACAAAGAGTTGATAATGATGTCCATGACCCGGCCCACCTCAGCCTGAAACTCGAATTCCTCACCATCGGCCACCTCTGTGGCAGTGGCAGTTTCAGCACTTTCAGCTCGGCGTGCCAAGCTGAACGGCCTGTGTCCACTGCCGTGTAACGTCGAGGGACGGCCAGAAGTGAGGACCGAGAATGCCGCAGGGCCAGCGAAGTACCTGCGAGGGGAGCAAAACAGCGAGACAGAGCGCGAGCCTACAGACCAAAAAGGCCTACACCTACATAAAAGCGTAAACACCGAGGCCCAGGTGCACAAGGAATCCCCCCACCAGGGATCTCAAAATTGGTGAGGAGTGCCCTCGCTGAGCTTGACGCCGGGGAGGAATCATTCTGCGATGAAGGCGGAGGGCTTCAAAGTCGGCCCAAAATCCTTACCTTTTCTGGAACCAAAATGCTGCGGAAAAAAGGTGCAGCTCGGCTGAGAAGCGGTTGTCACATGTTCGAGGCTTTCGGAACTGAAGCTCTGCCAGAGCAATGAGAATGCCGGCAGATTCATGACAGGTCGAGGCTGCTGCGACTTGGCAGGTGGCTCGGCCAGCAACTCCTGGGTTGCCGCCTTAGTGCAACAGTACCAGCCCCCCCCCCCCCTTTTAAGACAAAGTCGCCACAGCCCATCGGAACCAGCGCATGGATGTTTCAAAGCGTCACACGTGCTCGATGTGCTCGTACACCGCTGAGGGGCTTAGGCCGGTGCTGGCTGTCAAGGAGATGGCTGGGACAGGCTCCCACACGCCCTGGCAGCAAGTAGCTTTCTTCAAAAGCTCAAGCTTAACCCCTTGCACGCGCAGCTCAACCAGCACATCCATATTTTTACATGCTTGCCGTCTGCCGCAGAAGGAAAGCGCACGTGGATCCCTTGAGTTCACTTACGCAATGCTACCGGCAGGCAACGAAGCACTCACATCGATCATATCGACGAGCCTCACATCTGGCGTGGCTATTCCCATGAGCCTCGGTGTGGCAACTGCTCGGGCTCTGAATCGGAAATGCACGATTTGAGAATTTGCGGTCCTGTAACGGGAGGCCGTCTCAAGACGGTGGCTGCACCAGCATGCGCACTTGCTGAGCATGGGGCATCCGCAAGATTTGCAATCGCCGATACTTGCTGGAGCAAGATGACCTTGAGTACTACTGCGCATGGTAACTGCTCTCGTAACCTCTGGTCTGTGTGAGTCAGCTTCCCGATCAGAGCCTTTACTACAGGTTCAACCAGACTGAGGACCCAAGCCCGCACAAAACCACACGAATCGATTTGGACCCTGCACACATTCCTCCAAACAAAGCCATATGTACCTACAGGGCCCCGCCCCCGGACAGAAAAATTAGAAAGAGTCCCCAAGAATCTGGGTTGTCCAGGCTCCGCCGTTTGGTGGTGGCTCGCTGCTGCCAGTGCCTGCGTGGCTTCTGCGATCCGGGGCTCAGGATTCAAGCTCTCGACTCAACACCCTCATTGCGAGTTAAACAAAAAAAGAGACGCCTCACCGTTTTCTTTTGCGTTCTTCGCAGCAACAGCAACAAGGAGGTATGTCGCGTGAGGTCAATGGCTCGGAATGCCTTTGGAAAGCCGTCTGAAGGTGGCCTCGGAGGATTGCACAGGCCTCAGCACATCGGAGTAAACTTGGACAGTCTGGTGCTTCGAAGGTTGGCTAGTCATGCTACTGCACCATCTGCATCCAACCCTCGTTCCAATACAGTTGCTCTGTTGCTCTCAGCCTATTCTGGAGGGACATGATCGAAAGGCTGTAGAAGACCCAGACAATGAGGTGCTCTCTCTTCTTCTTCTACGGGGCATGAGGGGAGCGGAACCCCCCCCCCCGCGCGCGAGGCGCGCCCAGATGGGTGCTCTCTCTCTCTCTCTCTCTCTCTCTCTTGCTGTGCTTTGCTTAGGGGCATAGGGACGGACCCTGCGCCAAGGCGCGCCCCGCTCCTGCGTCACGTGAGACTTTTAAGATGTCCCTGACTGCCCTGTTGGCCGCCGCGCGGCGCCCCCAGTGGCACCTTCGTGGGTGTCCTTAGTGTCCTGAGTGTCCTAACCGGGCCAGCCCCCGTAAATCCCACAGCCCCTCTTCCCTGAACTCCCCAAGCCCCCACAAACCGCCTCAACCTTCCGAAAAGCCAACCTCCCCGCCCCCGACACCCCTCGGTTCACGACACCACTGGGAGCTCTGTACTGCTACTCTGACCGCGCTCACGCTCCCCTTCACCTCAGGCCCCCAGTTAGGACTCCAAGTACCTTAGGAAACCATAGTTTAAAGCCACTAATCGGTGAGGGCCCCCTGCAGTGTGCGCCTACGGTGTTCGTCATCAGATTCAGGTTCTGATGCGTCACTCTCCCTCAGTTCATCTCGATGTCGGTGTAGCCCCGGGCTCGTTCTCCCGTCGGCCCCTCTATAGCATTGGCGGTCCATGGCTGTGTCGGCCCCGTTGCTTCCTCCTCTGGCCTCACCTCCCCCTCCATAGCTTGTTTTTTTTTGTGTCATGACCCTCATTGGTTCAGCTGGTGAAAACTGGTCTCTTCGGTTTGCTTAGGCGTCTGGTTGCGGAGGGCCAGCCTCCCCAATGAGTTCTTCGCTGGTGTAAGCCGTCTGAGTGAATGTCCCAATCTGTCTGGTGAAAAAATTCTGTGGCAGGCAAAAGCGTGCTTGAATTAACGGCCCCCGCGTATCTGTTGCATGCAGGTGGCACACCTCGGGTTGGTTTGTTGGTAGCGTGCACCCCCCTGGTCTCTGCCCTGACTCAGGGGCCCACCCCTAATTGAGCTGTCTTCTACCGGGAGCCTGATGGCATCCTTGTTCCCGGGAGTGGGCCGGCTGCGCAAACCCCGCCGCCCCCAACCCCTTCACTCCCGCGTTAGCGGGAGTTCTGGTGGGCTGGGACTTTAGGGCACGCCCGTGCACGACACCCCGCCAAGAACGTGCCCTCCCCGTTGCTGCCCGAACACCTGCCTTAAAGGCGGCCATGGCCAGGCTGCAGCTTTAGCAGTCTAACGGGTACAGTGCAACTTACAACATGCCCACTGCGTGTCCTGGCAACGACTTGCAAGCCTGAGCACTCGGTAAGTCTCACCCCTTACCCTCTCTCTCTCTCTCTCTCTCTCTCTCTTGCCGAAGTATGTCTAGAACACGCCCCCTGCGACCAAGGGAACGGCCCTTCAAACACTTGCTGCATCCGCACCTTAGCAGCTGGAAGAGCCCGACACCGCCCTCTTGACATGCTAACGCGAAAGCATGCGAAAGCGCTCCCGCCCGCTGACGGTAGCAGTATTGGTCCTTCCCGCATGGCTGATTGAAGCGTTATGCTCCATGCTAGGGGCACGGCAGGCAAAAAGAAGAATGCACACGAGCCATGACGCTCCTTGTGGGGGAGCTGTTGCTGTTACCCCACCGACAGCTGCTAGCCATCACTGCAGGCAGTTGTTTTTGCAGATGCGCGGCAGGTCACAATCTCTCTGTCTCTCTCGCTCTCTCTGGCTGCTCTTGTTCCGCGTGCCTTCTCGACCAGAACGGGCAGGGACAAAGTAGATTGGCTGGCGCCGGCCTCTCGGTTTATATGGGATTCTTGATAGGCTTTCTAAGAGGGGCTGGGCTGGATACCAAAAGGCCGTCATTCGGCACGCAAGCATGTTACCGTGAGATTCTTGGCTGGTGACGAACCCTTCGCGCTGCTGGCCATTGGAAGCATGAACAGCGTAGCACTGGACTGAGCTGCCATGACTGCAGTAGATTGACACTGGTTTCAGCCAGTAACCCAAAGCTGTTGTCACAACGAAATCCATTAGGTATCATCAGGTGCAGCAGCTGCCTCGGTTTTGGGGACCCATTGCTGCTGGGATCGTGCCGGCTCATCATGAACGTCGCCTGTGTCGTGTTCCTGACCGGAGTTCTGAGAGTTCGGATCACTTAGGTGTTGGCTACTGTTGGGTTTCAAGCCAGCAAACATTTGGGGGGGGGGGGAGGCGCAGAGTTCCGGCATGCTTTCAGGAGCTCTAGAGGTACTTGTGGGTATTGGGATGGGACCACGACGAGATTGACAAAGTGCAAGGAGCAGGAGCTACATCCAAGATCATCCAAGGAGCACTTCCGCTGCCGCTTTCCGAGTCCTCGCTGTCGGAGGCGTCAACCAGGGTGCCCTGCCTTGGGGGCCGTGGCACTGCTCCACGACTGCCTTCACATGTCTCTGGTACAGTACGAAGGCTGGGCCCAACACACGTCATCGAAGGCCAACTTTTTTTTGCGCTTCGGTTGGGGCTCCTTTGTCGCACAACTCCCACATCGGTGGCTCACTCGCCCTGTGGGGCTGTTACCGTTGCGCAGTGCCGAGCCTTGGTGTTGTCTGCAGCTTGTACTTCACCATCCTTTGCAGGCAGATGCAAGCAGGGCGACAGGTGCTTTGACATTTTTTACTTCAGGAAATCCAGGAAGCCTTGCTGGACAGTATTCTTGAGTCTACCGTCCTCAAAGAAGGCGAGGGAGCTGAGGCGTGGGCCTTGAGACGGCATGTAAAACCCTGGGCTGCCTGTGCGCTCATCAGCTCCGGCCTCAGCTCAGAGGATCCAGGCTGATGCCAACCAGCACTCTTCAACTGAAGTGACCCCTCCGAGAGGTACTAGGGCTTTCCTTCGCCTGCCTAGGCTGTTTTTCTTGCCTCCCGCCTAGCTGAACTCACGCATTCGGAAAATACGCGATGAGCCCAACCTGTCACGGGCAGGAGAGCCTGAGGTTAGTGGAGTCAGCCAGCCTCCCACGCAACCTTGCACCATCTGGGCAGCAGGCATGGACAAGGCCGTGGCCATGGCATGGCCGCTGCGCACCTGGCGAAACCGTCAGGCCCTAAGCGGCCAGAGTCCGGAATGTTCAGGGTCTCAAAGGCACCTCTAGCTCTCCGGGCTCGCCGAAAGGCCCAGCAACGGACCTGTCAGCTTGGGCAGCATAGCCGCTACTTCACCAGTGACATGGTGCATCATCTGAGCATCCAAACGCTGCAAGCCCAACCAGGGCCCAAACAGAACTGCATCATGAGTTCCCCCGTCTTCGCCGCTCCTGGGTTCTGTTGTGAAGAGTATAGACGATCACGCACTCAGCTACAAAACCGACACTGATCAAGAGCCTGCCCAAGCAAACGCAGACATTTACCAGGTGTAACCATTAGTCGCAGCAAGGTCTGGGATCAAGAAGTTCGAATCCCGAACATCTGTCAAAGTCGCCAGCACCCCTTCACAGCACCTCACACCTCCTCGCATCCGCTGAATTTCAATCACCAATGCCGAGACCCCCACCACTCGAAGGTGCCGCCGGCAGTGGTCAGGGTCAGGGGCACGAAGTGAGGCAACCTCGAGGTCTGTGCAGGGAGTACCAATCGCGAGGTTCCAGCAAGTTCGGTTTTTGGCACTGGGCTTGTTTACGGAGCGCAGACCAGGAACAAGCTGGTACATCATGGCACAATCATCCCACGAAATGCGCCAGACGCCTCAAAACGACAGGCCCGACGAGGGTCACAGGGTCCTCGACTCGAAAGGGCGATCCGAAGTCAAAGACCATCGAGACGCCAAGCAGGGACACGCGTCTCACCGTCTCACGCATTGGGGAGATGGACGGCGGTCAGTTGAAGTCTATGCTGCCGCCTGACGTACTAGCTTAGAAAGCAGGTTCGATTCCCGAACAGCACACACAAGTTAACTGTGCTTCACATAACTGCTGCGCGCACGCCCATCTGTGGCAACATTGGAATCTCGGGCTGCTGCGCTTGCTCCGGGATCCGGGTACGGAGGATGCGAAGGCGGATGCGCGCCTCGCAACCGCAAAGCACGTATCACATGTAGCGAAGCCTATGGGGCTGCACGGCCTGCGCGCCCCCAAAGACTTAAAGCAACACAGTCCAAAGCGTTGGGTCTCGGATTCGGAACACCAGAAATAGAATCTGTGGGCGGCCAGGGCACGGCAGAAAGGCAGCCCTCGGCTGGCCACCGCCTTGTCAAGGCGGAATAAACGGTTGCTTTTTACACCCGACCCTGAGCCACAGGCTGCATGCCATGCAGGCGTTTTCATTTTCGGCCGCGAAGGACAACCCTCTGCGTGTTCTTGTCGTGAAGCTTCTTCGCTATCGCTGACGCATGGATGGATGGCGGGTGTCTTCGTGAAGGTTCTTCGTTATCATGTCGTGATGGATTTTGTGATGGATGGCGGGTGGTCTTCGTGAAGGTTCTTCGTTATGCATGGATGGATGTTGTGATGGATGTCTTGATGGAAGATGCATGGATGGATGGCCTGATGCGAGGTCTTAATCCTGGCTTGAAAATGCTTTCGGGATAACCGTTCTCTAGTGTTTCTTTAACATCTCAACGGGTTCTCAGGTCATGACGCGAAGGTGACCAGGGCAGCCCCCAGGACGGTAGCCTGACCTGAGCGAGGGGTTGTACGGCAGGGCTTTCGGCAACCTTCTGGGGGTTTAGGGCCCTGTTAAAGTGTTGGGTAGAGTTTATTGGAATACGTCGCTTGGCAGGTTGTGTCAATGGTCGATAAGAAGTCTACGGAGTCTACGGCTTCAGGCGGGGTTGAGGCTTCAAGGTGCAGTTGCAAGGACCGAGTGCCTTCTTTTTAGCTCATTGGCGGCTGGGCCGAAATCAATGACTCCTTGTCAAAAGTGTAGACTCTTAGAGCATGAAACTGATTGTTTCGAGTTTCGAGCTGCCAAAGCTCCGAAGGTCGTACCGACCAGGACTCCCGATCACTCGGAGACCCCGAAATTGTGTACACGCACAAGAACTCTCTGCAGCCTGCCTGCGGGCTTCTGAGAAGGGCTGGGGTTTTCTGGGCTGACACCCTCGCCCAGACAGGCATCGTGCACCGCTCATGTGCGAAGGCCTTGCTTCTGAGCGCTTACAGATCATTGACCTGTTCGGTCCAGAGCCGTGCAGTTCTGATAAAGCTGATTGTCCCATGCCTTTCTTGGAGCCGTGCAGCTGCTTGTCAGAATTGCACTACCAACCAGCCAACCCTGCGGCTCAGGATCGTCAAACTCAAAATGGTTCTGACGTTCCTCTGAGGACCCCCCACCGCAACTGGACACATGTTAAGTGAACTAAGCTGTCCTGCCCCTGCCATCACCCGCCAACCAGTGCAATTAGTAACAGTACCCTCCCACAACCCGAACACTTATGCACGATGAAAAAGGTGCATAAATCAGAAGAGGGGTGGGGTTTTCAGTGGGAGGAGTCACGGACATGGTTTGTGCGCAGCATGGCTTCTAGATTCTGAATTCCACACTTACACGCTTGGAAACCCAGGATTGAAAAATGTCGCTGCAGAATCTGGATGACTGCGGTTCCTTTGCTATCTTCTCCATGCGTCCACGCATTTGCGGATGGGAGGCATCTTGCAGCAGGAAGGCTACTTGAAGCCCTGGCCGTCAAAAACTTCACAATGCTATTGTCACGCTTTGCGGTGACAGGCCTGCGTGTCATCTTGCGGCCACATCTAAAATTCCCCCCACGTCACATCTTGAAACACTTCGTGTGACTGGTGGGCAGAATGCTAGCGTACTACAAGTCCCGTGCCCAATCAACATATCGTGCAACATCGTGCAACTCCGCCTTAGTGCAGGCACGGTCGCACCAGCACGAGAACACTGCATGGCGGCTTCATTTCCGCAAGCCACGAGGTACGTCTCAGCCTCTGACGCCGTGAGGCCGGCAGCGAAACAGGGTCGCCATGCCATCACAGGAGGCCCTGAACCATCTCCTCGAGTGGGGAAGCTGTCTTTGGCCGTTTCAGGGTCGCATGGCTTGCGTGGGATTCTGAGACCACAACTCAATCTAGCAAAGCTTGGTGATGCATCCACGCGGCCAGCAGTTCGGCATGTCTGGTTCCGGTGATGCGGCCTTTCATCTCACCGTCCTCATGGGAGGTTTCAGATCCTAGTAGAATATGGTCATCTCTCAAAATGCTACTCATCCAACACGCGTCGCGGGGAATGGTATAGTTTGGGGGGGGGGGGCCTCATGTCCAAGATAACACAAAGCCTCCCATACGAAGAAGAGTTCCTCTCTCTGCTATCTCTCTCCAATCCTCTCTCTACTATCTCTCTCTAACTCGAACGGAACACCGGCCTTGAAGACAATGAATGTTGGAAGCTCGCGCACCTCCATCTCAGAATACCTGAGTTTGCCGTGCCTTTACAAATCAGTCCCTCTCGTTCTCTCTACGGGGAATATGCACGTGGCGAGATCCTCGCGCTCAGGAATCTCAATGCGACCCGGGCACAGTGGCCTCATCAGCTTTGCATTTTTGCCTGTTGCCAGGGCATTAGAGGGGGTGGGTAGTGTTCATGTTGCACATTTGGGCGCCCTGCTCTGGGGGGTTCATGCCCAAGGACTGCGATGGTGTGCCTGGCTCGAGACTGATCTTCACCACCTTCAGCCCATCATCTGCATACTTGGCCTGACGGCCATGCAGCCCTATGACGTCTGTCCTACGGCATGTGGCAGAGGCCACATACAACTTGCACCAGAGATCACCATGACTTCAGCATATCCTCAAAACAAAGCACTGCTTCCCCTTTGCAGATGCCACCGAGCAGCAGCCAGTTCCTCCACCTCAGGGGCCAGGGGGGGAATGCCCAAAACCCTCCTAAACCTCAGCGGCCCTAAGCCATGCCCCTAACAATGAGACTCGTCATCAGAGTCTGGAGCCTAATCGAAGCTTACATAATGTTGGCGCTGGCTGTGGATGTCAGAGGTTCCACACCCGGTTCCCAGATTTGATTTGGGCTTAGAGGCGATTCTTCGACGCCCACACGCACCCCCTACGCAACAATGGGCTTAGGGACCCCCCTGGTTGGGGCGGATGCTCTGGGAGGGCTTTTGGCCCCAGCCCCTGAAGCCTTAACAACCCTAAGCCCAAAAGCCCCTAAACTCTCAACTCTGACCCCGAACTTCCGAAACACGTCCTCAAACCCCCCTAAGCTCAGTGTGAAGGCCTTGGGCTCCATAAGGAAGCACGGTCCGCACATCGACGAGGAGAACATGGCCTCAGCGCTTCTGTTTTACGGGAGACGTATCCTCCCCACATATTCAGTTAACAAAGTGTTAAAAGCCTGAAAACAGGTCCCAAAGAGTTTGGACGGAAACGGCATGTCATTACAGAGTTGTGCGACAACCACTGTAGGTGAGAGAGCTACAGCTGCCTTTACAAGACCTACCAGGGTATGAGCGCGGAAGCGATGGCATCGATCGCCTACTGTGGAGGCGGAGGTTGTGCAGGGGTTTCTTTTCGAAGCCTTGCGTTTCAAGATCGTGATCTTGCCCTGTGGAGTGCGAGAGCGCCTGCTTCCCAGCCTATGGCAGATCCTGGCTGAGGTTCTGATCGCATCCCAGGCGCTATAGTCAACGAGCCATTGAGGTTTGCCACGAATTCTTCCTTCGTGTCGCAGGACAGGATGGTGCCTTCCACAGGTTCCAAAACAGTATGGGAGTTCGGAATGATGATTTTTCTGACGGTGGCGATTGTCATGGCAATGGCGATGATTCCCAGTACTAAGAGTAGAGTACGAGTGGAGCAGAGTTATTGGCCGTCATCGTCGTCGCAGCGAGGGCTAGCAGTACGCAGTAGAAGTGGCGGAGGAGGAGGAGGAGCAGCAGCAGCAGTCGTCGTTGTCGTACTCAAACTGGCACTCATGCTCGTACTACGGTCATGACGACTACTACTCCCACTACTATCACGACTACTGCTACAACTTCTACTGCCACTGTTTCTGCTGCTGCTCCTGCTACTGCTGCGGCTCCCTCTGATTCTGCTGCTCCTGCTGCTACGACAACTGCTGCGTACCACTACGACTAGACGACGTCAACTAGCATTTCGAAGATTATCATCATCATATATCATAACTTTGCGTCTCTACTGAGCTATCGGGCGCACAGCTGCCTCATGCTTTCACACTCTGAGTTATTCCTTGTTTTCTGTCCCTCCTTCCCCCCTTTCAAAAACCGGCCTGAACCAGCGCCTCGGGCAATTGCGGCCTTGATCCTTCCTGGTCAGTCGGAGTGGGGAACAAGAACGTGCACGCCCACGCGGGCTACAAGAAACCTAGCCACCCCTTCACGGTCTGAGCTCGAACTGAATGCCCACAGGATGCAATCTGCACTTTCAAAGTCAACCTCACCTCGGCCCCCAAAATGAACCAGACCGTTGAGGACTTCTGGGCAAGGGGCTCGCAATACGTGAAAGAGGTTTCTGCCACCCGTCTAGCCATGCTCCACGGGGCAACTGACGAGGGAATGCTGTGCAGAGTTCACTTCAGAGCCCAACTTTACCATATGCTAAGAAACGGGAGTCACCTGTACCCCCTGGATGTCAGCCTCAGCAACATGCTAAATCCAATGTGCAACAGTCAAACCCGAAAGGGACAGGCTACCTCCCAGGTAAGGCCATCCCAGTCCCTGTCCAAAGGTTGGTCCAGACCCTTCAGATCAAGCCCCTCGAACACAACAACACATGACCCACCTTCAGACCTCTTGACTGGGAGCCATCACGCGACACCAGCATCGCCAAAAGTTTCCCTTCTCAATGCCAGGAATTGGATGTGTGTCAGACGGCATTCCAAGTGAATCACCCACTATCTCTACCTCACAGCAGCTAGGATGATAGGGAAAGTTACGTTGATATTCCTAGCATCCTACCAGCAGGGCTTCACATGGCCCACCCGTAGACCTCACCTCGCCCAGGCCGTACCACGACAGAGGACCGAACAGCAAAAGAATGGTCTAGAAGATATAGCACGTGGCAACCTGCGAAGAACTGACCCGCTTCCGAAAGTCGTGCAGAAAAATTGGGCTCAGGAATTCAACATGCATCAGGCGTTGCGCGAGAATCACATTGAATTCAGCATGCACCAGGCTCATGGGAAACGTGCAAAGCTTCATGCTATTCAGGACGACGAACATGCATCCCATGCATTGGGAGAGCCAAACAGTTAGAATCTCGACCCGCCTGCGGAGGTGAATACAACACAACAGTGCCGGCATTTTCTAGACTCGCCCTAGACCCTCCCTTAGGGACTTTCAAAGCGTGCAGAGGACAAGATGACAGGCATACATGCATATTCTAATATGCAACTTGCAGTGATGTCCAAGAGTTTTAGGGCCTAGGGCTTAGGGGGATGCGCCCCATGCTACTAGTAGAACGGAAGTGCCGGTCGCGAGTTTTGCATTGGTAACGCCCACCCGTTGTCCTGGCATATTCAGCGCCAAGTTGATGAAGCTGAAGCCCGATTGTGAAAACGCCTCGACGGTATGATGCTGGATTCGGGGATACTGCTGCTGAAACGAGCTTGCAATGCGGGGCACTGCCACGAGCAAGACCAAGGAGAAGCTGGCCAAGCAGCGTCGACGTACCATGGAGCTCCTTCCATTGACACCATAAGAATCTTGTGCCATTTTGTGCCCATTTCGAGACATATGAAAGCCCCTGCTGATCCTGGCCTGTGCTGCATCTTGTGCTGCCGAATGCCAGGAGTTCTGGCCAAATTAAAAGTGTCGTGGGGTTCGTGCTCGAGCCACAGCTGTGCAAGAAACATGGCATTGCACAAAAACGCAGCATCTTCTCTCGGTATCTGTCTGTGTCTGCTTGCCTGTCTGCCACTGCCTGCCTCTGCATAGCTCGTACGGCAACTTGCAACAAGGCCCACTTAATGCTCGATAATGTTGTGAGTTCGGCCCCCTCATCTGTGTGACTAAAGCAAAATCTCTCCAGAAACGGGCCGTGTTCATATCGCTACTTCACGTGCCTACCTGCATGCACGACACACACTGCAGCGGAACACGTTGAAATGCATGCAAAGGCCCCGGCCATCGGAGAAGCGCCAGTGCAGCTGCAAGCAACCATCACCAATGGCCGTCTGTGTTGCGGCGTGGCAGCCAAACTCTGGCAGAAATGCTATGATGGTCACCTTGCCATGGCCATCAGGCTGTGTCGGCACGAAAACCTTGCCTCCCAAGTGCGGCAAAGGATAGAACAAGGTTGATGCTTCAGGGCCCCCACTCAGCAAACAACACGTCACCTGGGGCGAATGCACGGCCAAAGCATGCACAAAGACTCCGATCACTTGGCCATGCTCCGGCTGCCCACCGATCACCTCCATGGGCTCCTTTGTGGGCACGCACACCCCCAGGACCGGGCGAGCAACGTCGACATGCAGCTTGGCGAGGCAGAGGCGTAACACGATGGCATGGTCTCCCACGGGAAGCGTGAGAACCTTTTCGTCCCCGGGCCGCAGCCGCAGCGCGAGGACATCCACAAGGCAGTCCAGGCAAGGCTGAAGGCCATCCAAAGTTGTAGCCTTCCACACGGATCGCCCCAGAAGCCGGAAAGGGTCTGGCAGACATACTTCTGTGCAATCTCCGACGCGGCTGATGTGGAAGGGTGTGTCCTTTGCCCTGTCACCTGTCATGGAGAAGCATCCTGAAGGCACGTTAAATACGAGCGGCAGTGGCAGAGTTGGTGGTGCTGCGGCAAGGGTAATGCGAATGCTGATGCCGCCGGCGCGAGAGCTCGGTTTCAGGAACTCTGCCGGAAAGAAGCGGAGATGTACGGCAACTGAGGCATCCGTCCCATGCATTTTGAGCAGCAGTGGGTCTGGATGCGCCTCGGTGAACATGTTGCATGGACCACGTGGACCCCGCATTTTCGAAAGCCGCTGGAGGCAGCTTCCCTCCCACCCAGTTTCGGGACACGCAGCACGAACGCTGAAGAGAAGGTCTCTCTCGACTACGAAGAGCTGCTCATGTCTCCAGTGCAGCCACTGGCGACGGCTTCCTTCCTTCCCTTCCTTCCCTTCCTCTTCTTGAAATTGCCAGCTTACGAAACTGCTGGAGGGAGACAGCGAGCCTCGGCCATCAGGTGGTCCTGCAGCGGCCTCCATGGACCAGAGGCCCCGGTGGCCGCGAGGAACATCCCGTAGCTCTGGCGTGAAGCGCAAGACCCCACACCAGTCCAGAGGGTGCGCCAGGTGCCCTGGATCGCCCGGTCTCTCTTCGGGCTCCACGTGCTCCAACCTCCGGTGGTTTGGGTGATTTGGGTGATTTGGTCCCACGGTGCAGACCTGAAAGCTCAGCGCCCCATAGCGGCCGGGAGCCCCTTCCAAACCTTGCGAAGGGAAGGAAAGCCGCTGCTGGTAGGCCAGCGGTGCAAGAGCCTCCTTCAAGGACACGGAACCAAAGCAGAAGGGTTCCCCGACTCGTGGCTGCAAGGGGTCGGCATCCACCAGCCGAATCGTGAGCTCTGAGGTGCCTGGGTGGAAGTTGGGGCCTTGAACAGCCAGTGAGGGCCAGCGGGGCCGCGGGAAGCTTCTTTGGCTGCCCGAGCTGCCATAGGCCACTCCATCCACCAAGGCTTGCACCACCACCGAGCCAGATGTTCCGAGCTCATGCTCCCTGGGACAAAGGTCGCTGGCCTCGATGTCTATCAAGAAGATCCTGCAAAAAACAGGTGCGTGCATGCTCAACGTATCCGGCTCCAAAGCGCCCCAACTTCCGAAAAAGCCAACCGTTCCAAAGCAGTCCAAAGCTACACCTGCCGAACCCTGCGGAACTCGTGGCTTTTACAGGGCTCATGCTCCGATGAGCATCCTATGTGCCGCGTGCTAACACCGTCTTAAAGCTTAGGCTGCACCTGCACGCAAAGCAACTCCACAAAGCTTGCGACACCAAGAGCACAACGCCAGCCCCGCCTTGTGAACGACCCAGCTGCCATCGTTGCACATACAGCCAGGTCGCACCATCATGTGAACAGCCAAAGGCAGAACAAAGGCACTTTGTCACAACATCGATTCGGGGCCTCAGAGTTTTGTCGGGTGTGGCTTTGTTGGATGAGGGCTTCAGGGCTTTGTCTTCTAGCTTCCGAAGCGTCGGGTAATCAAGGGCTTTAGGCCATGTTCTGTGATTTTTGCTGCGCGGAATGAATGGCCTGTCTGTTTGCCTCGTGCTTAGACACACGGCGCTGTCCTCGCGGCTGCCGTACAGTACCTGCATTTTGTCTTCAACTTCGCAGTATGGTGCACTTGCAGCTGAGCCCTGTCAGATGACGCCACAGTTGGTTGCTGCTCGTTGTCAAGGTGGCGCGATGTGGCGCGTGCAGGTCATTTTATGTGCGACGGTGGCTTTTGAGATAGTCTCGGCAAGCCGTGATCAGAATCACCTGGTCGGCTGCATCAGATCTATGTCCCCCCAGTTGCTAGAGGATCTGCTGACTCTGGACAATGCAGCTTGCCTGTTGATGCTTCTGAACACCAGCGAATTAAGCTTACTGCTCGGGCTCGGCTGCTCAGCAGCGTAGTCGGCGAGTAAACATGCGGCACAGCTACAGCAAGATAAGCAGAAGCATGAAAAGACTGTGGCTCGGTGCATGATATGCAGAACCATGCAAGTGCCGGTAACATGCAGCGAATTGGGAACTCAACAATCTACAATACACCTTTGGACTTTCCTTGGCATCAAGTCATTCCTGGACAACCATCGAGACCTGCTTGCATCCAGCAACACCGAGGGTGACTGAAACCCCGAGAGTGGCAAATCACACTGCTGTGATCTCGGAGGTAGTAACCAGGTAGTATACCAAGATATACTAAGTATACTTGGTAGAAGTACATGGCACCGTATGGAGGCCTTCTCGAGCCTCGCAGACGCTTGCAATCACATGGACTCCTAGCCGCGAAGGCTCAGGTGGGCATAACATTTGCGTGTTGTACTGAGCAGAGCACTGTTTATGACATCTGTCTACGTGCAGTACTGACTGGAACTAGCCCTGTCAAGATTTCTGCGACTTGGTTGCCGATGGTCATCGACGTGAGAGCAACCGAAACCTTCCCATCAGAATCTTCCAACCGGGTGCCGGCGAGCGCATCCAACCATGAGCTTTTCTCATGGCCGACGTGCGGAGTGTGGATTTGGGGACACGTTCTCTACTTTTTCTTTTTCGGCAATCGGTGATAGTACTGTGCAACTGCGAGGGCGGCGGGGACCCGCGGTCCTCCTCGATGTCATCAACGACGGTTGGAGAGGACCGGAAGGTGCCAGGGCGGATCATGTCCGGGCTTTCCTCACGGCCTGCATCAAAAGTAGGTACGGAACCCGAAGACTCCTCCAACACGGGAGGCGGGAGTGCCTGCAGTCGCTGGGCCCCCATCGAAGCTCTGCACTGACGATTCGCTCCTGAGCTTGGAACGATCTAGAGATCAATCCATGAATCATGAGGGAGCTTTTGTGGAACCCCCTAGGAAGCCCCAGGTAATCCTGTTTGCTTAAATAACTGGCACATCGTACCTTGGGCCACTGTGCTGCCAAGCATCATGGGCGAGAATGGTTTGATTGAGCTCCTGCTCAGATGCTGAGGCATCTGCCATCAGCAGCAGCCATGTGAACACTACTTCTCAATTCTCGGCTTGGCATCTGGGAGTTCATGCACATCACATGGGCGATCCTGGACTCAAACTTGCCGAAGCTTCTCAGCTCGCTTTCTGAGCCGCGGGCTGCGCAGTTCCAGCCCAGGAGGTGCCCTCATTCCCACCTGAGCCAAGCTCCGCAGCTTGACGGATGTTTCGTACTGGGCACTCTGCTGCTTCTCCAGCTTTCTCTTCGCTTTGCTTCTTTCCTTGAGGACATCTGAGGCGGGTGCTTGGCTTACCCGCTTTGGGCTGGAAGGTCGGCCCAACCTTGCTGCGCAGCAATGAGGAGCCTACTTGTGGCCAACTTGTAGCTGTGCACATTGTGAACTGGTCAGTCTGCTGGAATATCACCCCCGACTGCCCTGACATGCACTGCTGTGTGTAATCTGGACACTAGTCCGCAGTCTGAAAAAGGGCGTTGGAGACTGTCGCATAGGACCTGACCCAGGTGGCATCCGCTGTGTCGGACCTCGTGCAGAATGCACAACTTGACTTGGAAGCCGTGCCGTACAGCTAGTACACATGCGTGACTACACGCTTCTACTTCTGGTTCACCTGTGACTTGACAAGCGCTGTCCACTCCAAGAAGGAATCAGTATGGCTTGCGACAAATTTGCTTTGGCCCTACGAGCCGATACTGTCCAGCAAAGATGCGCAACCACAGCTGCAGCTACGAGCAACCACAGCAACAGCAAGGTGTTCAGTCTCAGAAGCAGGCACGCTGGCGAAGGACAAGTCCCCGATGGGGCGGACCTTCCAGGCTGATGGTGGGGAACGGAAACAGGCAAGTAAGGACCAGCGACGTCTGCGCCTCAAACTCGCCCTGTGCAGGCATGTCCCGAGCACATCCATTGCCAATGTCCCATGAGCAGGGAACACTTCTGGAATGTGCCACGTCTAGTTTCCTACAGGCCTGCCTCGCCAAACCAGGAAAGCTACCGTGCTTAATAGGACATGACAGCACGCATGAGAAGCATCCTGGCACATGGACCTCATCGGAAACTGGCTGGGAAGATGTGGGCGCCTCACTGCACAAGGCAAACTGGTCCTGACGAATGGCCGCCATTGAACAGGGGCCAAACGGTTGTTGGTTGACAGGAAGTCGATGCGAATGCCGAGACCCCAGCTGCAGGTGGAGATAAGCTGCTGGAAGCGCCTCCAATACCTCCAAGTGGCTCTTTGTCTGCGAGCATAAGCTGCCAGAGTGAGGTCAGATTGCGGTCGCTCTCCCCGTCCCTCCGTTCATTCAGGCTTGCACACTGGAGGCAAGGCAACTTTCTGACGAATTTGCAAGGCAAACAAAAGTTGTCAACGAACACATGACCAGACCACAACTGCAACCCAAGCCACAACATCCAACTCCCAGCATCAAGCTCAAACTCCTCACTGGGAGAGACAACCCTCCTAGCTGCCTGTGAGAGGCACCACGTTGTCCCGTTCAGTGCCCTGCCGAGAGCGAGAGAGAGAGAGAGAGAGAGGGAGACTCAGCGATTCGACTCTCCCACAGTGAGCTGAGTACTATCTATGTACTTCTGCCAAGCACGCATGCTGACCCGCTGACCCGCCCTACCACCGATCCAGAAAGCTCCAGGCTGAGTGATGCGCAGCTGGTGGGCTGACGGCCGGTCGCTCCGAGATGGAGTCCAACCTCGGCGCGTTGCAGGGAGCCCGCGTGGATATGGCACAAGTGGGTGCTCATCATTGCAGACACTTCAGATGCGGGTAATCCCCACATTAGGCGCTGCACGTAGGGCGAGGAGGGCCCACAGTCGCAGATGGCTGCTCCTGCGCCGGCGCCTCATTTGGGATTGTGGCAGGGTTTGCCGCAGAATACCGTAAAGAGTTTGAAACCACTACTGCCTTGTCGGTGAAACGATTTTTGACATCATCGATTCGAAACCCTTCAAGCCCGAGGGTCCACCGGATTCCACACTTAGGGTCCACACTGGCGCCACTTGAGCACTGCGGATCGCTGGTACAAGAGTGGTTCAAGGGCTCGTTCTTTTGGCTTTTGGGCACCAAAGAGGCGTCCAGGAAGCGTCAGAGCCGTTGACCACATTCCCATGTTTACGAAGCTGCGCAACGGGAGCTTGTGCGCCCACACCCAGGCTCCGGCGGGATTCGCGGGAGTGGGAGCGGGAGCACCAGCTGCTGGAGCCAGCGTCCTGTGTAGTGGCCACATAAGCAGCTCCGACTGATCCACTGAACCATTACGCTGGCAGCCACCGGGAGCACTTGATAGCAGGCAACAAGACATCATCTCTAAGTTTGTGCTCTGAGTAGCACATGATTATCATGATTTCCTGGGGCACAGGCACTGGTGCCGCTGTTGCGGGCCTGCAACGGGGCATAAGGCTTCGTTAGCCCTTGGCTGTTGCGACATCGCTGTTGCAGAGCCAGAGCTGGCGTGCGCTCTCTTTCCTTCGATTTCGCTCACACGAGCGCATCCTGTTTCCAGAGGTTAAAGCAAGGGGCGGCTGGTAGAAATCGCTCCTCTGGTTGAGTCACTCCTCTGGTAGTCCCGAACGCCTTAAATTGACCGCGCAGCATCGCGGAGTGGCTCCTAAGCCACGTGCGAAATGCCCAGGGCCTACACGAACCAAGGGCCGCGTCCGAAAAGGTGGACTGGAGTGTGGTGCACAAAGTGCCAGATGAGGATACCAATCCAGCGATCCCGGCACTCATCAATCTTGGTGGTCTCGATGATCTCCTTCTGCAGGGCTGCCGGGATCCACCAGTTCACCATGTAGCCTGAGCCTGAAGTCAGAGATGTGGTGCAATTCTGCAGGCTCTTGTGACTCAGCGACTCCACAACAAGTTGCCAAGAAAGGGCGACTGCTTTGCATTTAGGAATTATAGGACTGTAGACTGCAGGGGCGGGGCCTTTGTTCTCGTTGGCTGCGACGACGAAGCAGGCATCATGGGGACCCAAGCTCCTGAGCCACGTCTCCGAGCGCTTCGAACTTCAACCGACGGATCTTGCAAGGCTGTGGCTGGTAAACGAGTGGTGTTTGCGTTTGCTCCCATAATTTGCTTTTGCTGAAAAAAAAAAAAAAAGGTGCAGTTAGGGGGGGAAGGGGGGGAAGGCCTCTATATTTTCATAGGAAACTGGACCTCTCCATTTTTTACTCTCTTCGGTGCTCATCCTGATGTCCAGCTCCTTAATACATAGAAGCACCTCAGCAGTCCATCACTGGGTGTAAGGTTTTGGGCTTTGGTTTTGGGATTCAGGGTACACATGACGCTCTTGCAACAGGAAAGGGAAGCAGTGACTCTTGACGGCCCTTAGGGTCTAACACTCTATGAATGGAAAAGTTGACTAGAATTTTCAATATTGATGTGCTGTGTTGCTTGTGCGTTTTGTATTGGGAGTTCCCAATGATTGACCGGGCGCTTTGCATTTCTTGTGGGGGCGTGCCACCTCCAATTGTTCTATTGGGGAATTTTCCCGAACAAAAATAGTTCGCACGTCCTTTACAGCCTGCCCGTCCCCCGTTTGCAACAAACATTGCTCCAAAATGTCACGCTGTTCTCTGAATTTTGCCCTTCCTTGCAAAGACAGGAATGATGGGTTTGGGGTGGGGCGCACCCATTTGCAAACACAATGTTCGTGCAAGCAAGTTTGCCCTGCTTAAACAAGGGTGGTGGGGGCATTCGTGAAGGAATGCAATCCGACATTCTTGGCAGCTAGTTTGCACGGCTCCAGGGGGCCGGAGGACTAGGGATTCACAGGACAGAGACCAAGGGGGGGGGGGCCAGGACCGCAGGACCAGGGGACCGCGGGAGGGCGGCCCACTCAAACGACAATGGGAGAACCCAAAACAAAAGTATAAAGGTTGCCAAGAGATCTAAAAAGGCTCGTTGCGAACATGCCGGCGCCCCAAGGCCACCAGGTCGTCACCAGGTTCTTGTTGTTCTTGGCCATGCGCATGACGTTCAAGCAAGCGTGGTAGGCCTGCTCCTCACCGGGGTAGGAAATCTTTGGGACGGGTGGCATCTCCCATTTCCCGGGCTCGCCGATGCAGCCGTAGTTGCAGTCGCCAACCGCGTAGATGGTGCCATCGGCCCAAACACCCCCACCCTCGGAGGGCTTCTTCGTGACCTGCATGTGCTTGTTGAAGTGGATCCAGCCGCCTCCGCCGGGGCCCTTGTCAGAGAGGGTGCACTTGGGCATGAAGTAGTTGGAGGCCTTGACCCCAATGCAAACGTAGCACTCGTCTGCGCCGTTAGGAAGCTCGATCTTCTTCCAGAAATCCGGGTTCTTGGGGTCGTAGCCGCAGCTGTAGAACTCCTTGATGCCGCAAGCGTTCATGTACTCCGAGCAGTAGTCGGCAGCACTGTCAGGCAAAGGTCCCAGGCAGCGAGGCAAAAAGTCGATGATGGTCAGCTTGACATCCGGGAAGAAGTGCTCAATCTCCGTGGCCCACTCGACACCGATGAAGCCGGCTCCCACAATGAGGACCGTGGCCTTCTTCTTGTTCCTCAGCCGTTCACACTAGATAGGACCCCCCCCCCCCAAACGTTTGAGCGTTAAGCATGCTAGCCTCTCAAATCCCCCTCTTTGATCCGAGGCCTTATTTGAGACCCAATTTGAGACACCTCATGACTACCTCATGTCCAACCCTAAACCCTAAACCCTATGAACCCTAAACCCTAAGGCCCTAAACCCTAATCCGAAGCCGAGGCTCAGATCCTGGAGCTTCTGGTACTCCTCCAGGACATGGCGCCGCCGTCCTTCCAGGAAGCGCTCGTCGATGTGCTTCCAGTCACTCACAGCCTGGCCATCCTGGGGGGCAAGGGCAGTGTCTTTGACGGCTCCGCAAATTCCGCTCTCACACACTCTTGGGCGCGGGACTTGTGTCTCAGGTGAAACATGTCACTCATGGCTACCCTCCCATGCTTTTCCCCGCCATGAGTCGGCTGCCTTGATAGTTTTGACTCACACGACTCGGACATCGGCAAGCTGCAGTCCAGCCCGAACCCATCCGCGTCAGTAAGCTGCTAGTAAGGCTAGCATCAGTAACACGCTGTACAAGTTTGAGGTTCGGGATTTACAGAAGTATATTGAAGTTTTTCTTTTGCCAACTGATGGCATTATCGGCTGGGCAGACTGCGCTGCAAGGACACGGTGTGCAGTGGGGCGAAGACTTAGAAGATCAGCCCCACTGGCGTCTGAGACCGATCGACCTCCCCAGGTTAGCCCCGGTGTCCTCATGGACGGTCGGGAACCAGAGACTCTCACCCATGGGCTTGAAAGGGCCGAAGTTGCAGCCTCTCATCCGCTGGAGGCACACACTGCAACTCTGACTCTGTGCAAAAAAAGTTAGGGCTTCGAGCTGGGGCTCCTTTCATGTTGTGGCCTCAGGAGGTCTCGTGGTTTGTGGGCTTCTTCTTGGATGAACTGAAGGCAAAGCATAAGCGTTGCATTGCTGCAGCATGTGCCGTGCCTGAGCAGATGATGCAGTAGTCGAAGCCGATCTCGTCCATGTTGTTGGAGAACATTGGCTTGATGGTGGCTGTCTTTTTGTCGCCATCCAGCTCTTTGACCTCTCCCCAAATGAACTTCACACCTGGAAGGGAGGCCGGGGCATCCGCTAGAAAGCTTCCGGCACAACACCGCGCGCCCTACAGTATCATTTCAGCCAAGGGCACCCATCTTGCGTTCGTAGACAGGCTGCAAGGTGAAGGTCAGGGAGTCCAGGTGCGCAGGCCTGACGAAGGCGCGGAGCACGCCTGGCGTGTACTCGAAGTACTCCTCGGGCCAGGAGCAACTCGTGCTTCACGATCACTCGAGAACTGCAGCAGCAGCTAGCATCAGCAGCAGCTAGCATAAGGATGTTAAAAGCGCACCGGATGGCAAAATACATCAACATACAACATAAATCAGGTGAGCTAGAAGCATTCATCAGCCAACCTCTTCCGCCCATGCACAGAGGGCATGCCGGAGGCAAGTCTCAGCACAAAACGTTCGCTGCCAAGTACAAAGTTCGTCGGCCGGTTTAGTCTGCAATGAGCCCAACCCTCTGCCCCATATCACTCCTTGGCATCAACCACCGTGACATAGAACTGCTTCTTCAGCTCCCTTGCGCAGAAATTGCCCGTGAACTGGCCACCTTAGCGGAAGAAGTGGCATCTGTCATGCAGGTATGTTCCACCCTTCTGAAAGTCTGAAAGTTTCACGAGTAACCGGACATTGTACGCAGCAAAGTGAGCTCAGAAAAAACTTCGTTACCATGCTCGCACCATTCGCACCTATTCGGGATGGGCATGGCCCAGATTGCAACACATGATCGCAAAAGCGCGGGGCCTGTGCATCAAAACACTGGAGGGCCCCCTGATCTTAAACTGGGGAAGCCCTGATCAGAAACTAAGGCCCAAGATGTTGAATGCCCTTTTGCACAAGGCCGCCTCCATAGTCTCGCAAGCTTCAGAGATCTGTGTTGTGAATGGGGCCCTGCTGTTCTGTGAACGACACACCTGTGTTTTTGTGATCAGCACCCTTGACTACACAGCACACGCCAACCTGTGTGCACGCTCCCCAAACTGAGGCGAACTACCGATGAGGAGGCAGCGAGGCTTGGCGCCCTTCGCCGGCATTGTCGAAAAATCGGCGTGAGAGGATGCTAGGAGTGCAGGATGCCAAGCTTGGATCCAGCAGCCGCGTCACAAAGGCAGGCTTAACGATTGTACGCAGCGCTGCCCAACTCTTCACTCTGACGCATCCACCTATACACATATACTGACCATATGACTATATCAATGTCTGCCTTTCTTCTGGTTTCTTTTTCTCTCTCTCTCTCTCTCTCTCTCTGAGGCTGTGGCTTGGGCGCTGCTGCCGGTGGCCTCAGATCGAAATCTTTGCGCTTTGGCTGAAAAGGTGCATAAGTGCATAAGGCGGATGCATCAAGGCATGTCAAAATGCCATTCGAGTGAGCTTCAGCTGCCACAGCTGCCACAGCTGCCACAGCTGCCACAGCTGCCACAGAGCAAAAAGCCAAAAGAGGGCCATACCCCAACAAGAGACTCTCTACCTGTAGCTACAGGCATGTGTCTTTGCATCCTGTTGAGGCTTTGTTATGGAAACCAGGGCTCCTCCGCACCGAAACAAGAACTATGGCTGATGCAATCGAGCACACTCCATCATCTGGCCCTCGTTTCCCGAAATCCCAACAGGGACAGCTTTTGCCCAAGGCTGCAGCTTCGGAGCCGCCCCGAGTGAAGGGGGCCTGGCAACTGGAAGCTTGGAGTATGTGGGCCATTTGGTTGGACCCCCAAGACTGTCATAGGACTGTTTTGTGGGGTCCTTCTTTGCTTGGGTTGGGGAAACCCGGCCTTCTTACACACGCGCGATCTGGCACGCGACTATTCTGCCGCAAACATCTGGGGATTGCCCTAAATTGTGGGCCGTTTGGGATCTCCATGATATATGTATGTTGAGTCTGTTACCCCAAAAGACCCGTAATTTAGATCAAAAACCAAACTCACGTAATATCATATGAAGTAGGGTATATATTTCTTGTACCCCCAAAAGGACACCAGGTATATACACTCACCAATATTAAAAAGGAACCCAATATACACTCACCAATAAACAGAAATATAAACCCTGTGTCATATAGCTGGATAAGGATCCGGCAATGGGGCAGCGCCCAGGGGCCTCGCAAGGACAGCTAGCTTCCGAAGCACGTCACTAGTCACTTCACCTCAAGGGCACGGAAAGCCCCAATCATTCTCAACAGCACACAGCTTGGAGACTTGGGCGGGGGCTTCACGGCCGCGTCGGAGGGTGGCCTTCCCCAGCTTTATCATGCTGTCAGGTTTTGGGAGCTTGGCAGGGTTAACTTCCCGCGTGCTCTTGCGCACAGCAAGACGGCTCCACGAAACTTCAACTCCTCTGAGGAGGCAACTTGGGTACTGCTTGTACTGGTGCTGCTTGAGTTGGCAACCTTCCCCCCCGCATTTCAACATAACTCATGTCCCGTCTGCTTCTTGCAGCTCTCCTGCTGTCTTTCGGAGCGGCGCTGCTGAGGTCGCAGCTTTGGCACAGGCGCAGCAGCACTGGGAAGCCTAGCGTGGGGCACGCACTGCACATCATCGCAAGCAAGACTCTAAGAGGCTCTGCTTCCAAGGCTTCCGCTTTGGAGGCTCTGGTGGCCTCGGCGGCGGTGAGGTGCGGACAAAGACCAGCACCCCTTTGATCTGAGCTTTCGCTGCACCCTGGGGTCTGCCAGATACTGGCCCAGGCTCCAAGACGTCACAAAGCTAACGCATCCGCCTCTGAGCCTCCGTTGACTACAACCACCACAGCTGCCACTGCAACTTTCTGCCTCACCCCCGAGTAGTCCTAATTTTGATAAGGACATCCTGGAGGCACTCTGTGTGCTAAGCCCTGCTAGGCCGGTGCCTTTGCAGCGAACCCTGGAACCGTATTCAGATGTACACACCAAAAAGGGACGAACGGTAGGATGCCTTTCCGAGGCAACTGCGGAGGTCCGCCTGCAGGCGGCCTCGGGGTGTCTAATGTGGTTGCTCGTCTACTCGAGAGGGACCCCTAGGCCCTGAGCCTTCAGGGTTGCGAAATTGGTTCGTGTCAAGTCTCTCACAATGAGGCTTCAAGTACTGCGAATCTGACTGGGAGAGAGACTACAGACTACAGTAGCAAAGACAGGATGTCGAAGAGGTGAAGCTAGTTTACCAGTTCTGCGCGACAAGATTTCGTAGTGTGAACTTATTTATCTTGACCCATCCGTAGTATTTAGCTCTTTGTGATTTGTGACACATGGAACAAATGACCGCCGCGTTGTGTTTCGTGTCAAGGATTCAGGACGTCCTCCAAGGTGGTCTACTGTAGTTGGGCCTACAACCTGACCCTGCTTCAGCACCTGCTGATCGGCTCCCTTTGTTCTTGCCACCTGCCTAGCCACGCACTGCGGGGTGTACTGTATCCTTGACAACGCAACAACCACAAGCCCAAATGTAGGAAAGATGGTTTGGGAAGGCAAGACGATGAGGGCTCACTGACCCAGGAAGGCCTAGAGCCGAGGGGTAGGTTGTGGCTGCATTCATTGAGGCTGCAGCTTTGGCACTGTCGCGCTAGGACCGCTAGGAGGCCTAAGCGCTGAGACTGTGACGTTGGTAAGGGAGCCGTGGCAACAGGGGCCCTGCAGACAACACGCAAGCAGCTTGAGCTCCGCTATGTTGCCACATTGCATAGATTAAACATCGGCGCCGTTGTGTCGCCCACTTCTTTGTGCACACAGCAAGTCACGACATGGCCTTCACGGCCTCTTGCATGTAAAGAACGTTCTTTGCAAAAACCTTCTTCGTTGTGAGGCCCCAGCTTTGGCACAGTTGCATCCGCTGGCCTGCACAACGGACAACATCCATGAAAAAGGAGGCTGACAAGCACAAGCCAGTGTTTTGGGGTCGGTCTCGTAATGGCCTGTGCCCTTACATTTCGTGACCTCTTCTGAGTGGGGCCCAGACTTTGGCACAGGCACAGTGGCCGCAGCGGGCACAGTTGCCGCAGCGGGCGCAGTTGCCGCAGGAGGCGCAGTTGCTGCGGGGGGCACAGTTGCCGGAGGCCTGGCAAAGAAGTTGAACCGTGCCATCATGCGCTTCTGATTCTGGCTGTGCCGATGAAGTTCGCCTTCCGGGCTCAGCGCTTGCGCTTGTGGCCTGCAGGGGAAGGCTGTACATTTAACCTCCCGCGCGCGCACACACACACACACACACACGCACCCCGAACTTCTCAACAGCCGGCTGTGTCATGATAATATTGTGCCGAGGTTCAGGGGGTGCCGGTGCAGCGGGTGCCGACGCATTGGGTGCTTTGGGTGCTGGGGGGGCCGGGGAAGGTGTTCCAGAAGTTGTGGGGGCAGGTCCGAGAGGTTGCGTGGGCGTTGTGGTCTTTGGTGCTGGCGTGGCCGCCGGAGGCCCTGGCAACGTTGGCGGAACTGCCGGAGGCTGGGGAGACGCCGCAAGCTTGGCCACTCCAGCAGGCGCTACAAAGGCAGTCGATGAGTCCGCAGCGCCTACGGTGTCCACCGACCTCGAAATTCCGACATATCAGTGGCATGCAGTGACACTACCCCGAAAACCACTCATGACACGAACTTGTGCTCCCAAACTCTGAGGATCTCACGCCGAAGCAGCCCGCTGCAGCATTGGTTGTGGTGCTTGAGCCTCAATGGCTTTAGCAGCCACTGGGGGACCCGAAGGAGGAGGCAAGGGTACAGGAGGCCCAGAGGAGGCCGGCAGCGCCGGCTTGGAAGGTGCGCCCGCAGGAGGAAGAGCCAGTGGTGCAGATACAGACGATGCAGACAGGCTGGCCGGTACAGCTGTTGATGCCGTCGCCGCTGCCTCGGCGAGCATCGTTCCGGCTGCTTCAGGCGCAGGTGAGGTCGAAGGAGCTGGCGCTGCCATCAGGTCTGGGCGGCACCGCTGCAGGAAAGATGCCAGTCCTCCTGCAAAGGCCCGTCGGGTCAGGGTAGTCTCGCGCTTTTCCGAGGGGTCTTTCTTCTGTGGACCTGTTGGCTTGGGTTGCGCCTGCGGTTGTTCCACCTTCTCCGCCTTCTCCTCAGCCTCGACCTCTTTGGCCTCTTCAGTCAAGGACGGGCGCTTTGCGCGCTGGGCATCTTTCGGGGAAAGGAGGGCGCCCCATTGCAGCTCCAAGTTGGAAGGCTCCGTGTTCCTCGGTTTCCGTGGGCGCGTCCTTTCCGTAGCCATGGACACCATGAAGCGCAGCCTCTCCTCTTCTGTCCGACATTGGGCGAGCATCTCCTTCAGCGCCTTCTGATAGTTCGGATCCATGGCACCCCAGCCGGGATCCGCAGGCTCTACGGGCTCTGCTGGTAGTGTGGCTTCCGACGGTTGCGGGGTGTCTTCTGGCAGGTCAAGGGGTTGCGGTCTTGGTGGCTCCGCCTTGGCCGGCACCTCCACTGCCTCGACTTGTCGGGGCTCTGCAGGCTTGGGCGGCTCAGGCGGCTGGCTGAGAATCTCCTCGCTGGGTTCCAGGGAAGGTTCCGGAGACGCCTGGCGGGGTGGAGGTGCGTCCTTGGTGACCACGTCCAGCAATGGTGCCGCCTGGGGCAATGTGCGCTTCACCCTCTACCGGCTGCATGCATCTGAACAGTCCATCTTCTGTTCAAGAACATGCTGGAACTGCTGCCTCACCCACCCTTCCCATTTGCCTGCGTTGGTTTTGGAAGCTTCCTGATTGCGTCGGCTGCCTCCAAACTTGCTGCTGTCGCCTTCGACACCTCACGCATGCAAAGGCCAGACTCGCAAGGCGCGCGTGGCCGCGCGAAATCTGTGAGCAATGTTTCAGAGACGACTGGTACAGCACACAATCGCACCAAGAGGGGGCAGGTGAGGCAAGAGACGGTGCTTTACAACAGAAGCCCGGCCTCAGCCTGCTGCACCGCCAGCTGCTGCTGAAACTCCTGATGACATACCCTCCACAACGCAATGACTGAGCCTAACTCCTTCTTCTGGATGTACTGGTTGTAAGTCCCCCCCCCAAATGGAACATCAACCGGCGTGGCACTCTAGACCTGAAAGCTTTTCAGCTTCTACCGAACCTCTGCTGCCCAACCCGCAACCTCAAGCCCAAACCTGATCACCCCCAACTTTCAAAACATCCGGCCCAATTTCAGGTTCAAGATTTGCCTTTCGGGCCCGGCAGGGCTGCAGACAAATTCCACTGAGATTGCTACAGGTTGGTTCGGCAAGAAACCCTCGCTAACAGGACAAAAACAATTGGCAACCTAACGCTCTTAGTAGGGAGGGGATCATGTAAGATCCCGAATTAACAAGTGACTTTCCTGCCAAGTTTAAGAGCGAGTCGGTCAAAGCCCTGGCCTCCTTTATCAGGGATTGGAGCTGCTTCAGCATCTCCGTGGAGTCCAGGCCCGCGTGCGCCGGCGGCGCGGGGGCCCCAGGCGGTCCGGGCACCTTGCGGGCGAAGAAAGGACGAAGAAGAAACAGGCTTCTGATTCCTAGGAGCTTGTAGTACGTAGGGACGTCGGGGTTCTGGCCCTTTTTTGGAGGCTGTTTGTTGGAGAACACCTGGACCTGAACCGGAACTGGCCTTTTCTGCAAGCAGCTTCTCCGAAGCGGCTTGCGCGGCTTTGCGGGCCACGTCGTCCAGGAGCTTCCTTTTGGTTGCCAAGGCGATGAGACGATGGCTGACATACATTTACTGCTGCAAGCCACACAAAGCAAGGCTTCGACCTGGTCTCTTCGTGCAAGTCCTCGATCCTGAAGGTGAGGTGTTTGCAGTCTCGCATTCTAGCCATGTCATGCACAGGCTCGTCAAGCCCGGATACATCTTATGAGGCCTTCGGTCCATGCGCTTCTCCAGCTCTGCTGGGTCGAACTCGGGGCCTGCCCAGCCGAAGGGATGTCACCGGGCCCAGAGGGGTCACGGAGGGTCGTGCGCCGGCATCGAGCTCTGAACATCTCCGCATGCACTCGCCACGCATACACTCGGCAGCAGCCTTTCGACGAAGGGGGGAGCGGCGGCTCGGCCTTGCCGGCGAAGGGGCTCTCTAGGTACACGTCACTCCCATCTACTGCAGCCACACTGTAGCCCACCACTCCTCCAGCATAGAAAGAATGCCCTTAGTCTAACAGCACCTCGACAGATGATTTTCGGAACCCCATTCCAGCAGCCTCGCGCGGGGCCGATTGTAGCCTGTGCAGAGATGCTGTCCACACACACGGCAAGAGCATGGTGAAATTCACTCGTCATCAGCCCTTGCTATCCTTGTCTCAGCCCTCCACTTTCCAACATCGTCGCGCATCCGTCCGAGATCTTCTGCAACTTGACCCTGCATTCGCTTCAATGCGTCCTGGAAATCTCGCCTCGGCGCATGCAGGGCCAAGGAAAGACAAGCAAGCCAGCAAGGGTAGCACATCCGCTGTCGGCATGCGCGGTGGACCCCTTCTGGCCGACACGGACGTGCGCAGAGAACTCAAGCCCAGCCTAAACCCTGAACCCTGAACCCTATGCTGCCCTATAAACCCTGAACTGAACCCTAAACCCTAAACCCTAAACCCCCTTTTCCAAGAGACTAAACCCCCTAAACCCTGAACCCTAAACCCTCAACCCTACTCCAAGGGTGCGGCTGCACCTCACCAAGCTGGGACTTGAGACTGCCCTCCAGCTGGTCGTGGAGCTTCTGAGTGGCACCCTCCAAGACCTGGCGCGGCTTTCGTTTGGGTGTTGGGGCCTTTGAGATTTTTTGAGGGTTTTCCTGCAGAATATTGCAAATATCCCCGGGTCTAATCGCTCACACTCGGATAAGTCTGGCGAGGCACAGAAGGTCCAAAGTCCTTATCGCGCACCGGTTAAGTTTTGGGGCTTGGCCGCGCCTTCAGCTACCGCACACCACCGCAGCAATTCAAGTCTAACCAACCCTTATCAAACAACACGCATCAACACATACCGGGGTCCACATCCCTCTGCTTTTCGATGCCGGCGCGTGCCGGGGCACTTTTTTGTGTGGGCAAGCACGGGGGGCACTGGTGGCCCCGAATTCGGGGCACTTTTGATGGGTGGCAAGCGAATTACCTGCTAGATCAGGAACATGCTGTTGATGATGGTCGTGTGGGCCAGCCGCGCCTTTCCGGCAGCGGAGTAAATCGTGAGAACAGATCTGTTCAGGACGTACGCAAGGCTCGCAGCCAGAACGATAGAGCCCTGAAACCGCCACAGCAGTGAAAACATCATCAGCTCCAGCAAGCCCAAATGCCACTCAAACCCTGTTGGCACACCCACGCCACACACGCGGAGCTCCGCACCATATGCCAAGGAAGAGGCCCACCCAAGCCCATTTGGATAAGAGATGCCATCTTGGTCCTTGTAGAAGATGGGATGCGGCAAAGCGCCAACTCCTCCAGATGGTCCGGTCCCCCAGAACCAATTGAAGTTGCTCCGGACCTGCAACACATCACCAGCCCCACGCATGACCGCATTCACCATGGCATCCACAAGCAGCTGAACATTGCACCGGTGCTGCGACATCTGTGCCACATCCTGTGAGATTGGCTTGGGCGGGTCTCTTCGGCGGATGGTGTCTTGAGTCTGCTGCACGTCCACAAACACCTTGCCCAGCTCCTGCCGAAAATGCGCAACATTGCCTGAGTCCCCCGAAAGACAGTCAGTTCATCACTAAATCAGTATTCCCTACCTATGTGTACTTATGTGATAGCCGCATTATAAGGAGCCGTTCTATAACATGGAATCTGTAGAGAGCTGGCCATGTTTTCGCTAACAAGCAGGGGAGATGTTGCAGAAGCTGGCGGCGAGTTTCCACTTGGAAGCTGCACCGCTGTATCGGGCGGCAGGAACATCTCGAAGGTCTGGCAGCCGTCGGGCGTGAGCCCTCTGCTAAATCCAATGCCCTTGTCCTCGTCATGCAGGACCCGTTCAAGCCTGGTCGTTCAGGAGAACCGGCCAGAAGCAAGGAACAAGGCCACACGGCCACACTCTTCCAACTCTACACGACGGCCCGAAAAAAAAAAAAAAAAAACGAGCTTTCTGGACCTCCGAGCGACTCCGTGTGGCCCCAGTCTCCGCGGCTGCTGGGCGCCTTGCCGTGAATGTAGTAGCCGTGGAAGGGCTCATCCAGGATGAACCTCAAGTTATCGCTGCTGGACCCCTCATACATGGTTGGCATTCACAAGAAGAAGCAACTCATAACTCGTGCAACAAAGTCATGAGCAGTATTGCGCGATCAAGAGGCACGGACACGTTGGCAATCGAACATACATCAACGAAGTCGGTCAAGTCGTGACCGAGGAAGATGCTTCCGATGCGCTGGAGAAGGAACTGGAGGACCAACACGAACATCCACACACTCACTCCCAAGGCAAACTGTAGAAAAGGGTTGAACTCTGCCGCAAGAGATGAAAGCTCGCTCTCGAAGTGCGTGTTCCATCTGGCGGCGCTCATCCAGTTGCACCCTTCCAGCAGGGCTACCATGGACAACCAGGTCACTTCTGGGACTGCACGTATACAGGATAAGCGCTCGTTCAACTCATTGCAGACGAACAAAGTCCTCCATGCAGAAATACCAGAGTCAGGAATGGCCACTTCCATGCTGTTGTCCTTTGGGGGGAAGCCCTGAGCAAAACCTCCACTAAGCAAGGGGGCGCCAACCAGCTGGCTTCCTGGTGCTGGGGGCGCAGGTGGCGTGGGGCCGGGTGGTGGCGGAGGTGGTGGAGACGGCAAGGTCGGCGCCACCAATGTCTCGCCGCCACGAGGCTTCTCCCAGTCAACCAAGAAGAAGAAAACACGAAGGTGCCTCCATAAGCCAAAGCTGACTGTGAAGATAGCCAAACAAAAGACAAGAACCAACATGACATCGTGAGCTTCGTACTGCCCTCCTCCCAGGGCAGATGGGAGGAGCAGGAGCGGCACGTTCTGTCCTTTGAACATGATCAACCAGAAGAGGGTCATGAAATACTGGAACCAGAAGAGTATGGAGCATGTTGTTGAACACAGCACCAGAACCTGCAGCACTAGCCGCGGAGCAAAAAGATGCGGGTCAGGATACACCGCCACATTGGGATATCGCTGATTGAGCAGACAAAGCCTGAACGTTACCAGTCCAAGCAATACCAGGATGAGCAGCACGAACAGAACTGTGACTGCAATCCAATAGCCCGAGGCGTCCATCGTGTACTCTGCAGCGAAACTGCCTGGCACTGTGGTGTCCTCCTGCAAGTTGTCCGTTCTCTTCTCGGCATAAGCGATGCTGAGAACAGGAACGTATATCTGCCCATCCCCTTCAGGCCGCACGCGGACCTGGACCGCCAGATGCGCCGCCCACCGCACCACCCGCAAGTAGCCAGTGCCAGAGAGATAGGCCTGGCCTGGACCGCCTGGGCCGCTCTCTCGCCCGGAGACCGCGTCGCAGAGGAGGAACCGGCGGACAAGCACGTCGTTGTTGAGGTCGTTCTCGCCAAGGTTCAGGTTGGGGCGCTGCCCATTCTGGACGAGATTCAAGATTCGAACCGGCACTGGAACCAAGGTCCCGTCGGTATTCTCGACAAAGAGATCGTAAAGAATCGGGTTGGCACCGCATTCGAGAACACTCCGGGCCAAGATGTTGCACTCTGAACGGAGCGAGCTTCCGAAGCGCCGCCAAGCTGAGGGCAGGCTCCGCGGCTGCTTCGATGTGGATACGAAGTTGGTGCAAGGATCCAGTTGCGACTCCAGCTTTGTCCATCCGAGCCACAACCCTTCCAAAGAATATGAAGCCAGCCAGAATACCAGTACGTCGGCAAAGGTATACCTCCAGTTCAGGCTTGCATCTTGAAGTGTCTGCGAGGGGCGCTGGGGACTGTAGTATAGCCAAGGCATGCCCTCCACTGCGGAATTCTCTCTCAGGCGGGTCTTGCCCTGATAGAGATCCAAGACGAGATTGCAGACTGTTGCTTGGTCGTCATAGAGCTGCAACACGCACAGGTTTGAGATGCACTGACAGGCCGTGGCATTGCCCCGGAGGCACCCCACGCTGCATCGAATATACAGCCACTTCATCGCAGCGCTGGTGACACGTACGTCCTGGCCGGCCGAGTCCAGGCTCAGGGTCTGTAGAGTGCTGCCTGTGCGAGCCTCGATGCCCAGGAACTGCCCAAAGGGGCCGGACTGCCACCAGCTCTCACGCCCATCGATGAGGTCACGGAAGTCTACATTCACAGCAGCAGACTCAGGAAATCTGTCGTTGATCTCGTTGAACTCCGCCGCACTGACACAAGATCCGCCGGCATCCAAGTAGCCATCGTTCGTTGTGCCCTGCCGGCAAACACATTGGCCGGTAGACGCCTGCCGATACATCCGCTCGAAGTCCGAGCACGGATTGCAGTCGTAGTTCGGGAGTGGCTCAGAACTGGGGCTAAACAGAATACCTGGAGCGCACTTCACGCATGTTTTCTGAAGCTGGTAGGAACCATCGCTGGTCCTCTCTTTTAGGGCACTGCCCTCTGGGCACACGCAGTCTCCCCACTTGTCGGAATAGCCTGCCGTCGTCTCCGGGTCAGCATCATCCACCAGACAGGGAAGACAGCGCGTGCGGTCCTGCGTTGGAGCCATGAGCTGCCCATTGCTGGCAAACGGGCACGGCCGGCACTGGAAGGGTCCCTCTGCCACGAAGCTCGACAAGGAGGCCCCTGGGGCACCTACCGAACCATTTGAAGTGGAATTTGGGACACTTGGGGCATTTGCAGCGAAGCACTCATCGCCACCATCGCACTGGACAAAACCATTCGAGCACTGGCACTGGTCTGTTCCCAGACGCTCTAGCTCTTGGCCAAGCACAGCTGCATCAGCTTGTGGGGACAAGGTCCTAACCAGCCGCGCTTGGACATCAATTTCTGTGCAGCTTGCGCACTGCAAGCGCACTGCATCGAAGTATTGGCCAGACTCCAGGCAAGACTTGGAGGGGTCAACTTGGCCTCCAACTTGCCATAGCCCTGCTAGCACCCAGGCTAACACCAACGAAGGCCATCGAATACGCCTCATTAGGGGTGCAGGCTGGCGCCGGAACCACTTAGAAAGTTGCTGCTGAATCAGTTCAATGCTGTGCCGTTCTAGGTCGTTCCAAAGCAGTACGGCATCCACAAGTTGACATCCCTAACCACAATCCCACGAGTTCCTTGTCCTTTGTGGGTTTTTGTACCTCTTTTGGACCTAGGAAGCAAATCAGCTGCGGGTTGGGCTTCTCCAGGTCAGCTCGCAGGACAACCAAGCACAGGACCGTAAAAGCAGAGGTGACAGCCATAGTACAACTTTAGCACACGCGCAACTGCAGCAGTCGAGATTCACTTGTACTTGCTGAAAAGGTTGCACGATCGAGCAGACTTCAGCCTAGATGGTGGCCAGCCCTTTCGAAGCTTCCGGCACGTTGCAAGCTCACGGTCTCCTTTTGCCTTGCCTGAAGCATCCTGGGCAGCCTAGCGCACTACACTCACTGAGGGAGCCTTTGGCTGTGCAAAGAAGTCGTCACTGGTCAGGCGCTGGCCTGCGAAGTTCAAGCGCTTGTTACCGTTGTGATTCAGCCCACAGAGTTCACAAACCACATCGCAAGGCTTTACACCATTCAAGCCCAGGCCTGCGCCACCTTTGCCGCTTTTGGCCCCGACCCGCAGGTACCGCAGGTCTTGGGGCAGTTCAGTTGTGCCCAGAATTTCTCGCAAGCCTCCGACAGTGTATGTACTGTCGGCGCAGCTTTGGTGTGGGAGTGTGGGAGTCCAGCTCTCCAGCTCTACAGCTCTAGCCCTTGCATCGCTGGCCACTCCCTCCCTGCTCCGGCTGAGTTTGTCCTCCTTGGAGAGCGCCCCACTCATGGTTCGTCGACCATTGCCGACACGCAAACGTTGCATTCTCGGTCCAATCTGGCAGCCATGTGTCCTGAGCTGCCGCATGGCCAACTGGGGAAACTCTAGATCACACAGTCGTGACGATGGCTTCCGTGCTGCCACGACGCTGCGCAACCTGCCGACCAGTTTGCGGAGCGGACTGCCGGACCTGCGCCACAAAAACTGAGGACACAAACTTGTGCAGGCATGCCAGCCGAGGGCATTTGCGTGTTCAAATCGGAGTCAACACGAGGAAAGGCAGAAGAACCCCACGACCGACCCTGTAGCGGGCGCTGGTAGAGCTTCCAGAAATGGCTCGTCTCATGCCTCGCCGACTCGCAGCTCTCCTGTGAGCGCAGGCGAAGGAGTCCAGTGGCAGCACATTGCACATCGCAAATACTTGCAGGAACCTTTGCCATCTGAGATTTTTGCCGCCCAGTTGCAAAGCTTATGCACCGCTCCGGATGTAGGTCTTCCCTGTCAAAAGGAGCAGAAACATGTGGCGACGCGATTGAGCAGAGAAGGCCGACCTGTGGGCATAGAAGCTGTGGTTGAGCTTCTGCGCAAACTGCTGGCAGTCTTCCCGCGACGTAACATACCTCAATAGACTGTTCACGGCCGACTGCGGAGCCCGACGAAATCAAGCTGACGTGTCCCTTGTCGCAAGTCGAGCCAAGAAGCAGGAAGGGGGCTGAATAGCACAGAACTCCGGACCTTGGAGAAGTGTGTTTCTTGCCAATCTTCCCCAACAACCCTGATTTTCAGGAGGTGCTCACCTGTGGTCCTACTTGTCAGTGCTCATTGCTGCCTCACTGGGTTCAGTCAATTCAGCTGCTGAAGAGCTTGCAGCTAGACTTTGTGTGCGGCTTCGTGACCCCAGCTGCGGCCATGCAAAGTCTTCAGTCTCGAAACCTCGACATGGGTAGGCTAGCAAGGGTGCCAAAACCACGCGCGAGTTGGCGACAATAATCCGGTACATGCACAGTTCGTGCCTTGCTCATTGTGGTCTGCGCCTACGGCATGATGCCTCACCTTGGCAAGTTGGTTGGTATCGTCGTGCAAGTGCAATCAACTCCGCGCAGGCAATGGAGGCTAGTGGAGGCTATACGAAGCCTATACCACGCGGCAACGAAAACGACCATCCGTTTTGAGCATGCTGCTTCGATCTCTGTGTCTCTGTGGGCATCTTGCAGCTCTAAACCCTAAAACCCTAAACCCTAAACCCGTTTTGACCCCGCGAGCTCTGCCGGGTTTCACAGCTGTCCAAGCAGCCCTCATGCCCTAAACCCGAAACCCTAAACTCTAACCATCTAAGGCCAGGACGTCCCCTGCCAGTGACCACTGCCAGGCCAAGATGAAGGCCAAGGCTGACGGGCCCTCGAACAGCCTGCGGACCCCTAAACCCTAAACCCTGAACCCTGAACCCTAAACCCTAAACCCTGAACCCTGAACCCTAAACCCTAAACCCTAAACCCTATTCAAACCATGCCAGACGACTTCGCATGGTTGGGTTGCTTTGTTTCTTTTTGTTCGGCTTCTGTGGGCTGCTGAGGTGACACTGAGGTGCCCCTCTGCCTGTTGCTCGCTGCGCTTTGTGGAGCGGAAGAAGGCGACCTACGCAGAAGGTGGAGCTGCGGTAGAGAAGCTCATGGTTTGTTTTCTGGCCGCTGCTTTCCTGCTTTTCCGCAATATTCTGCTCCTCATCTTTTGAAAAAAGTACCCTCGCGAGGTTAAAGTTGGAAAGCATTCGGACGCCGGCGGTTTTTGAATAACATTCTTTCAGGGGGCAGCCCTGTCTTTCAGCATATATATTTTAAAAGGCCTAAAGGCAATTAACTTTGCCTTTCATCAGCTGACAAGCCTTGCTTGGAACTTGAATTTGCCTGTGGTGCAGGTGTTGCGCAGCTGTGGCGGCGACATGATTTGGGGTTTGCAAAGCTGCAATTCATAATAAGGGCGGGGAACTACTCCTTTAAGGGTCAAAGGGAAGAGAGCATTCTGTACTAGGTTTCAATTGTTATCTGGCCGCTTTCCTTGTCTAGTCTCGCGAGCCCCATCTTTATCCAGGTACGGGTTCTGTTTCTTTACCCGGGCAAAGAACCGAACCGTTAGAATAGAAAGAAACCCTCCAATTGCCTTGCTTCCAGGCCCAGAACTACTTCTGAAAAGACCTGCAAGTCCGGGCAGTGGAGAAGAAAGAACGAAAACATCCAATTATAAATAGAGCCACAGAACTTTAGGAACGCCCAGTTAGCCTATCAGATCCTTCCAGCCTTTGACTTGGGTCGCTGACGAGGGCAGCCACTCGATGCATGTGTTAATTGCACTGATTTCGATAACAATGTAACAATACAATATCATAATCTGCGAATATAGTACATTTTTTAATGATACAATATGGTACTAATATGAATACACAATACTAGTAAGGCAGGTGGGACCCAGGCCTCCTTTCGGTCATCTCCCTGCTCCATGCCATCAGATTGCAAGCGCGCGCATGATACCTCCATCCATCTCCCTCTTGATGGTGCTGCAGTGACGCGGTATGCACCCTAAGTAAGCTTCGCTAAGCTCCGAGTCACTTGTCACCCCCTACAACACTCCCCCTCGAACAAATTCGAAGCGTGAGAACGCGGCAAGCCGCGGCAGGCCTTGAGTGGAAAAGACGCTGCGGCTCACGCATCCTAGGACTCCAGCAAACCCCGCCTTCCTTCAAAGATGCCTTGCCCCACCCCACCCCCCCCTCCCCCCGGGGCCTCCGAAATGTCAGCAGCCTCCAGGCCTGCTCTGAGCTACGCGGATGTGCTTGGCCGACAGATTCCAGGAGCCTTCAGCTATTCTACTCCATTCAATTCCCAGCACACTGCCGCCTGGACCCCTCACTGGGCTAAGCTCGGCAGGCTCGTGGGGCACAGGTGACATAGCTTTCTCTGGCACCTCAGCAGAACCAGAACATCCTACGAGTAGTTACACACCACCTGGAACATTGCTCCCCCCGTGTCACGCTTAGAAAGTGCAGGCCTGGAAGGCGTCCGCCATGTGCCTCCTCAGCAAGTGCTCGTTGAGGTACTGCTCCGACCTGAAAACCCCCAAGCTGCGTCCAAGCGATGCCCAAACGACAAGTTGCAGAGCTAAGCCACGTGCTGAAAACGCTTGGAGCAATACTGGCACTTGCGAGCCACCTGGGTTGCCATGAAGTCACAGTAGTTATCAGTACTTTCAATTCTACATCTAGCAGGCCAGAAGACAGCTTCAAATCCTCGCCGCTCCCCAGCCCTGGACAACTTGGACCCGAATCCACTGAAATACAACCCAAAAGCCTGGACTCCTAACGTCCCCCCCCCCCCCCCCAAAAAAAAAAGAAGCGAGCAAGAAAAGGAACAGCCAGTCCTAACTCTTGCCAGGGCCCAGACGCCTAGCGGTGGCCCGCGGGGCTCTCGAGGGGAGCTCCGTCGGGGCCTGTTTTCTCTCTGGACCCCCCGGCTTTTGGAGGCTTTTGGGATGCTTTTGGTAGCCCCCCCACATGCCTCCCCCGGGTTCCGACTCTCAGGCTCAAGGAAGGCAAGGCTTGGGTTCGCAGGTCTGAGTTGAGGTTCTGGGGTTTTGGGCTTTGGGTTTATTCGCCTGCTCCGCCGCCGGCCAGCATCCGTAGCCTTCAGCTGCGCTGCCTCACCACAGCGGGGCCAAGGCAGACATGGCCCTATGACCGTTTCAGCTTTCAAGAGATTGATGCGCAAAGCACTTTGCTGTGGTTTATCGGCTGGCCTGAACGCGAACTCGCTCGGAGAGTCCCTCCGTAGGGATGCATCGTGGATTTCATCTCAATATGGGGGCCAAGCTCTTAGTTGACGATTGCGAACTAGTTCGGGCACGCCTGGATCAGTTGCTGCGAGGACGCGCACATGTAGTTCAGGAACTCCATGCAAAGCTGCGCCAGCTGCACTACCTTCAGGAAAGTCGTGCAAGCACCTCCCCCTGCCCATGGCGACGAACAGCTTCTCCAATCAGAGTCCATGAAGAAACAGCTGCGGCTGCGCCTTGATGAGGCCATCATCGCTAGTCACATCCAGGTCCTCGCGGCTGAAGCGCGAGTAGGTGATGTTGTCCATGTACGCCTGGGAGTTGTAGACAATACCTAAAAAACACCCATCAGCACGCCATATCAAAACTAGCGCCAAGTGTGTGATGGGCCACTCCCACTCCCACGGCCTGAATGGTGTCAACATCACCTTCGCGAACGACTCTGTCCAAATCCAGAGAATGCAGTAGCCTCCAGTTGATACCTCGAACGGGACGTGCAGGCACTAAGGCCATTTGTAAGGCACTGTTGATGTCCTGTCAATGGCCTGTGGCCTCTTCTATCTAGCATAGTGTGGGCACGCCCTGTGCGAGGCCGGAAGATGAACTTTGGCAAGGACCTCAGGTGTTCTTGACCGTGCTGAGTCATGCCTAGACGAAAGCTCTGGCGTTTCGTTCTGAACTTGATACCCAAAAAACTCACTACGAAACCGGTCTCCAGCTTCAGGGAGAGGTGGTCTGATGGCCTGCTTGGGATGAGCCGCGCAGGGTAAGAGTACACCTTGGGCTCCGGGCGTGAACTTGTGTGCGAGGCTGGGATATGCACCTGAAGGGAAGGAGGAGAGAGATCAGGAGATTGGAGAAAGAAAAGGACAAAGAGACTGGCGTGAAACATGGTAACATGAAGGCCTTCAGCATCCTTCAGCAACTCGTCGGCTGCAGGAAGCACCTTGTCTGCAAGGTACGTCGTGCTGTACTTCCGCCACACAGCACCATAGCCCATGTCTATTCTGGTCCACGCATGTCCAATGCCATGATGTGCTTTACTCCGTGTACATGCCGAACTATATCTGACCGACATGGTGCTACACTGGCCTACACTATGCCGCGCCAGCTGTGCTACCCTGTGCAAGCCCACTGCGCGGCACCTTGCCACACAATGTCACACTATGTCACACTACACGATGCTCTACTACACATGTCGATGCGGCGCCAGCAGGCACCAAAACACACACTTCGCCAATCTTCACCACACCACTCTCGGACTCCCAGGTTTCACCATCCCTTCCAGAGACTTTCCAAAGGCTGAAGAATAACCCCTGCGCCACCGGTTCCCACTGCACAAAAGAGCGTAATAAATAACATCTCCGAACTTTGATGTGGGCCTTGGGTGCGAGGTCATTTACCAGGTTCCTGTTGCGAATTAACCCTCTTCCATGGCGATGCTCAGCCAGGCACGGTCCGAAGCAGCGCAACCCCCGAGGTCAATGGATGCCCTGCAAACAAGTGCTTTCGAACCAAACTGTCGGCTACCCACTGCCAAGACATTCCACAGAGGATGCACACATTTTTGGGCAGAGCAGACACTTTGCAGATGTGTCATGTGACTGTGTCATCTGCAGACGCAGCCATGAACGGCAGATTCGTAGCATCATATACGCCCTTCAGCTCAACACGCTGGGTCTCTAGTGGTCGCGAGTCTCGGCACGGAAAGTGCACTGAGAACAGGCGACGCTGAGCTAGGTGACGAAGATCGGAGCGAAGCGTGTCGCGAGAGTAGCGGATGTAGCACTGGCTCAGTCTGGTCTTCGACGGTATCTTGGCACATTGGTGCGAGGAACCCCTCCTGGACTCTGGCGAAGTCGGCCATGTTGCACCTTTGGCGATTTCAAGCAGAGAAACCACAGCCTGATCGTGGAGACCGTTCAGGTTAGGTCACAGCTGAACTCCGCTTTGGCTGGCCGGCAGCATCATCGGCCGCCCGTAAATATGCATCCTGGTCTGAGACCACACCTAAAGCGAAGTCGTTGGATGCTTTGACAAACTTCGCCAAATTCCGTCCTGTATAAACTACAGCATCACGCTCCTCGACAGAAAATGCACGGAATCCGTGCAACTTGAACAGCAGAGAGAATGCGGTCTGATCATCGTTGTTGTTCCTGAAAGATGGATACTCAGGAAATCCGAGCACAGAAGGCTCCTCAGTCATTATCCGTCGGTCCTCACACGCAGCCAACCACTTCTCCAGAAAGGATACTGCCAACCGCGTTTTTCGAACCAAAATGATGCCAGTTGCAATCTGGTTTGTTTCCATTATACTGGGAACATCTGCATCCAGTAGAATGAAGGCATCCCGTTTGGAGAAGTCGCCCTCATTCATGGGAGTCCTCAGTGTAGAATCTCTATTCTTGTCACGCATAGCTGGACCCACCACTCAGCAAAACTGTTCGGATGGACTTTGCATTGAAAACCTACGCAGACCAGCAGCTCACCACAGGGTTCAGGGTTCTTGGGCTGCGGATGAAGTATGGTGGAACTGGGTCCTTGTCGCAGAGACATCTGAATCGCGCAGGAACTCCTGAACGAGCGGGCGCATATCGCCTAGGTTGAAGTGACAAGGCTGAGGCACCCATCAGGCATCATGAATCTGTAAAGGCATAAGGCTTAGACTGCAGATTGCTTAAAAAAGTGACGAGGCACCGACAAAATAGATTCCTGCATCTGTCCAAACAACAACGGTCGTCTCCCACGGAAGGGTGGGATCCAGCACAGTCTGGAGGATGACATACGGCTTCCTTGCAAGAAAGGGCTCCAAGAGCCTCTACGTCATCCTACAGCTCATCACATCTCATCACGCATATGGCCCGATGCAAAACAAGCGTCCAGACATAATACCCGACCTTGCCGGAAGGAGTCTTGTGTTGAGTGAGCTCTGGAGTCCGATTGAACGTCAGCAGAACCTGCAGGGACTCTGCGAACTCTGTGTCTTTGGGGCGGCTTTAGGGTCGAGCCAAGGCCAGCCTCGTTCTTCCGTCGGAAGTCCTCGTCCAAAAAGTCGCCTGTGCAGGAAGGTCGCAGTTTGTGGAGCTGAGAGGTGTCGGTTTCTAAACCTGCGAAGACATGCCTGGGTCGAGGGAGTGGCAACACAAGTGGCAATGAGCCTAGTTCCAGCCCAAGCTCCGGCTGTTAGATGTTGCGAAAAACCGAATCTGCCGCTAATGCCCAGATTTCTTTTCAACACGGTGGACTAAATGGTCCCAATGCTCGGTGCTCCACCAGCGTCACAATGAGAAAGGCCGCGCTTTCTCCACAATGGCCAAAGGCCACCTTTATAGCCATAATCCATAACCCTAAACACTAAACCCCCTTTCTTGACCACCTCAAACCCTATAAACCCCTTGCAAAGAGCTTCTAAGCCCATACAAGGACACCCTGTATACACTCGCCGCTTTTTGCTTCACCCTAAACCCTAAACCCTAAACCCTAAACCCTAAACCCTAAACCCTAAACCCTAAACCCTAAACCCTAAACCCTAAACCCTAAACCCTAAACTAAGCCCTAAGCCCTAAACCCTAAACCCTAAACCCTAAACCCTACGTTCCCTTCTTGCCTCGTAGCGCCCGGCTCTCGGAGGCGCCCAAGCGCCGTGCCGACTCGGAGCTCTGGGCCTCCGAGCGCTTTCGGGCTCTGAGGGCTCAGAGGGTTTAGGGTTTAGGGTTGGTTTAGGGTTTAGGGTTTAGGGTTTAGGGTTTGGGGTTTGGGGTTTAGGGTTTAGGGTTTAGGGTTTAGGGTTTAGGGTTTTTTTGCCACCCGTCTAGGGTTTAGGGTTTAGGGTTTAGGGTTTCGGGTTTAGGGTTTCGGGTTTAGGGTTTAGGGTTTCGGCTCTCGCACTCACAAGGCAGGCAAGGACTCGGTCGCAAGGGTTTAGGGTTTAGGGTTCAGGGTTCAGGGTTTAGGGCTCAGAGGGTTTAGGGCTCTGAGGGTTTTGTGGGTTTGGGGAGTTGAGGATTTCGGAGTTTTTTGCCGCCCGACTAGCCACAGCCATGCAGGGTTTTGGAGTTGAGGGTTTCGAGGGTTATTGGGTCCGAGGAGGGTTTGGGGAGTTTGTGCCACCCGCCAGACCGCAACGTTCGATGGGGTGTCTCATCAGCTGCAGTCATGACTCCAGCCTAGCAGCAATCTTGGCACCCACTCTTTCACAACAGAGGCGTTCCCCACAGACCAACACAACATAGGAGAACATGCTCTTGCGAGCAGTTGTGGCTGAACAAGCCTTTGCCTGTGCAAAGAGTTTTGATTCGACTGGCTCGCCTGCTCCCTCTCGCAGCAGCCGTCGGCGAAATTCACGTGCACAATTCGCTTCGCGGGGGTTGCGTTGCAGCCTGCGAGGGTCTGAACTGCGTTGAGTTTTTTTTGGACCCGGCCCACAGGCCTAGATCTTCGCAGACCTTGACGAAGCTCCACTCCTAAAAAAAAACACAGCACACCGCTGTCAAAAACCTGATGACACAGCAGCTCATGCCCACTGACCACCAAACGGCCCCAAACACGTGATAGCAGCCAGCAGCGACCGGCAAAAAAACATCACTGTTCAAGAACTTAAGATCGAAAAGCTAAGTCCGGGTCCCCAGTCGGGGACGGTGCAAGGAAGGGTGAACCCTTCCGAAGTGTGCAGCTCTCCTTTTCGGTGCCTTCGCAGGTGATACCCCTGCCTCAGTGTGGCTGTAGACTTTCCGAAACCCTAATCCGGCAACAGCCAAGAGCAACCACCAGTACACTCAATCAAACCTCCGTGTGCCTGCCTGCATTAAGACATTACAGCATTTTTGGTTGAAGCCCAGCCACAAGCTGCACCAAAGTGAAGGCACTTGCACAGTGCTTTTTCTGCTTGGTGGAAGACCTCCTCGGGAGACACTCCAAAAAACTTGGCACAACCTGATCCGACTGTGAAGGCAGCCAAAGTCCATCGGAGCAGGACACCCCCGCCACCATGCTCTGCAGCCCCCACCGCTGCAGCTGAGGATCTTCAGAATCTGCGTAGCCACCCAGAAATGCTTCTTGCGCCTGGTCTCCATGCTGCGGGCCGCACGGGCGAATCAGTTGAAAATCTAGATGCTTCTTCACTCAAAACCACTTCAAGATCACCCCAAGGGGCCGACAGCAACGTCTGCACTTGAGGCAAAAGCGCCGTGTTCAATGCAAGCACTTCCCCTTGATTTCACGGGACCTTTTCGTGACAAAGAGCGCAAAAGTTTCGAGGTCGAGGTAGGAGCACCATTTCGAGCGCGGAATGTGTGGAACCCCATAATGTTGGGACACTGTTTGAGTAAACCGACGACTTTCGAGCCACTAGATTTGGAGACGACCTTCTGCCGGAACCTCGGAATCGTGAATCCATATGGTTTGGGAATGCTTGCGTAACACACGAAAACCGCAGGCCAGAGGAGTCAAAAGTTCTGCGCCCTGTGTCTGGGCATCGAGCGAGAGCCGACATCCCGGAAGCGCGCCACATACGCGTCCCGCGCCCTCACGGCAACCTAAACGTAGGTCTCACCCTTGATGTTGGGACCCCATGGTGCTGCTTAATCGCAAAAAAACATACTGAGATTTAGCCCAGCCACATAGTGCCACGAACACGGCTCCTCTGTGTAGCCCTCTGCATGCTGTCGGTAGGCGCCTGAGGTCAGGAAAGCGGGATCTCACGACTCTCTCGTGCTGAGATGTACGGGTTCTTTACAAGAGTTTTACAAGACTGCTCTGCTTCCCTAAATCTGCCCCGGCACGATCCGTCGGCCGTCTCGGCGAGATGGACTTCCGGGTTTTGAGAAGAATCTGGCGTTGCTGCTCCGAGTCTCCAGTTCGCAAGGCCTCCTGATAAAGAAACTAGGTGAAAGCCCTGCCTTGCTTGGGCAACATGAAGTGGGCTAGCAACAAACCGTCATAAACGCAAGTACCCGAGCGCAAACCTCATCGTTTATTTCCTATTCCTCGTCGTTGTACAAAGTAAATCACACATCCAGGGTAGCACGGCTATGATGTCACACAGTAGTACATCTGAAGTACTGGATATGTGTGGGTAGCACCGCGGCTCCGCGTCTGTGAGCCGGCTGGCTTTCATTGCTCTGTACTGGAATCGACGTTTCCGTGAGCCGGCTGGTGTTTTTTGCTTCGTAGTACAACCTTAGTACTGGAATCGACGTTTCCGTGAGCCGGCTGGTTTTCCATTGCTGTGCTACAAGCTTCGTACTGGAGTCGAAATTTCCCTGAGCCGGCTGGTTTTGTGTTGCTTTGCGCTCAGTGATGCGGCCAAGCTGCAAGAAGGTACACACGGTCGGCTTCATGCAGAAAGCCATTGATCTCGAAGGAGAGGACGTTCTCAAATTCTCCAAACCAGCCATCCGTGCCCACAAACTTCTGCTCCGCATCTAGTTCGCCCAACACGATGCGAGGGACACCCTCGGCTGCTGGGGCATTCTAGCTCTCCGCCTCCTCTCTTTCTGTCTGTCTGTCTTTTCTTTTTGTTCTTTCTTGATTTCTTTCTATCTGTCTCTCTCTCTTTCTTTCTTTCCTTTCCGTTCCTTTCCGTTCCCTTTCTTGTCTTTTCTTTTCTTGTCTTTTCTTTTCTTTTCTTTCGGTCAGGACCGCGAACAGCACCCGGCCTCCGAAGCGGGCAGCATTGACACTGAAGGCACCAGGTCCAAGCGATCGGGGAAGATCATGAACTGAAGGCCGCCTCGTGACTTGGGAGGCATGGGGTTGCTCAGAGGCCAATAAAAAACGACACTAGGAACGTGGGGCCGTTCGGATTCGAAGAACCTTCCATTTCATGCCTGGTCACGTGCCTCGTGTGCGAATGGGAAAGTGCAAAGCCAGAGCAAAAATGTGCGCAGCCACTCGAAAGACGCCCGAGTCGGCCTCACAGGGAGTGGCCATCTCCTTACCCATCTACCCATGACCCTCGAGCACTCGCAAGCCCCTACCATGTACTATGTAATGTGAGCTTCACTTACGTTTCCCCCCCTGTGGTACTGAGTCTTTCACATCATTCGGCTCACCCTGTTTGCCAGGATCCCGGTGTGTGTTGGATGTCTCGAGCCATGGGGAAATTTCGGCGAGGTTATCAAGCCGGCCCGCAAGCCTTGAAATCCCGAGCGTGGCCCCCCAAGACCTCCTTCCGCACGAAAATAGTTTCAGGGTGGGGGTTTGGGGGATGCCGCATTACACCGAATTCAACGTTAGGCCCAACTTCTTTCCCACATACTGTTGAGGTGCTGGCTGCCCGAGCCTGATGAACATGAGAGTGGGCTTTACCAAGAATGGCGCATAGAACTCGTCGGCCAAGTACAGGTCTGCCATTCCAGGAGCAACGCAGAAGTGCTGGCACGACTCCCGATAGGCCGGAGGGCTCAGCCGGCCTTCAGCAGCGAGAGGCAGCCACTGGAAGGGGTCTTGAAGGAAGGTCAGGTGGAAGTCAAACCACAGGACAGCCAGATCCAGCTGAAGCCCAATGTAGATGTACAGGTACTGGGCCCTCTGCTGAAACCGCGACACGTATGGAAGGCAGGGTGACCAGTTCTCTGGCACTGCCGACCGGGCTGCAAAAACTTCCGCGATCTTGGAGCAGGCTTGCGTCACGTTCGGGTAGAGGGGTGCAACCACAAGAGGGGCTAGGTAGCCGAGCTTGTCGGCATGCTTGAAGAGGTCCAGAAGGTGATCCACCCTTTGGTGAGGCAAACCTTCACAAAAGCACAAAAAGGGAAGGCTGGCGCCACCAAGCTCTAAGTCTGCTTTGCTCCGACTCAGACTTCCAGAAGGTTAGTGCTTTTGACACAGGGGCGTGGTAGTGATTGCCGGCAAAACACCCCCCTTAATCTTGCGGAGCCTGGTAAGCATCAAGTCTCCCCGAAGTCACTAAGCTGCTGCTTGAAAACCGGCGAGCTCAGGGCTTACAGGTTCTCAGGGTCGCACAGAAAGAGGTCTCAAAAAAGCTTAGGGGCTTAGGTGTTCCGAAAGGGTTCCCGCCCAGCACCTGGGGTGCATAAAAATACCCAACATTAAGCTTGGAAGCGCTTTCAGATCCCAAGGACGCAAGCGCCTTCAGAGCCAAACAAATACGAAACACATCTTGAAAGCCCCAAATGCCCCCAAAGCCCCACTTGCGCCTGTTAGGAGAACCATGGGTGTGCCACCAGCCCGTTCCCCACGCGCCGCGGCGCTCCGCAGCAAGCGCGCCACGCGGGACCACGTCTCCGAGCGCTGGGCATTGCTGCCGCGGCCCTGAAGATGCTCTCCCTCTCTCACTAACACACGGCAGGCAAAGCTTCGGTCCACTCAGGATCTTCAAGGTTTCGGCTCTCTCGCCAGCTCCATACTGTACCATGTTATCGGGCCTACGTCACGGGCAAGACTGGCAAGAAACGACGCTGAGCCTCCAAGTCTCCCGGAGAAACTTGTACGTCGTGGAAGGTCCGTTTCATGAGGCCTGAGCCGGAAGCCAGAGGCAAATATGTGTGTATGTGTGTATATATATATACACTAAGAAAAAGTATGTTTAAATCTATTTATACATTTGCCTGTATACTGGTATGCACATAGTACATTCTCATATGTATATGTATTGAATGTATTGTGCCATATTATTTATTATGTATCATACACATATGTGTGTATCTGAGGACCACGAAAGCTAGCCTAGCTTCTCAGCGACACAAAGGCAGCAAAACTGGCGGCTAAGACCCCATCTTCCCCCCCCCCTCCCCCTCCTTCCCCTTTCTTGCGTCATGACGATCCCACCCCTCTTCCACTCCCCCCTTTCCTCCTCCACATTTCCTCTTCGTTCATCTGACCTTCTTGTTGTTTTACACACCCACCATACACTATGTATCTGATATACGCTACGTAACCTGAAGTCCATATGTACCTATATACTCTTCATGAGTACGATCTACCCTGGTCTCTGCGTACCCTGTACACACTACACTACATACCCCATTTATAGCTCAAGCTCCCGTGTAACCCTCAAGTATACCCCAAAGCGCTGATGGAGACCGCGACTCCAAACGCCTGACATATCAAGATGTACGAACACTCGCGCAAACCGACCACAACCTCAAGATTCCCGTGTAGCCCTCAAGTATACGCCAATTGTAGTATTGATAGAATCAGTACTGACCCCCACAAAATGGCAAAGTTCAATGCTGACCCACCCCTTTCTTGCCGTGAACCATTTCCTACGTTTTCCCGACGTCATCAATAAAAACACGTCTCTGCCCTGCTAAAGCAAAGGCTATATATGTATGTGTGTGTGTGCGAGAACACACACACACACACACACCTGTAGGTATATATACATATACATATACATATACATATACATATACATATACATATACATATACATATACATATACATATACATATACATATACATATACATATACATATACATATACATATACATATACATATACATATACATACATGCATACATACATACATACATACATATGCACATCTCTACCTTGCTAGGTACTGTAAAGCTTCAAGGGTCAACGAGGGCGTCGGTTCTCACGACAGGGACTGGGCACTCACGTGCCCAAGCGGAAAACAAAAACACGATCTCAAGTGGTGCTGAGCTTCTCATTGCATGCAGCACCTGGCAGGACAGGAGACAGCTTTCTTTGGCTCTGCCTGCAGCGGCCTCAGGCCTTACACCTTAAACCACCCTAACACCGGCGGCCAAAACCCTACAACCCGAACCAGTCGGCCTTGAAGATTGGCCAAGGCGACTCCAGAATCGTCTCCAAGGAGGGCATCACCTTAAAAAGGAGTTCGGGCCTAAGCTACTTTAGTGAAGTTCTCGGAAAATATTGTGCTGCAGGTTTTGGGGTTGGGCATTTCAGGGACACTCTGTGGGCTCCAGGGACATTCTGGGGATACTGCGGCGTGGGATACGGGAGATGGGCGAGGAGCAGACCGGGCCAGGAGAAGAGTTGAGTTCAACCCCACACCGATGGTGGGGAATAACATGTTTTCAATCGGGACGTATGGGTCTAGGGGTTTCAACGCCTCTTCAACCAGCAGAAAAATACCAAGTAGGATCCTGTTCAGCCCCCAATAAGAGAACTTGTTCAGACATCCAACTGTGGATCGCCGGGCAAACTTGCCAAGCTCAAACCAAGTTCAAAGAACCCTTTTTGATTTGGGTCTCCTGGGGATAGTTTGCCTGTGACTGAGGTTGTGCAGGCGCCCAAAAACCTAGGCCCTGAACTGCCCTAACATTGCTATCATTGGCTTGTAAGTACACTTAGAATTGGGTTAACAAGCACCAGGAACCTCCAAGTCGACCCGAGTTCAGATTTGGACAGAGGGAAGCGGCGGACTCCGTTGCTTCGATCGCGCGCTGCACGATGCGGTGCCTTCGGCAGCTGACTTGAGACAACGCAATGCTGCCCTAAACTCTAACCTCTAGTGAGAAACCGTGACAAATAAATGCGTATACATATATATATATATATAATCTGTATATATATATATATGTTTTTATAAATATCTCGATTTATATATATATATATATTGAATATATTGCAAATGCTATACAGCTCAAGCCTCTTTACAAACGGATGAAATCACAACTAGCTGCAGGCCTTTGACCTCTGCCAAACGCCTTTGACCTCTGCCAAAGGCCAGCCGAGGCACACATCCACATGTCCAAGAACAAGCCCAGATGCCCGCACGGCAAAAGCAGCTAAGATTCCCAGAGGGCACATCCTTAGCCAGGATAGCCCACATTTCAACCTAAACTCCTACACCCTCATGTCAATATACACTACGCACCAGCTTTGGCTTTCAGAGGCCTTTCGGAAGGAAACAAAATGCATGCATCTCAGTGCCAGCCCAGGGACGCCGTCCACTCAGAAATGCTGCGGCCTCCTTTCTCCCCCCGTCCCGAATCTGCGTGTAGGGTGAAAGGGTGAAGGGCTTAGGGTTGAAGTTTACGGGTGGTTTAGTACACAACTACATGCTAGCACATGCTGCTATGCATCCTAAGCTCCTAGGAACTGTTGCAGGTGCCTTGTGCAACAGCACCCGAGGAAGACTTCCACACAACACCTCGGAAGATCATCCGGGCCGATGAAAACATGCCCGGGCTGAGTCTTGGAATTACGCACTAGGGACGTAGGGGACGTAGGGATTAAGGGAAATAGGCTTCAATTCCAACAAGGGACTTACGCGACTCGCTGCGGCGTGTACCTTTCTTCTAGAGCAATGACTTCAGTCCACCTCATTTTCCCAATTTCCTATCGAGATGCAGCAGATTATGAAAGTTAGCCTGGCCCAAGTTCCCAAGTCGTAAGCGCCAGACATGGCGCTGTGGTTAGCCCGGATCCTACTTCTGCTCACTGGACCTTTGAGCTTCGAAGTTCCCCCAATCGGGCTGCTGCCTTGTGGCCCTGCGCTTCTGCTGTCGCGATGTCCAAAACTTCTGGGGGCTCCTCTCGGTTTCCAGGAGGGTGGCACTTTGGTGACTTTAGGTGCTCAACTTCTGCCCAGCTCTTCCTCAGGGTCCGGGGCTGTAGGAACTGAGCAACTACTCCACAAACGGCCATAGAGATCAGATCAGTGTCAGGGAGGATGGAAGCAGCTCCAACAATCACTTTAAGCTCGAACCGAGTCACGTACCCTGGTCCGCACAAGGAGGATAGAAAGAAGAAGAATGATAAAGAAAATAGTTGTGATACTGAAAGTGCTCGATGTAGAAATTCATCGTAACAATAATTGGAATATGCACTTCAAGCCCATGAGATCCTCAACGTCGCCCTGCAGCCAGGCGGGCGCAGCTTCAGCATAGGCCGTGACCTGAGCCAAGACATGCCAAGACGTTGGGACGCGCAGCGCCTAAGCAGCGCCCATACCATTCCCACACAGCTGAAACCCGGGCAGCCCCGGGCCTGCTCGCGCCAATCATCCCAATTCAGTGAGGGGTGCTCCACTCCATGGCAAGTTGATTCTTGCCCTCCTTGCCTCGACTGCATGTCTGCGAGGAGCTTCAGTAGCGGCCACCGCGTCGCCAGCATCCGCTGCAAGCGGATGCCATTGATGCAAAGCCTGGCCTCTGTGGGCCGCGCCTTGCAGAGACACGCGGCGGCCACCCCGAGCTCACACTGCTCCTTCCCCTTCCTTAAGTTGCCGGGGCCGACTTGCTGAGGGACCAGTCTTGACGTCTTTCTTTAGACGAATCAACACTGCACAAAGGATATGTAAGTAACAACACATTTTCCAACAAAACTGACCAGGGTCCAGTGCTCCCCGCCACTTAGCTCCTCCAAAAGCTCCTCTGCCGCCGCGCATCCATCCAGCAGCAGTGCGCGAAAGCTCTGCCAAGGAACCTCAGGCACATGCTCATGCTTTCACTAATCAGCTGCGACATCAGCTTTGCGCAAAGCACTCCTTCTCCGAGGAACTGTGGTGCCCGGAAGGTCCGTTGCCAGCTCGCAGTCGTCATCGTGGAATGTGGCGTGCTGCCCCAGCAGCAACCACGGCGAGTAGCCGAGCAGTATGATTGCCATGCTGCACCCCACAGAGGGAGCCATTGAAAGCATGCTGGAATTCACAATCTGACTGCCTTCACCCTAATCGTGCTTGTGACATCATGCGGCGCGACTCCGCAGCGGAACACGTTGAAAGTTGTTGGGGGGGGGGGGGGGGGGGGGGGCTACTGTCACAAGCCAGCGGCCGCCGTTCCAAAGCAAGGAGCAGATGTGGACATCAGAACCGTGTTCAGTTACTTCAACACGCCTGAGAAGCTTCCTTTGAAAGCTTAAAGCTCGGACTGGGAGCAGAGACATTTCCTCACATTCTTGTTAAATCACAACCGTCACAACCATGCAACAGGAGCACGAGCAGCTAAATCTCACATGCGCTGCCCGACAGCTTGCCTGCAAATGGCAGTGCGGAAGCTGCATCCGGGGCACCAAAAGGCAACATGGGCTGCAGCTCATGTGTCAGCTCTATTTTAACTTGCCTGGGGAGTTTGCATGCCATGGGGTTGCGATGCAGTCAGTAGGCTTGACTGGAGCTTGTGTGTTCTCTAGTTTCAGCGCCACCACAACATCCAAGGGCCGTCCGCCGTGTGGAGCCTATGGCTTTTTGAGAACACGCGGTCCGCTATATTCTTCAAGGAGTCAGACAGCTGAAGCTCAAGGTCATCCAAGCAGCTGCGGAAAGCGCAGGGCAGCCTTCATGCCGTAGACGCACACAAGAGTTCAGGGCATTAGGGAAACCCCATGAATCTAGTGCTAGCTCCAGCGGTAAGACTCATGAAGAGACGAGTGCTATCCAGACTAGGCGTTAACAGGGTCGCGAGGGGGTCTTTTCCCTTACGATTAATACTGTTGTGCACGTACGACGTGGGCGACGTTAAGAGTGAAAGAGACCAGGCTTTAACAGGCATTTTGCTGGGCCGCTATTAATATTGCATTTTGCCTCCGCAATTCAATTACTGTTTGCAAGGACAACGCCCTAATTCACTCCATGTTATGGGGCTTTTTCGTGCTCACTCAGTGCATTCATCTCCTGTCCTTCGCGAGGATACAACATCAATGTATGATTCACATTGGTTCACCCGTAAAACCTTGGCTATCGTTGTACTGAGGTGGGCATAGAAGCCTTAATGGGTCTATGAGTATTTGGGATCTTTCACTCAGTTCTTCCATCCGCAGTGCATCTACTCTCTTGGTAAATACTAGCAGGCCGCACATATAACATTTGTAGTGAGCGAACGGATCATTCATGTCTTCATTTCCTTCTTGAAGCATACTTTACTACCAGTTTTACCGCAAATTCAAAATGGTCAAGGCCAAGAATAATATTATGTTGCATATCCTTCACTTGTTTCCTTATCAATTTAACGAACTTCTTTGTTCTTTGTCGGTCTTATTGGTACGCCCTTGCTCGCTCACTAATTCAGTAAATCTTGGGCTTACGGGCTCATAATAGTAACAGCATAGTCTACTTCCAATGCGTTCTTTGTCCTTATAATTCAGGAATTCTTATGCGTGCTGCCTCTTCGGGCGGGAGTGCCAACGACGGAATGCACAGAACAAGGCCCTGGAGGACTCCATGGATTCCGATCCACATGCGGATGTTTGCAAGAAGCTTTTTGCCCAGCGCTCATTCGAGCTCTTGCCAGGAGGGCGGAGCCCTGCTTGCTCTGACCTCATGGGCGGGCATCATGGCCCAAGAGACCAAGGATGACTGCAAGCCATGGGAACCTTCACCCTGAAGGTCTTCCTACACAGAGGTAAGGGCCACCTAGAATCAAGACTCTGGTCCCGGGCCCCCGGCGGATCTAGCATGGAGTTCGAATTCGCTGCGCTGCCTGCTTTCGCACGCCAAGCTTCAGACATTCACATGGCTGGCAGATATCCACACTCAAGAGAAGAACATGAATAAGTTGACATCTGGTCTGTTCATCATGCAGCTCTTCTGTTAAACCGATGTTGAAAACTTCAGCCAAGGGGGTACACGTATGAGCAGCAAGAGAAAGAGAGAGAAAGAGAGAGAGCAAGCAGACCAACCGGGAAGGCCGAACTGAAAGAACTGCGCATCACAAGTCCCATGAGCCGCCTGCAGAAAGTTTTCAATTCTGGCTGCGATGCGGGCGAGCCTGTACACCTTGAAGCAAGCCACGGAGCAGATCAGACATTGAAACCACTTGGCATTCGGGGGCAAGGTAAGGCGGGCTCTCCTGTTCGCAATCGTGCGCAGCACGCGATTGGAAGCTAATTGGGATGACGGCACTTCGAAGACTTCCAAAGTTATTGCGGACATTGGTGAACAAAATAGATTTCAACAATGGACGGGCAATGACATGCCCGTAGCCTCACTATATTATCCGTACACATGATAAAATACAGTGGACATGCTTCAGACTTGCTTGCGGTCAATTCTGGTCGAGATCTTGGCCCACAACCCAAGGAGGGATGCGGCCCACACCTCAGAGCTGTCGCGCGAAGTCGTATTGCGATCCTACGCTGCCATCTTGTAGCTGTGCTCGACAGAAATCTCAGTGTTTGATCCCAGGTCCCCCCTTTCACACTTGCTGAGCCCCTGGCCGAGGTGCTGGCAAAAGTCGTCGGCGAAGTGACAGCAGTTCCTCATCACAACGCGATGCTGCGCTGCGTGAGCTGTGTCCGGCCGCCCTATGGAAGCCTCCGCAGCAGGTCGTAGGCTGGCCCCGGATACCTCAGCGCATCTCATCGCGCACAGATGGAGGCACGTCCTACCCGATCGACCTGCGGTTTTCCGAATTAGGGTCATTGCAGGAACGTCTGTTTAGGGTGCCCAAATGGCACCTGACGGCATCGGAGCCACGGGCCGGCAGTTCCGCCAGGCCTTGGCGATGCCTAGGCACAAATTTGTGCCCAAGGCGGAGAGGCACCTCACTCCACAAGTGCTATGCCAGTCTATGCCACCTGCCAAGGAGATGCCCTCTACTCAGATACTCACTCTGCCCAAATGCCCTGTGCAGCTGAGGTCGATTGTAAAGGTGCGAGCGGCTGCAGTGTTTTGAGAAGCTGATCTAGTCTATGATTGACGCGGCTATGACCAGATCTGCACCAGGCATCGAAAATCGAGGCTCAACTTTAAAGAGTTTTACCAATAGTGGGAATCAAAGAGAAAATTGCATGCCTTCGCAGTCACTATGCTCAACTGCGTTGCAGTGCTCTACGACTCTACAAGGTAAGGCGCGTGGACTCGGCAGATTCAAGGGGAACTGGCTTCAGCTCCACCCCGGCGTGCGCTGCTAGAGCAGACAAGTGGGAGCCAGTTCTACCAAGCAGTTCTTGAGGTGGACCACTTTCAACAAGCTTTCCGCCTGCCATCACAAGAATACGGTCGCAGCTTACAACCGTCTGCAGGCGGTGCGCGACTGTGATCTGCGTTGACTGGCCAAACATGATCGGCGAGCGCAGGAATTGCTGAATCAGCCGGTCAGTGGCCGCGTCAATGTTGGAAGTGGGTTCGTCAAAGACACGGACCTTCGAAGGCCACAACAAGGTCCGACCGAGCGTTAGAAGCTGGCGTTCTCCTTGGCTGAGGGTGGAGGCCGAGGTTTGAGCCTCTAAAAGCCCGCAGTCCAGCTCCACCCGCTCCAAAACAGACGCAAGCTCCTGGCGCGTGTGCTCGCCAAAGGGGTCCAAGTTCTCCTGCACCGTCCCTTCGATGAGGAGGGGCTCCTGTGGAACCACCGCAATGGCCTTCCTCAGCTTGCCGAGCCCGATCTTCGAGATGTCGAGGCCATCAATGAGGATGCGGCCTTCTGTCACCTCGTTCAATCGTAGGAGGACGACCATCAGCGTGCTCTTGCCAGCACCTGAGCGGCCCACCACCCCAACCTTCTCTCCTGGCTGAAGCTCGAAGGAGATCCCATCCACAGCTTTGGGCAAGCCGTGCCTGTAGATCAAGGACACCTGGGCTCTGTCTTTCTAATTCTTGTTATCAGGGTTGGGTTGGGATTTCAAGAAACGAAGGGGCTTGTGATGCTTCGTGGTGTGCGAAAGGTGGACAAGGGCACGCCGACAGTTCTACCGCCATTAAACCACTCCTTTCCAACATCCTGAGAGTTTCAATCTTACGCTTCCCAGATGGATCAAAGACGCTGCTTCGAAAGTTACGCGGCCCGCCACTGGCCACGCTGCGGAGGGGTCCTCGCCCAGCTGCCAGGGAGGTTCGGCCTCAGGAATCATGCGCAACTATCCGGAACTCTACGATTGGTGGACTTACTCAGCTCATGCTCCAAACCCATCAGGGGCTTGGCTGGAAGGATGCCTCGATCGCCATACTGCAGGAGCCGCTCGAGGCCTGCACCACAGATGGGTAGAGCATGGTAGAGCCCTTGGGGCATTCCCACCCTTCCTGCGCTGAAACTGAGACAGAGATGGTATGAGCCAACATTAAGCCAAGGAGGCTGGGGCAGAATCCGGTCCAAACATCCGTACATGGTTTTGGCATGTTTTGGCAAGAACGAGACGGGTGCAAACTTCCTAAGATCTCCGCAGGCTGCGAGGAGCCGAATAGGTAGCCCTCTCTCTCTTCCAGCTACGCAACATTTCACCCCAAGAAACTTCCTAAGTAGTCATGAGTAGCCGCGTAGCCATCATGTGGGACCGGAGCCTGTGAGGGCTGTAAGAAGCAGCTGGATCGTCATGGACACGAAGCTGAGGAAGTACGGCATCAGGAAGCTGTAAGTCAGTGCCAGCGCACAAAAGCTGGGTGGGTACTGGTCCTTATGGATAATGACGATTGTGGACGTCGAGCTGGCTGTAACGAAGCAAATTAGGAAAGCAAACACGCCGCCAGCATTCACAGATGCCAAAGCTGAGAAGCTGAAGCGATGGTATTCATCCAAATTGGAGCAGAGGCGATTCTCGAAGGACTCCCTGGCGTCCATGGTGCGGATAACTTGCCGCCCATTCACGCACTCGTTCACAGTGGTCAGGACGGGTCCCATGGCAGTATTGGCAAACCGCCGCAGCTCACGGTTGGTGCGATAGACGACAAGAATTTGCACCAGGAAAAGGCAAGCAGCAGTGAGGACCACAGGTAGCATCATGTTCACCAAGACTGCCACCTGAACAAACAGCATCAGCGTCGTGGCAGAAAGTTGCCAAGTGTTGTCAATCCACTTCGGAATCTCCTTGTCCACTATGGCAATGTCGTTCCTTGGCTACTCTGTGCCAACATGCTATATGCCAAACAACGCAAAACCACGCCCAATCGACATAGACATAAAACAGGCGAAAGGAAGTTGCTTAGCTAGAGAGGAAGGCGGTCCGTTGTAAAAGCCACCAAGGTTCGAAAATCTGGACATGATTCTCCCCGAGGGGGTGGAGTCGAAGAAATGGACCGGAGCATGCAGTAAGTTATTTAGGCACTCACTGTGCAGATGGCGTGAGCTTCGCACACCAGCTTCTCCAAAGCAGTAGGAAGTCAAGCACATCAGAACAACAAACGTTGCTGCGGCAATCCCATAGACAGCAACATACAAGTCGTCGTCCGACACCTTGCCCTCAGTCCAGTAGGCTTCCCTCGCCTCGACCCAAAGGGCAAGCCAATAGTCCACGAAGCCTAAGGTGCAGTAGGCTAGAAGGACCAGGAAGTTGCAAAGACCGAACCACGCAAAGCCCATGCCTTTGATGTATCGGACCAAAACTCGCAAGGGCACTCCACCTGCCAGCTTCTCTTCTGCCTTAACAAGCTCCGTTGGACCAGCCTCAGGCGTATCCTTTTCCCGCACCTTCTCCACTTTCATAGCCACTGGATGGGTCACGTCCACACTTTGTGGCATTTTGATGGACAGCATCGACTCAATGTCGCAGCCCGAGTCCAAACAAAACGACCGTAGGGGCCCATCTTCTTGCAGCAGCTGCGCAGGCACCCCTTGTTGCACAACCTGCCCCGCCGAAACCATGATTACATGGTCAAAATGTGCCAGCAGCCAGGGTTGATTGAGCACGATCAGGCACGAGCGGCGACCCCCACTCTCACTAACACACTTCTTCAGGGACAAGAAGACCTCGTCTGCCACAATCGGATCCAAGGCTGAGATTGGATCGTCTGCGATGAGCAGGTCGGCCTGGCGGTAAAGCGCTCTAGCAATGGAGAGCCGTTGCTGCTGCCCCCCTGAAAGCACCACACCGCGCTCGCCGACCTCAGTGAGCGCTCGCTTGGGCATCCGAGTCAAATCCTCGGAGAGCGAGGACTGGGCTAAGGCTGCCTGCAAGCCCTGCTCGTTCGGGTCCTCTGCAAAGGCGATGTTCTCCGTGATGGTACCACTTAGCACGAAGGCTTTCTGGGGCACGAAGGCCAAGCGCCGACTTCTGAGCTCCACCAGCCCATCACTCATGGGCATCTCACCAAGCAATGCAGCCACCAGGGAGCTTTTCCCACTCCCAACGCTACCAACTACAGCCGTGAAGCAGCCGCGGGGCACCTCTACATCCTCGATCAGCAGCTCTGCGCCCGGCGCCATCGCACTCTTCATGGAACGGGCGGAGGCCGAGCGCTCCAGCACAGGGGAATCCGACGAGATCTCGCCGCCCAAAGGCTTTTCTGGCCATCGGAAAGAGGCGCCCTTTACTCGGATGCAGAAATCCTTGGAAGACTCTTCTTCTACCACGTGTCGCAGCGCTTCAGGTATGACCAAAAAATCTTGCAGGCGGCGCACTGCCACACGGGTAGTTGCCATATAAATAAGCCCCTCAGGTATGGCAATCAAGCCCGACCGGAGTGCCAAAAAAACATTCAGCGCAGCGAAAATGTCTGAGGGCTTGAAGGACTCCGGGTCATCACGCGCAGATATGGCCAACAGAAGGAAGGCGAACAAGCAGCCCACAATAGGGTTTGCGCGTCCAATCTGCACGGTACTTTGCGTCAAGACTCGGTACCATTTCAGGGGGATGCATTCTCGTTCTCTCTCCTTGGAAAGCATTGTCTTGAAGCTTTCCTCCCAAGCACAGAACTTAATGGCACGAATGCCCTGGACTATCTGTGTCATAATGCGCATTCGAACGTCTGTCCTTGCCAAGTTATCCTTCTCTGCCTTTTTGGCCAGCTGCGAAATTCTCGTGTTCAGAAAGAGCATGCCAATCATGCAAGCAAGACCAACAACACCAGCTGCGCCCAGCGTGTAGACCAGGATTGCGATACCTCCAATAAGAGACGTAGAAGCACCTGGCACCAAGGAGAGGGTGAAGAGGTTCTGCTGGAAGCGAACTGCGTCATTGCCAACCAGGTTCCCGATGTCTGGGGCATCTTGCGCACGAGCAGAGCACGTCGCCACTCTCAGAGAGTGCAGATGCGCCAAGCCAGCGAAGGTTGCATTGAAGCGGACGCCAATGCGGCCCATGATCATATGGCGGTTGAACGCCAAGGTTATGCCTTCCACCAGCAAAGCCAGACAAAGGGCACCGGCTAGGACCGACAGCCTTGAAGTCTCCAAGTCACCTGCCAGCCCGTTCACGAGAGCTTGCAGAAGCAACGGCCGCGCCACGGTTGTGACAAGCCCACTGGCACACCCAAACAGCGAGCCAATGACAAGATCTCTTCGGCAAACCTTCCAGAACACACGCTCAAGGTTGGGCTCTTTCCCCAGCCCGAGGGCGCGCTCCTTCTCGGCTTGCCAAAGAGCCTGGGCCTGTGACACGATCTGCTTCGCTCTGAGGTCTGCAGGGACAGCAGGCACCTGCTCGGATTGTAAGGGTCGTTTCAGACTCTGTGCTATGAGGGGAAATGTCCATACGAGGGAGAGATCAGCGCACCAGCTGCGAGCATGACCGTCGCTGGATTTCATCTTGCAGCCCCAAGTCCTGCAACTAACCGAACTACTTGGAACATTAAACGCCAATCATGTACAATAGTTATGTGCATGTTTCTTTCTTTTTACGTTCTCCCTGAGTTCCACGTTGTCTGGCATACCAAAGGCTGCGCGCCACTGCTGACTCTGGCTCTATTCTACAATTCTACAAGCTCAACTTGTTTCCTCATGGGAGGCGCTACTGAGGCGCTCATGCGGCTTGTAGCCAGACCCTTTGAACAAAGGCTCGGGCCGCAAAGTTGAACGCTCAAGGCTGTCGCTTCGAACATAGGCCTGGATGCCTCTCAGCCTCTGCCTGTTCCGGGGAAGTATCGCTAGGATAACACACTGCGGACAGGCCATGGTAAGTAAGTGTAACTCATGTCGCTGGGACGCTCGCTCTGAAGGCGAACTGAGGGCACACACTGCTGCGAAAGTTGCTCCATCATCTCTTGAATTTGCGGGGCCTTCAGTGCGCAGAGCTGCAAGCCCTTCTGGCAGAGGAACCCTGCTGCACATACTGCACATACTACACGTAAGTCTGAACAGCCAGCGTCAAAATGTTGAGGGGAGCGAAAGGCACAACTGCAGCACAATGCTCATGTCGGTGACGGATTAGGCTCGACTGTGCAGGCGAAGCTTCCCATTTTCCTCTCTCACCTTCTGTTTCCGCGTAGGCCCCCAGCGGTGAGCTGCGTGTGGGGCATCACCACTGTTTGCCTCCCAGGAAATGAAACTCAGAGCAGCCGCCCAAAGCTTGAGGAAACGAGTTTGTGTCTGAGGACCTCAACTAGAAATATTGCCACACCCATCCCCGGTGCCTGTAATGGTGGTCTGGGTGCATCTTGGGCCGGTTTCGGTTCACCCCCGGCTCCTCCTAGTCAGCCAAGGCATACTCATGACTTAGGCGACATGAGAGGCAAGCCTTCCCGGACAAAGCAGAATCTTAATCTGCGCGAACTTGCGGGGGGGTCCTCGGTTTCTGTCGCCCCGTAGGACCACTCTTCCCCATTCACCTGTTGTCACTGAGCTCATGAAGAAGTACGTGCAAGTAGCGTTTGTCCGAAAACAGTCAAGGTCCGCCAAAGCATCACGCAGGCTTGTTTTAACCCATCTTCTGCAAGTGGGTGCGTCTGCCACGCAGGCAGAGGACGAAGGTGAGCGCGGACATGGAAGCAAGTACCTTAGGGGAGTTGACCGAGGCTGCGGTCACCACAAACACTGCTGCACATTGCAACCAAACGTCCAACCACGTAGGCATAGATTCGGGAGGACGCATCACGAGTGCACCTGCTTGCAAACTACTCACAAGCAGCAAACCCAACAATGCATCATGCCCTCGCAACATACACCACCCAACCAGCCGTCATGTTGACATAAACCGATACGCAGCATGGAAGCATCGGACATCCAAACTGATGTTTCAGGGCAACAGCCATCCGCATCCACCGCAGGAACCCATGTGCCTGGGTCGTCTCGCTCTGGAGGCCAGCGTCGCAGCAGATCCTCCATCCTCGAAACTTCTTGAAGGCCAAGCCATCTCGCATGCAACACGAGCTCAACGACACCTGCTTGATTTTCTGGACACCTGCTTGATTTTCTGGGGCTTCTGCAGTACTTTATGTTATTTGTGGTGTAAACGGCCAAAACCACAGCTGGAGCCCGAGATCATCCGAGGTGCGTCAGCGAGGAGCGCTCTCGGATCCTCAGGAGGGACCCCTGTCGATTCACGGAGTCACGGAGCGACAACGCTGGTCTTCCCTTACTCAAGTTCAAGAGAGGGTCACTTCGGTTGCTTTCGCATCCAAAACAACTCCTTGGTGACGTACCAAGTCTCGACTGCTTCACAAGATCCTCCAAAGCTGACCGCGGAGCTCGGGCAAGAAGCACCTGGCGCTGGCCAGTACTCATCCTCTCCCTCGAATATTACGCACCTGCCACTACCCCCTAGTATTGAATACCCCCCCCCGGATAATATACTATAATACCATAATATCAGGGGGTACGGGGGTTTGTTGAGCATGAACGGCAGGTGGTTAGCCATATTGACCCGTTCGACTCGTTGCATTGGCATTAATTAGCTGCGGATGCTTGAAATGACACCGACACGTCTGCTTTCCAACCTCCAAACTCCCGTCCATCACATTTGCTCTGCTCAACGGCGATGGGGGCGTCTCTGAGACCTCGCCACAAAATTTCGGCACTCAGCCGTTCGGACGACTCATGCCACATCCGGCCTCCGTCCTACTCTTTGTTGTTCTTCTTCCTTCTTCGCGAGTATAGGGGTCCAGCCCGAAGATCTTACCCCATGCAGTCACGCCGACGCACAGGCGTTCATCGAGGAGTCTCGCCAGCAAAAACAATCATGGCAAGCCAGGGGAAGCTCCCTACAATACGACAGGGTTGTGATGTGGTGCTGTCGCGGAGCGACGGTGCTCACCCACTCCAAGTCTAAGGCAGATGCATAGCACGGGTTCAAGAAAAGATGACACAGCTAAGCAATGCAACATGCCAGTTGAGAAGCAGCAGAGTCAAGAGCAAGCCGGACAACCAGCCACCAAAGCCAGCAAAGAGCCAGAGGACATACCGGCGAAGCGGGAGATCGTACCGGCGAAGCGGGAGATGCTTCAAGAACACATCGGGTGTGTCGGAAGCATGATGAGCCAGCAATACGGTCGCAGCCCCGACCAGAATTCCGCCTGGATCCATCGGCACACAAAGAACTGTTCATATATTGCTCGCTCCCTTCCTTTTTTATCGCATATGTGTGCCCAGGAGCATTACGTGGAGCTTGTGCTTTACCGGTTGCTGTTTACCTTCTTCTCCTTTGCCTACCCGAAATCCGGGCGCTCCTCGGGGGCATGTTGTTTTGCTCAGGCGGAAGTTGGCTTCCGTCTTCTGCGCATTTGACTGGCGGACGTCCTTGCCGCGACAAGCATCTAGGTTTGTTGTCACTGGTGCCGTACGAGACGGCGGAGCGCGTCTGCATACTACACCGCTGTTGCCTTTCCCGACATGCGACTAGGCTTGGCCCGGGATTTGCGTGTTCCATTGTCTGTGGACGACGACGAGGAGGAGGGTGGCTTCTTCTCGGGCATCAAGCTGGGAGCCCATCTCTCTTCGTCTGCGTTTCCCCTGTTCCACTTCTTTCTCTTCTCTTGTGGCACTACCCGGTCACTACCCGACCATACTAGTAGGAACATTCGAACCACGCTGAGATCGTCGGTTGTCTCGAGGAGCTTTGCCGTCCTCGCCGGTCTCTGGGGGTGAGACATCAGCACCCGGTCGTCCCGATATGTCCCGATGTCCTTCATTTACTGGATGCAGCCTTGAGGACATCCGGGGCATTCGTGTTCCCCCCTTTTCGGCTCGGCCGCGAAGCCTCTTCCTTGGCCTCGTCCAGGCGATGTCTCGACTCTGCCTTTTCCTTAAGCGTCTCCCCGGGGCCGCGTGTTTAGGGCGACCTCGTTCCCCGAAAGGCAAAACTCACCATCCACAGCACTGAGCCCCCGAACTGGAACTGGACCCCCAACTTTAGCGGTTTTATGGACGCAGGTTGACGCTTGCTGGATCGACGCAGTGACTTAAAACGCACAAAAAGGGCGGATTTCAACTTGGGCCGACATCTCGCACTCTTGCTGTGGACATCGCGGAGCTTCTCGTCAACAGCTTAGGAAGGAATACAGGGACTCCTCTGCGGCCTATGCTCCATAGTGTGGCTGATAGCAAAGAGCTTGTGTACATGCGTTGCTGACCAAATCTGGCCAAGCTGCCTGCTCCAACACCGGCGAACGCGGCTTGACACCTTTCTTTCGCCTTCAACGACCACCCACAGGTCACGTACAGCTAGAAACAGCTGCTGTCTTCGCTACATGATCCCGAACCCCTGAAGCCTTCAACCTGCCGGCCGCTGCCAGTGATGCCCCTGTAAGGGTTGGGTTTCGGGGCCGGTTGGGATGGATTCTGGTGGGTGTTCCGGACCATGGAGGACCGCGCGGCTCTGGGGCTAGTTTCGTACTTGCCGGGCCTTTCCAGTTCTCGGGCGACTGCAAGAGTATGTGCAGGTTTACTAGCCATCTTCCGGCACTCGCCAACATGTAGTTGCAGCTGTATAGCTCATTAGCAATAACACCTGGACGTGCAGATGTCTGGCCGTTCGGATATCACGGGATTGTTTTCTAGAGGGCCCCTGTGACCATGCTGCACCGTGCCTTGGCCTTGTGCGAGATTTCAGCGCAGCCTCATGAACATACAAGAAGCGCTCATCCAAAATAACCAGGAAAAACTCAGAAGTTGGGATGCTCCCACTTATACTCACAGTCCTGAATAGGGATGATGATAGGGGGTACGATAATCCCTATTGAGGACTGTTGGTATAACCTTGAAAACATCCCAATTCAGAAGTTTCGAGAAGCCTGGGGCCCTGGCGGTGTTGACAGGCGCGCCGTCTGGATCCAGGAGCTCGAGCAGCTCATGGCCTCCCTCTGCCTGTCAAGTTGGGTTTAGGGTTCAGGGTTAAGGGTTTACTGTAGGGTTTAGGGTTTGGGGTTTGGGGTTTAGGGTTTAGGGTTTAGGGTTTACAGTAGGGCTTCTGCTGCATGATGTGATGCGCGGGTTTAGGGTTTAGGGTTTCAGGGTTTATTTAACATGGCCTTTCCTGACACTTCAGCATGCCACTATGCCAGGCCTCCAGTTGCAAATTGATGTTCGTCTGCTCTACTCGCTCCTCTCCATACCTTTGCTTCTTGTTCGATGCTCGCGCAGGTGAGAACAACATCGCTCCAACTACAGTAGGCTTCACAAGCAGTGCCCAGCTGGAACTAAAGGCTTGGATGCTCATCCAAGCGGCCACAGGTTTCGAACCAAGACGCCAGCCTGCTGGCTCAGGTGCTCTTGTCACCCGTGTCAGCTGTCATGCCACGTTCTCTGCACGATTTAGAAGCTCCACTACAACTATCCAAAGAAGCCCTCTTTTCTGCCCAACATCTAACGATGACATTGCTCCACCAAGCAGGGCAACAACATGCAACATGAAGGGCTCCTGCCAAGGCTGGAGCACAGCGGAAAGGGGCAATTCCAGAGTTGCAGGAGTCTTGGCGAAGTTGACAGCTGCAACAGCCGTGGAACCGCCACCTCAGCGAAAGGCAGTGCAGTTTTCGCTGTGGTATCTGGCCGGGCTCCACCAAGTTCATCCAAGCCGCTTAGGGTCTTGGCCCACACTATCTGGCATTGTCGCTTGTCCTGCACACCGCGCAGTGGTACAGAACTCGAACGTTCTCTCGCAGAACAAGTGCCCCAAGGCTGGGGAGTCCTCGGCCTGGAAAATTGAAACCGTCCAGGGGTGCCATCCTAGCTCAATCTCAGAACATGCAACTACAGCTACGAGATCTTCAACGGCCTTTCCGGGCTGCAGCCCAGGCGCGGTCTTCGATACGAGCCCTCCCCGGATTTGAAGAGTTCACACATCTGCCATCGTCAAACCAGAAGCAGTCTTTGTTGCACCAAGTCCTCGTCAGCCCAGGGACCGCTGACAGGGTTGCTGCAAGCGTGAAAGCGTCGAGCATCCGCCCTCACAAGCCCATCCCCGGCCCTCCGGCCTTCCGTGGCCTTGAGGGCAATCTGCACAGGTTGGGGCCTGCGATCCGGAAGCTTCGCAGCTGATTTTCGGCAGTCGCTCCAGCTCAGGCAAACTGCGGGTCTACTGCACTACTGTACCTTGTGGTTCCCGCAGAGCACTTCACTCTTGACCTGGGCAGAAGGCTCCAAATCATTGCATCGCTTTCTGCATCCATGCACTTCAACTGGGGCATGAATGCACGACGACGTGGATGTGTCAGCACTGTCACCACCCTAGGCGGCTGCTGGGCCATCAGTGGCATTTCCGCGCACAGGAAGGCATGCGGGCGGGCGCCCACCTCTGCCAGACAAAAACCCGCGAGACAAAAACCAGCTCAGGCAAGTTGGACAGCATCGGAATCAGAAGCAATCAACCAAGCTCACAAACAATAAGATTCCC